TATTGTATCATAGTTAGTCGGATATAAGGATTTGCTCTTGTATATAGTTGTTTGGATGCATTTTGATTATATATGCATTATTGCTAGTCCCACTTCACTACTTCTTTAAGGAAGGAGGATTGTTATAGATTGATCTATTATTAATATTAGTCGTACGATCTACGATCTACGTTCTGCTACGTGTGTCGTTCTACGTGTGTTCTACGTGTGTCGTTCTACACTCCTTTGATGCATGCATGACGAAGAGTGACAATGTCTTACCTCATTATGAATCAGTCTTCTTCTGCATTACGTCTGCATGGCTGACGTGTGTCTTACTTTGGTACGAGCTGACGAGGCCTATACTGTCGTGTCATAGCGCCATTAGTGCCACGACAGCACTTACGTGTCTCTGCTGCTTATCTCTCGATGATTGCCATTTTACATGTTCACTTCTAAATTATCCTAGAACAAACCAGATGGTGTTTCCTGCTGTGGTATACGCGAGTTGCATGGAATGAATCTTGCGTGCGTACGTTATAACACCCGGTGCAGTGACGACCGCCATATGCGCATGCAGCACCAACAGCAGGTGAACCTAACTGTCCTATACGGGCCCTTCTCGATCGTGTCCAGAGAGGCGAGTTCGTGGACTTCGATTTCCTGCTGCCCGATACAGTTGCAGTCAGTCCAGCTCCGGCGACGTTCCAACTCCGTAGCCCCTCATATGTTGCTCTTCTGGCGCACTAGCATTTATTTGAATCCGAACCCAGAACTGCGCTTCGTAGGCTGCATGACGGTAGCACTTGAGCTGAGACCTGGACAGTGTTCATGAATGGTCTGTGTTCCACTGTTCCTCACCGCGTTTCACGAGTGCCTGTGGACGTATTTGGCCACGATCGTCGCGGCCAATCGCCAGTTCTTGCCACCTAGAAACTGGACGTTATCGACAACTGTTTCGTCCTTTGTGGACTCATCAGCGCAGCACAGAGGGAATCAAGCCGAACCTGATAGCAGTGGAAAATAAAAATAAAAAATCTCCAAAGCCAGGTTATCAATATCAACTTGTGGCAACTGCGCCTCACGGTGTACTGGAACAGCATGACCCGCCTGCCAGCAGTGCAGCTCAGTACCCGCCAGCATTTTCCGTGCGCACTTCGTCCTACTCACCAGTACAGATCCGCATCACGTACCGCAACCGTATGCCGCTACTACGAGTACGGCGCTTGCACGTGTCAGCTCAGGCAGTGCTGCCTCCAGTGCCGACAGGAGCACCCCAGGGCAAAGTGTAAGGCCTCATCAGTAACTGTGTAAGCACTCAGTTTCTCACTTCTCAAAATTACTGGACTCACATCCTGATCCTATGCTCCGGAGGTATGTTGCACATGGTCGTAATTGTGGGGTTGTGGTAGGTTTCATCGGCAACCACTCAACTAACTGGGATCCATTGAATTTAACACGGTCACATGCTAACCCTATATTTCTGCGCAACGATCCGTTTCTTGACTCGACTAACGTTTCTGTCTCCATGCATGCTCTGGACTTGTGTTAGCTCGCCAGCAACTCGCTACTCGGCGCCGTGCGTTTACATACCTCGGTGTTTCTCTGGCGTCAGCAAAAGTGCTTCCTCGATGTACATGATTGTATGCTCTGGACCTGTGTTAGCTCGCCAGCAACTCGCTACTCGGCGCCGTGCGTTTACATACCTCGGTGTTTCTCTGGCGTCAGCAAAAGTGGAGGGTCCAGCCCACGTCCTGACGTTTATCGGCGTCATCCTGGACACCCGCGCGCTCACATCAGTCTGCCGATGGACGAACTTGCCAAGCTTCACGACCTCCTACGTGCCACTCTCAACACAGCTTCAATTACCCAATGTCAACTCGAGTATCTTCTGGGAAAGCTCTCGTTTGCTAGAAGAGTGAGAGTCCCAGGACGCACATTGCAGATTGTGGTCACTTGCCAACTGGTACCGGCAGCCGTATTACCTGATCAAGCTCTCCGAAGAGTGCCTCAAATATCTTCGCTGATGGCCTGAGCTCCTGGAATAGTAGAACGGCCGGTCCTTCTTCCTACACCCTAAGTGGACGCCGTCCCCCAACTTGCTGCTATTCACTGATGCAAGTGGTGCACTTGGCTGGTGCGCAAACAATTGCGACCGGGGATAGGGCAGTGGACAGTCAATCAAGCAGACCAGCCAATCGCAAAGAGTGGTTTGCAATTGTGGCAGCACCTGGGAAAGCTAGCGGCACCAGCTGCAGATGCCAATCGATCGGCTTTACAGCAACTGCGAAAATCTTGCTCATCAGTTGTGGCTATGGCCTGGCGTTATACACCGGCCACTCGTTTCGAATCAGCTGCCGGACTCGATATTCAGAGAGGCGGGAAGGTGGAAAGCCATGTCTGCCCGAGTAACATTCAGAGGCCACCAGCAGCCAAAGCATGGGTGGCTGTGGCAATGGCCTCAGCCCATGATATCGAGTTCCTGTTACTCAATCGTTACCGAGCTTGCACTGCTTACAAATTTCACAGGTAGCTGCACTTTGTGATCCGCTCTGGGAGTGCCGATTTATGGAATATATGCTCTCAACTGGTTATGCATCTCTATATATCTAGCATTTGGCGGCTCTATTCAGAGTCATTGCCGGCTCCATGCGGAGGCATTGGCGGCTCCATGCGGAGTCATTCGGCGGCTCCATGCGGAGTAATTGGCGGCTCCATGCGGAGTAATTCGGCGGCTCCATGCGGAGTCATTCGGCGGCTCCATGCGGAGTCAATTGCCAGCTCCATGCGGAGTCATTCGGCGGCTCCAGGCGGAGTCAATTGCCGGCTCCATGCGGAGTCATTCGCCGGCTCCATGCGGAGTCATTTGCCGGCTCCATGCGGAGTCATTCGCCTACTCCATGCGGAGTCATTTGCCGGCTCCATGCGGAGTCATTTGCCGGCTCCATGCGGAGTCATTTGCTGGCTCCATGCGGAGTCATTCGCCTGCTCCAAGCGGAGTCATTTGCTGGCTCAGCTGCGAGCCATTATACCAGTTGCTCGAATCGGCACTCCCAGCTTAATGCAAAACTCGGTTGCTCTGTTGTGAGGTGGGGGGATGCTAAATGAGCGTTAGCATGCTAACACGAGTTAGCAGCCAGCCCAGCGAGCTGGCCCAACCTGCACGCATGTGCGACTCACGTGGGCACGCACCCTTCAAAATCCTGTACAATGTCTCTTTCATGTCATTGCTGTTTGGACTTTCGAGCGTGCAACTTGCGGAACAGGTGTTCCCAAAACAATTTCCTTTCCACCCTCCCACCCACTAGCTCAACTCATGTTTCTGGCGCACACATGATGGTATCTGTATAGTCCATGAGAATATATGCTCTCAACTGGTTATGCATCTCTATATATCTAGCATTTGGCGGCTCTATTCAGAGTCATTGCCGGCTCCATGCGGAGGCATTGGCGGCTCCATGCGGAGTCATTCGGCGGCACCATGCGGAGTAATTGGCGGCTCCATGCGGAGTAATTCGGCGGCTCCATGCGGAGTCATTCGGCGGCTCCATGCGGAGTCAATTGCCGGCTCCATGCGGAGTCATTCGCCGGCTCCATGCGGAATCATTTGCCGGCTCCATGCGGAGTCATTCGCCTGCTCCATGCGGAGTCATTTGCCAGCTCCATGCGGAGTCATTTGCCAGCTCCATGCGGAGTCATTTGCCAGCTCCATGCGGAGTCATTTGCCGGCTCCATGCGGAGTCATTCGCCTGCTCCAAGCGGAGTCATTTGCTGGCTCAGCTGCGAGCCATTATACCAGTTGCTCGAATCGGCACTCCCAGCTTAATGCAAAACTCGGTTGCTCTGTTGTGAGGTGGGGGGATGCTAACAGGAGAACGTGACCGCTTGTTCGACCATGTATAATATCGCAAGCCTACAAGCGCTTCGGGTCACTAATGCCCGGGAAGAAAATGATGAAGGGCACTAGTCTACCAAGACAATACTCCACAATAACCCGCTCACACTCGGCTCTACCCACACCTGACCATGGATTGGGAAGGAAGGAGTTCGTTCCACTGCGCAGTGAACGAAACGGCTGATGAGCGAAGAGTTGTGCACGCCGTCGCGTAATCTTTGTAGTTCGAGCTTTGAAGATCTGCTGCGCTTCTCACGATCCTAGGCAAACAGGCCACGAACAAGCCGTCCGTCCACGATCAGAGAGCAGTTGCAAGGTCAGTATCAGGACCTTTTGCAGAGCTGATTCCATGAAGAACAACATGAGAGCCCAAAACAAATCACTCGCAGACGGCGCTGATCGCCTTGCGAGGTGAGCAACACCTATTTTAGGTAAGTGAGCTTTTCTGGAATGCAAAGCTATGTTTTCCGCATGCAAGGTACAGTACATCTGTGGTGGTATGTTTGAGAAGGTTGCGCGCACTGCGACTGTGAGCTTCAAAAGATTCGATTACAAGATCTGCCAGGCCGATTTTCTTCATCGACGGCTCATTTTCTTCGTTGTCTTTTCTCCAGAACATTACCGAGCAATTGTTGTGCTTCTTGCTATTGTTTTGATTCTGTATCACTTTATTCCGCGTCAATTTGGGCCCAAACCATCCATATTTACCGTAAATCACTTCTACACAGCGTAGAAGAAAATTTCGTTCAGTATAACCCTTCGGATTACTACCTAGATTGCTGTCCCAAATTTTCAAGAAGATGCGATAAACCAATCTTTCCAAGGAACCATTTGAAAAATCCTAAAACTTTGACTGAGAACTAGGCGCATGGCATCTCTCAAGTACCTGTCACTGATCACGCCAGCACCACGTGGAACAAAAAATAGCGCTGATGTTGAATGTACGCAACTGTGAGCCCAGGTCATGCACTCTGGGTGTGCGGGTAACCCCATACGGGTAATGTGTATACTAAATAAGGTGAGTGCATAACGCATTACTGCAAGCCCTCTAAAATTGTCTTTCTTCTGGACCCTACTTGAAAAATCGATGCACTTCCCCGTTAACAGAAGAAAACAGGGTACTCACAGGATAGTTAGTTTCGTGAATTGGTCAAACGCGTTATCATCCAGAATCCTCAATGGTGCGTTGAGGATTGCCCTGGATATGCCGAATGGAAACAACACATTTCACAAAACTCCACCCTACATCACTGAAGTTAACATTACAATGCATGCAGACACACGCACAAGCACCCTTCTACTGTCGTGGACATGGAAATTCAGTTGATTGACCGGGACCGGTGCCCTCAGCGAGTACAGAATGCTGCGTGCAGTGCACATGTTGATCCGATCCGACCAGCGGGCTGCAGGGCATAAATGCATGTGTGTACCGCTTATCCACGGATGCATGGCCAGCACCCTGGGGCCGCTCGACGTGCGACCGCATTTCCATGTCCACTGTTGAGGTTCGACCTCAACTAACTGAACTGCTACTGATCTGCATGATATCAGTCGCCATGTATCTGACTTTGCATTGTTGTCACTACCTACATGTAGTGCACTGTTAGTTGTGTGTTAGTGTCGCGCGGTATCTGCGTGTCACGTGTTTATTGCTTTGCGCGGGCTTGTCCATACTTTGAGTGAGTGGTGAGTTTGTGCTGAGAGAGTTCTGGAGAGAGAGAGTTGGAATGGCGGACATGGTTTTTCGAGTGGTTTTCCCTTTTGCTTTTGTCTTGTAGTATTGTCTGAGATCATGATAGTCTAAGTAAGAGATATCTCAGAACCCATCCAGTTGCTGTCTAACAGTCTGCGAACGAGCGAGCCCGACTCAACATTGGCGCAGTGAACAGGATTTGGCACTCGTTCCGAAAATCTGACTGACGACGGCGACAACAATGGCATCGAAAGTCCGCGTATCTGTCAAGCTGGACTTAGATCACGAACTCGGCCATGACCATTACCAGACGTGGAGAAGTCAACTGGACATCGGCTTCCAGCTCCACGAGGTGACCAACAAGAAGAAGCAGTACCTGGCCGCGGCGGCGAATTTAGGAGAAAATGCAAGCTACTATTTGTGGCAGAAATTTCCCACGATCCCTGAGGCAGACGACCCGTTCGCGGAACTAATTGGGCTCAGCGCAGCACGGATGCCAGGCTTGCTGAGCTGTTCTCCATTGAGCAGCAGCCTGGGGAATCGATTCAGGCGTTTCGGGTCCGAATCGAGAAAGAGATGAGAGTATGCAATCTCACTCCAGGAGCTGACCTAAAAGATGTACTCAGCACAGTCGCCGTACATTTGTTTGCACGTGGCCTGTCTGTGAAAGCGGCCCGGAAGAGTGTGTTACAAGAGGGAGGCAAGGACCTGACGGCTGCAGCCAAGCGAGCTCAAGCAGTTGTGTTGGCGCGCGAGACGCCAGCCAAGGAAGTCGAGGTCAGCTACGCCGCTCCCCAGACACAAGGCCGACCCAGCCTTCCATACACCAGTAACCCCGCTTGTGGGTACTGCGGAGCGACGCACCCACCGGGAAAGCGGCACTGTCTGGCGGCCGTCGCCGTGTGCCACCAGTGTGGACGGAAAGGGCATTTCGGGCAAGTCTGCCGTTCCGGCGCAGCGAAGCCCAAGCCGAAAGGCCAGTACCTGGGCATGAAGCCAGGGATGACGGCCAGCCTGGCCATGGCAAATGATTCCCGACCAGCAGCAACGCCATCGTCCAGAAGTCAGGTGTCTTCACCGAAACTTGCGGAAATGGATGACAGCGATGACGACGACGATGCGGAATGTTTCAGCGTCTGGTCCGGGAAAACTGGATTTGTGCTTCCACTACGATCGGTAGTGCTAGATGGCAAGCACCAAAGGGCTATGCGCGTGGATTCGGCCAGCAGGGTGACGGTCCTGCCTCAGTCACAAGTACCGAGCGAGTATCGGCTATCGTCATCGCCCTGCCCATTACGTCCGGTAGGAACGTCTCAGCTCAAACCTGTTGGTGTTTTCGAGGCGTGCATCACGTACAACCAGTTCACTGTACAAGAGACTATCTTTGTTGTTGACGACTCCAAGCAGCCAGTGCCGGCGCTCCTGGGCGAAGGTGTGTCACTTGCATTAGGATTGTTGGCACCACCTGTCGCTGGCATCAGCATTCATGCCGACACCGAGGAGTTGGCGTCGCTCCCAGCTATGCATGGACCGGTGACGATTCACTTGGATTCCAGTCAACCAGCGATCCAGCAGTCAGCTCGGCGAGTGGCTCCGGCCTTGCTCCCCTCATTACGAGAACAACTGCAGGCATGGACGGAACAGGGTGTGGTCGAGACCGTTAGTGAAGTGAAGGCCACAGATTTCGTTTCTCCCCTTGTCCCGGTGATGAAACCGGACAAGACGGTCCGGTGGTGTGTCGACTTGCGACAAGTCAACTCCGCCGTACGCCGGCCTGGTGTGCAGTTGCCAACCACCGACGACCTCCTGGCGCAGGTGTCCGCTGCAACGGTATTCTCGAAGTTAGATTTGAAGTCTGGCTACTCGCAGCTGGAACTAACTCCAGACTGCCACCATGCATTTGTCATCGCCTCCCCATTGGGGCACTACCGGTTCCGCCGATTACCATTTGGCGTGTCAAGCGGTCCTGAGCTCTTCCAGAGGAAGATGGAGCAGATCCTGGGCTCGATTGAGGGTGTGCTCATTTACCTGGATGACATCCTCGTCTTCGCTCCTTCTCAACAGGAGCATGACAAGCGACTAGCAGCGGTGAAAGCAGCACTCAAGGCGAACTGTGTCACGCTCAACGGCAAGAAGTGTGCATTCAGCGTCACGGAGCTGACCTTCTTGGGCCATCGAGTCTCAGCTTCCGGCGTCCGAGCAGGTGAGGACAAGGTCAAGTCACTCCACGAGATGGCTGATCCGGAGAACGTCTCGCAACTGCGCTCTTTTCTTGGCCTCACCACGTACCTGGCTAAGTTCGTGCCTAACCTGGCTGACCTGCTCGCTCCGCTGTCAGCTCTGCTCGCTGGAAACTGGGACTGGACTCCAGCATGTACACAGGCAGCCGCCGCTGTGCGACAACACCTTGCAACCGAGCCCGTGTTGGCACTCTTCAACCCTACCCTGCCGACGCGCGTTGAAGTCGACGCCTCTGGTACGGGTCTAGGAGCCGTCCTCATGCAGAAGCACGACGGTGACGAGTGGCGTCCCGTGTACTATGCTAGTCGTAAACTGACTGGACCAGAAACCCGCTACGCTACGATCGAGAGAGAGGCACTGGCGATAGTCTGGGGCCTGCAGCGTTTCCGCAGTTTCATCACCGGCCTTTCCGTGACAGTGTTGTCGGATCACAAACCACTTCTGCAAGTGTTTGACCGTGCATACAACTTGTCAGCTGCCAGTGTACGGGTGCAACGGCTCATCCTGAAGGTGCAAGACCTTCACTACCAAGTCCAGTTCCGCCCTGGCAAGTTCAACGTGCTAGCCGATGCTCTGTCACGTTTCCCGACCGAACCGGCAGATACCAGTTTCCTGGTCGTGCAAGCGATCTCCTGTGCTGACGGTCTACTACCTGATCAACGACGCAAGATAGCCGCCAAGACAGCCCAGGACGAGACGCTATGTGCAGTGCGCCAAGCTCTCCTGACTGACAAATGGCCGTCGACCTCCGCAGTGGCACCGTACCGTGGTCTTCGCCACGAGTTGAGTGTATGGCCGTACCCTAAGACTGACGACTTTGTCATCTTGCGAGGGGAGAGGTTAGTCATCCCAGAGGGTTGTGTGCCGGAGGTACTCGAGCTGGCACATGATGGGCATCCCGGCATCCCGAAAATCAAGGCACGCCTGCAGGAGTCAGTGTGGTGGCCTGGTTGGGCCAACGCAGCGAAGCGGCACGTGCAAAGCTGCGAGCCATGTGCGCTCGAAGCTCGACCGACAAAGGTACCTCTGCAGCCCAGAGAGCTACCACCACGGCCATGGCACACGGTTGCCATTGACATCTACTATGGTGGAAAGGCGTTTTTGAGTGTGATTGTCGTCGTTGTCATCGCATCGACAAGAGTTTTTTTTGTCTTTTATAAGGTTTTATTATTGCTATTGATGTAGCTCTGAGCTACTGATTAGAGCAGGAAAAAACTGGTCTCTACTCTAAGAAGAGACATGAAGAAGACTAGCGAAAAGCTGCTTGTAGAGCAACAAAATATAAAGTCGGCAAGTTCTTGCTGGGAACGGCGCTACATTCGGATCACTGGATCCATACTAGGCTCAAGCGATTCCTCAGGGGTCAGCGCGAAGGCAGAAATAGGCATGCGGGTACAGCCAGAAATGGACGTGTGTACACATAGGAGAGCAAGGGAAGCGCAACGCGAGCTGTAGCAGCCAGAAACGGATACATGCGCAGAAAGGGGAGCACACCGTGACATGCACGGCAGCCAGAAACGGATACATGCGCAGAAAGGGGAGCACACCGCGATATGCACGGCAGCCAGAAATGGATACATGCATACAACAGGGAGCAAGTAGAGCACACTGCTAGCTGCAAGACAGCCAGACATGGCTGGGTGCATACAAAAGGGAATCCGTCAGGCGAAATAGCACGTCATCGTACATTTGAAATCAGCGGGAAGAAGATGACGACGTCCACTAATTTAGTATCTGTGCACACCAATCTGCTGTGTGTGTGACTCTGTGTGTCAGCTATGATATCATCTTCTGTGGTTCCATGCCTAGCATGTACGTCTGAATCATTCTGCAAAGTTTGAATGACGTAGGTTGAGCGATCGCTCCGCGAAATATACTTTTTGAAATTCTCTTCATAGTATATCTTCCACCATTGAAATTTCGAATTTCTTCAAAAAAAGTGCTGAGTCGGGGTGGCTTGCAACCTCGATATGGCTTGTTCCAGGCATGCTTTGGAGCCATCTTCTGTTGAAGTAGTGGCGGGGATCTGCCCTGCAACTGCTACAACAAAAAATGATTCGATCTGAGAAAGGGTGAGACCGCGAATCTCGGTTGAATATTGAGTATTTCAAGCCTTTTCACGACGAAGATGAAGTTCTTTTTGGAGATGTACGTCGCGGCAAAGGACATGGTGTCCGACGTCTGGCGTCTGGTGAAGCCAGGGATCATTTGTCCAGTCAGGTCGGCAGCCTAACCGTCGGTAAGCTTGTGTTTGGATCCCGTTCTGCTCGATGTGGTAGATCACAAACAATTTGATATCGCACAAATTGATCTCAGCATCGTGCGTACGGTATTTTATATTCAGAAAAGCCCAAAGTGTCTCTGTGTGGCCGTCCTATGCCACGAGAAACTCCAATCAGGCTCCTATGTCCTCTGCCTTCATGATTGAATGTCCACTTCGTTTGAACAACGAACACAACAATCGAGGACGGCTTTGCAATGAAAAATACAGCTATACTGGAGCTGAAAAAAAGAAGAAAAAAACGTGCTCAGGATGAGACTCGAGTACACGCATACTCTCCCAGCAGGTGAAACGCAATTTTTTGTGAAAAATGCGTGACGCCGACTGACCAGTAATTTCGCCTGACGGCTTGGTGCCAAAAAAGGGGGCACATAAATGATCACGACTGATGTTCGTGACAGTGATGGATTTGTACTCCCGCTATCCACTCGTTGCAGAACTAACCGGCGAGACGTCCTCGCGGGTGGTGACAGCGCTTCGCGCTATGTTCACCATGTTCGGGTATCCAGTGCGCGTCATCTCGGACAACGGTCCCCAGTTCGTCAGTGCAGAGACCGCAGCCCAGCTTCGTGACTGGGGCATCCAGCACGAGCGTATTGTCCCGTACACCCCAAGGCAAAACCCGGTAGAGCGTTTGCACCAGACACTCAAGCGCCATCTCAGAAAGTCATCGCAGGCGTCCCTCAAGCGAGCGATGCAAGAGTCGCTCGGTACCCTCCGCTCCACGGTGAATGCCACCACAGGGCATGCTCCGGCAGATCTGTTCCTGCGCGGTGGATTCCGCACGCAGTTGAAAGCTCTGCGCTGCCCCGGTTCAGAATCTGAGGAAGAGGACGATGACGAACTGGATGAAGCCGTTAGAGTGCGAGAAGCTGCAGTGAAGGCCTCTGTCAAGGACAGGTATGACACACGGTATCATACCGCTCCACGTCACTTGGCAGAAGGTGACGCAGTCTTTGTACAGCAAGCCTCCAGCGCGACAGAGAGAGCCACAGTGTTAGAGGCTAATGCTCATGAAGCCACCGTCGAGACCGAGGGTGGTGCCGTCCAGCGCCGTCATCTTGATCAGGTGAAGCCGTGCCGCGCTACGCCCGCCTCAGCGGACACCGAAGTTCCCATGCCGGTCCAGGAAGCGACCGATGTCACAACGCGTCGATCCGACCGAGCCAAGAAGCAGCCTGATAGGCTCCACCTGTAAACTGCTAGTCCCTCCTGCTTTGAAAGAAGGGGAGGTATGTTGAGGTTCGACCTCAACTAACTGAACTGCTACTGATCTGCATGATATCAGTCGCCATGTATCTGACTTTGCATTGTCGTCACTACCTACATGTAGTGCACTGTTAGTTGTGTGTTAGTGTCGCGCGGTATCTGCGTGTCACGTGTTTATTGCTTTGCGCGGGCTTGTCCATACTTTGAGTGAGTGGTGAGTTTGTGCTGAGAGAGTTCTGGAGAGAGAGAGAGTTGGAATGGCGGACATGGTTTTTCGAGTGGTTTTCCCTTTTGCTTTTGTCTTGTAGTATTGTCTGAGATCATGATAGTCTAAGTAAGAGATATCTCAGAACCCATCCAGTTGCTGTCTAACAGTCTGCGAACGAGCGAGCCCGACTCAACACACGACAGTAGCACTCTTCTGGTCTAGATCTTGGACCGGCCGACCAGAATGGTCGCACATGTGGCACAAGTCTTGTCCGCCTTGTGCCAAGTCACACCAGCCACCTGTGATGCACTGGGCACTCGGATCCGCAGCGGCAACCGTCCTCCAAAGCTTCTTGGGGTCATATCTGGGTCCCGTGTTCTGACTCTTATGAAAGGGAACATGCTTGGGGAGGCATGAATCTTCCATGCATACTGGGCGGCTAAGCCAGCGTAGGCTGTGGCAGGGAACAACTTTCGCCACACTTCCGCACACCAGAACGCAGGCTAGTTACTCGAATGAGACGCCCTCTTGCCTCTTCCCATGACACAGCCCGAATCACTCGCATATTTCCTACGGCTAAGTTCACACCAGTCCCTCCACGTCCCTCACCAAGCACGTGGGTCTCATGCAGGGGCGTCACAGGGTTGCTGGGGGTGGTACGACCGGGGGTCCGGGGGTGTCCCCCCGAGAAAAAGATAAGGATTTTTCGGCTAACAGGCCACGTTTTAGCACTCTACAGCCGCAAAGGAGGGTTCCCCTAGCACTTATTACAGTCCATTCATAAAAAAGATGGGTCCTGGCTCTGGCGAGCTCCCGTATTTGGCGATTTTTCGTGATTTCATCGTACACAGTGCAGTGCTGCGAACTTTGAAATTTGAAAAAGGGTCCAAAAAGGGTGCCTGAACTGGGGTTCGAACCGCAGAATGCACTGTTGCAGGCGGGGTCAAACGGCCTGGATTTTGATGGGTTTTCCCAATTCAGTGCTTTTGGGGCAAAACCTGGCCGAAATCCTATTCTTGCTATGGCTTGCTTTTTGGACAAAAAAAACTTCAGAAACATAATTGGAAAAGGATTCCATATGGGATTGCAGAAAAAAATTCTAAAAAAACTCAACGTTTGACCCATTTATGGCCAAAAGCTAGAAGTTCATTTTTTTTCTGAATGGACTGTAGACAACCCCACTCCAGCTCCAAAAACATACTTCTCATGAATTTTTGGTATTTTCTGTACATCGTAGGTAGCCAAGCAAGGCAAATGGAACCCAGTCAATGATTCAGGGCCATTGCCCTCGAAAAAATCGCAAAATCCGAAGTACAAGCGTGCTGCGCGCTCTAGCGCCAGCGGCTATGCAAAAACGTATGTCGTGTCCTGCAGAAGTCTGCCATGTCGCGTACACTATGGCTGTGTTTACATGAGAAATTTCAACCCGGGTCGAGTTCAGCCCGGGTTGAAAGTCTGTACGATAGACAAAAGAGGTGAGCGTTTACATGAAGACAGTTGACCCGGGTCAAATACTGATATGCCGCCAAAAGTCCACTTCTACAGTCCTGTATGGTCACGCGAATCCGTTCGCGCGAAATTTGCATCTGCAGTGCCGTTCAAACCTGGCGCGAGATACGCACAGAAGTACGTTTGTACGATTTTCTTGACCCGGGTTGATTTCAACCCTCCCCTTGGGGGGGAGGGTTGAAATCAACCCGGGGCGAAATTTCAACCCGGGTCAAGCGCAATGCGTCATGTAAACGCGCAATTCATTTTATGCACATGGCGGGCTGAAATCTGACCCGGGTCGAACTCAACCCGGGTTAAAACGCCTCATGTAAACACCGCCTATGTACACGTCCGGCCTGGACAGTCGCGAAGTAATTATTTTAGTTGTTTTTAGAGAGAGAAGAAGATCCTTTGTTTTTGTTCGGTGGGATTGAAAGATCTGCCAGTGGACCGGAGAGCTACAACAATGGAAGCAGAAGAAAGCGCTTGCGGAATCTTCTCTGTCTTCGTGGCAACAGGACCTTAGTTTGCGAGAGACTTTCGTCCTGTCGTCGCGGACGAAATTCTTGTTGCTGCTACCAGAAAACTCGGGGAACGAAACGATCGTAAATCGTTATAATATAGGTGAAGCGGGTCGTGTCGGTGAACAGCTGCAGAATATTCTGCCGCCGTGGAGCAGCAGTCCAAACACTTTTCAGCTTCGGAGAATGAAGCGCTTCCCTTTTCCGTTGACAAGCGCTGCGTTCGCGGGTGTAATGCATTTTCGAATCCGCTTGCAGTAGATCGTCAGGAGCCAGAGGTACTAGGCAGGTGTCGTTGTGGAAAGAATATAATTATTATGTTGTAGCTGACAAGTGACATACATGTAGTGTCTCTTGACGTGCTGATCGCCATGGGAGATCTTGGAAAATTTTAGTTCTGGACCCAGTGATCGCCGCCAGCTCAGCTCTGTTTCCGTCAAGTTTGCAGTGAATGCGTCCGTGAGGAATCCATCGTCTGGTTGTCTCTAACCGTGACTCCAACCGCCTATCGTATTAGATAGCCGCCTGGAGTCTTGGGCAATAGCTAGCTGCTAGTGCTAGGCATCAAGTCTGCATGCTCCTTGCAATGAAAGTAACAGTTGCGATGTTTTGTACAAGTCCGAAGATCCTTGAATTTTTTTATTGCTTTTTCGGATGAATAGGGTGGACCATCCTGGACGAAAAGTGGTACGACCATGGTCGTAGTGGTCGTACCGTGTGTGACGCCCCTGCATGACAAGGTCAGGTCAGGTGTACATGCACACACGCACGTGTGCTTGGGGACACACATGCATACATGCACAGACACACACATGCAAGCACACACACACACACACACACACACACACACACACACACCATGCACACACACACATACATACACACACACACACACTCACACACGCGCGCACGCGCACGCACACACACACCATGCACACACACACACCATGCACACACGCACGCACGCACGCATGCACACACGCACACACACACACGCACACACACACACGCACGCACGCACACGCACACGCACACCCACACGCACGCACGCACGCACACACACACACACACACACACACACACACACACACGTACACACACACAAACAGGGAACACGTTAAACTGTTAATTAACTCCACCAGGCAGCAAGGGCACTCCTCATAAGCTACTTACAGTGATATTGTTGTTACCACTGAAGTAATCTTCGGGAAGGACGTAACTGAAGTGTCGTCAATTTCTCTACAGGGGAAAAACAACAGAATAAATGGTGTCAACGCTACATCATATCACAAACTAGACCGTAAGTGCCCCGCTTCCACCCGCCACGTATGTCATTGGCCTGCACGCTAAGATGTCAGAATTCCCCGGCAAGGTCTTCTTGCTCTTGGAGATTTTTCTAAACGCCTTTGGGCTTGTCGTCACCCCTCAATTCTGCTCCTAGTATGCTTTCCATTTGCTTGAAATGTAGTGTACTTTTCAGACAGTGTAATGATTCTCAGGGCGGGTTCGAATTGTCACTCTTTGACTTTTCAAGGAGTTTCATTTTTCTGAAGAGGTGGCTTACTGGCCTTCTAAGAAAAACAAAAATCTCCTTGAAGCGTCCAGTCATGATGGCTGAGCGGTCTAAGGCGCCAGACTCAAGGTCTTGTGTACCTTCTGCAGTCAATGCAGATTGGGAGCCTTCTGGTCCACGTATGTGGGTGTGGGTTCGAATCCCACTTCTGACTACTTGAAACTCCTCAAAACTCCACAACCTCATCCGAAGGGAGAGGTGGATTAGTTCCGAAGAGTTTGGAATAGCCACGTCGAGATGGTCGATCGGATCGCAGACGTCATTATCGCCATGACAATTCCACTGAAAAACTCTAAAATGATAGAAACAGTTCTATTGGGACACTTCAACTAATCTCTTTTCGGAATTTTTTCGAACAGTTGATGAAGACAATTCGAACGCACCCTTATTGTTGATAGCACTACATCATTTGCCACCACAGTGATATTAAAAATGTGTGCTGTATTATACTTTTGTCATGTCCCGAGTCTGACTCATCGTGAAAACGACCATGTTCTGGGCTAGCATGGCGCTGCGCATGCATGGTGGACACCAAAGGAAGCACGTGGACCTCAGCTTTGCAGCGCAGTCTGAATTGTGAAAATCGGCTGAGCTGGAGTGATGCGCTGAAAAAGAATGCGCGATTGAGTTGCTGTGCCTTTCCGAGGCATGGTGAGGTAGTTTCGGGAAGGCATGCAAGTGGCACTGGTGTGTATATTGAGCTGAGAGCCACCAGGATGGATTTGCTTGGTCCTGATCTTTCCAACAAGCCCAGGATGATGAAAATCCATCACGGGAACTGAAATGAGTGAAGACTTTGTTGGGAGTTGTGCGCGAAACAACACCAGGAGAGTCAGTGCGCTGGACAGCCAGTTTGCTGAAAAGAAAAGAAAAGGGAGGCTGGCACGGAAAGGGTTAATGATAGCTTGCATAGACCCTGGTCCTACCGGTAGGACCTACTGGTAGGACCATCATACACAGACATGCCACACTGGCTATATACCAGTGTCTTCCATAAAATTGAAACCACACACCACGTAGAGCCATTCGGTGAAGTTCTGAAAATTTGGACGCGGTTGGAGGAGTACTACCGCAGGCTACCATGGCAACGCCCATGGAAGCGGCAGAACAAAAGAAGATATATTGAACAATAAATAATGTAAGATGAGCATAGCAGGCTGACTGATGTAAGCAATGCATTATAACGACCGTGTCGAATGTTGAATTGCCGGGTACCATGGCAACGCCCTTGGCAACAGTAGAAAAAAGGAGTTATAATGAAAAATAAATAATATAGATGCAAGCATGAGCATAGCAGGCTGAACACACGTTCACTCAGTGTGGCAGGCCATGGACGATGTGGTATTGAAAGCACATACGTCCCGTGGCAACAGTAGAACGCCCTTGGCAACAGTAGGAAAAGGAGTTATAATGAAAAATAAATAATATAGATGCAAGCATGAGCATAGCAGGCTGAACACACGTTCACTCAGTGTGGCAGGCCATGGACGATGTGGTATTGAAAGCACGTGCGTCCCGTGGCCGGAGAGCACATCACGGCATTCGGCCCACACGTGGAGCAATAGTAGCTCGCCTTCCTGCCCGAGTCGCGGACATACCTGCACACAACACATTTACGCTGTGTGTGTGGCTTGCCGCTGACCTCAGACAGGGATACCAACCGATGCTCGGTGCCGTCAGGCTGATCTGCTTCAGGTTCCGCAGCACCTGTTTGACTTTGCGGCTGCTGCGGGGCGTTGTAGCGGATCAGTTGCTCCGCAAGACGAGTGGTGAATGCCGAGTGGGTGATCTTGTCGAGGCCACAGCAGAAATGGGAAAATGCAAGGTAAGCATTTGTCTCCATGATGCCAAACACTGAGGCATACACACGATGGTGCCAGGTGTCCGTGCGCCACACTTGCTCCAGAGCCAAGCCATCCTGCCGAAGGTGGTTGTGCACATCAATGGAAGGCGCGCCATCGTGGTACATTGCCACCAACTTCGGTCGATCAACTGTCTTGAAGTACAGCTTCAAGTTGTCATCATACCGCTTTTTCTTGGCAGGATCTCCGGCAAGAGTCGTCCCGCACGTGCTGACAAACGAATGCACCTTCCTGTCGCGCCATGCCACGGCATTCAGTGCTATGCCGTCCCTCTGCGCGGTTGCGGACACGAAGCGGCCTTTCGGAGAAGGACACATCGCGGACAGGAGCTTCAACGGGAAGGCTGTGTGCGCCGTCTTGACAACACCCGCAAAGAAGAGCCCATGCTTCATAAGAGCGACTGCTGTCTTGACGGATGCAAACCAGGAATCGCCGCACACGATTCTTCCCGAGCCATGCCATGTATCCGTCAGTCGCAAAGTTGTGGCAGTTCCAGCACCGAACTCTTTCTGCCACTTCTTGGTAGCCATGGTGTCTTTGCCCTCGTTGATCTCCATCGCAAGCATAATGTTGGTGGACGCATCAGCAACGGACTTAATTTCGCAGCCTACACCTTTCGGCTTCCGCTTGATTTTGATGACTGTGGGCATCCCGCCAATGTCACCACCACGACCGTACCAAGCAAACATTGACTCGTCCACCGTCAATTTGTGGCCAGGCCGGATTGAAGTCTGCCACTTCAAATTGCACATGTCGATGAGGGGGCTCACAATTTTCCAGCCGCGCCTGGTGTCTCCGCTGACTGGTGGACGAAAGTGCATGGCAGCAAGAATTTCCTCAAAGCGATTTGCTCCCATGCCGTATCGACGTCCGAAGGCTGGTGCTGGAAGGAGACCCTCGGTCACACTCCAGTGGTCACGCCGTTGGCAACGTACTGGACACAGCGTCATCAGGTAGAGGAGACCTATCACCTTGTAAAACTCATCGCGGGTTACAGATTTCCGCTTGTCACGCAGGTGAGCATTTGTGCACTTCACTATCTCATCCATTTCCTCGTGCGGAAAGAACAGCATCCAGGCGTCCAATTCATTCATTGTGTGCAAATTGTCAGCATTTACTTTCGCTTTGTACGGAATATCCTTGTACTGATCGATCACTATGTCACCCAATGTCCAGTCCAAACCATGTGCCTGAAGAACAGTGGGAGCGTCTTCAAGACTCGAACCTTCACTACTGCTACATTCCGATGAATCCGAATCACTATCGTCGTCACTGCAACAGCTACTTGAGCTGCTGTCGTCGCCATCGAGTGCAGCTAGTGCAGGTTGTCGCCGCGTCGATACGGGGTCTTGGGAAGTCGGATTTACTGACAACGGTGAAGTATCATCGTCGTCGTCAAACAAGCATTGGTCAGGCTCTGGAGTTGGAGAGCGGCGGCGTTTTCTCGATGGAACATTGGACGACTGAGCAGAACGTGCCGCACGCACAGATCCAGAACTTACACTACGACTATTTGCACAGGTACGACTATTACTAGGCCGATCGGTTGAAGTATCGTCGTCGTCGTCAATCGAATGTATCTCCGCAGGCTCCGGAGTTGGAGAGCGGCGGCGTTTTCTCGATGGAACATTGGACGACAGAGCAGAACGTGCAGCACGCACAGATCCAGAACTTGCACTACGACTATTTGCACAGGTACGACTATTACTAGGCTGCGGATCGGCTACATCGCTGTCGCTGTCCTCAAAACGCTTGGGACGAACAATTCTACGCTTACCTCTTGCTCCGTCGTCGCACGGGTCGGACTCTGCAGCTGCACGAACGTCAGCAACGGCTACAATCGATGTAGTACTGTCCAAATCCCACTTTATTCTGCATCGTTCTCGATCAAAAGTCACACTCAAAACAGTGCCCAAACACTCCGCACTTCTCCAGCTGTCTCCGTAAGTGGAGAATGACCATCGATCCTCATCGTGTGCGTAAAAACCATGATCAAAAGTCGTCGCTGGCACAGTTACTCGCGTTCCGACCTGAATCAATGTAGGCATTTTGACAATGAAAATTTGCGCATGCGCAGTGCGCAGAACATGTGCTCGCGTCTTGCGCCACTGCTAAGGAGTCCAAAGATTACAACAACCCAGTTCAAAAAAAAAAATTCTCAAGCGTTCAGATTTTCTCAGCGTGATTTCCAGCGTCCTACCGGTAGGACGCAACGTCCTACCGGTAGGACGCTATGCAAGCTATCATTAAAGGGTTAATCTAGCCAGGAGTGGCCCATTGGTAAACATGCATGCATACTTCGAATAGAAAGAAAACACACACGTGTGCGCATGCATGCACGCCTATATGTGTGCTGCTCACATTTTCGTCAGGGATGTTGGGGTGAATACGGCTGCGGTTAGCTCCCTCAGTGGTATCCTCCTGATTGTCCTGTTCGACCAGCATAGCGGTGCAGCAGAGAGCAAACGCAAACAAAAAGCAGCGTACATGTACATCACACCATAGCATAACTTCTACTTCTTTAGCTTCCACCCTGATGTCACGGAACCAAGGCCATTCCGAACCTCGGGACGCTACAACACAAAGGACAAGAATTGATTCGCTTACATTCCCCATTAGTGTTATATCATATCTTCCGGGGTGTTAGCCGCACCGGGGTCTAAGTCGCACCCTCCCCCCCTTTTTGGGCCCAAAATTCGTATCTTCTTGACATTCAGAGTATAAGCGGCACGTCAGATTTTGAGAGGGGTCCGAGTACGAAATTAAAAAAATGAATGATGTTCGCTTCAGGGATGACAGAAAAAACTTTTGCAACAACCCATAAATAAACTATCGTACTGTTGCCGGTGATTGTAGAGGTCACAGACAACAGTACTACGCTTTCACAGGAAAGCGGCTCTGACCAAAAAGCGGGATTCACAGAAGCTTTTTTGCGATGCGACACGCGATGCGACGCGATCTGCGACGGACGCGTGCGATGCGAACTCGCGAAATACCATTCACAGAAGAAGTCAGTGATGCGACAACATCTTGCTGATTTGGCTACGTCACCATGATATTCGCGCGGTTTGATACAACTTGTACAAATTTATAGGCAACTCTTGAACCTTTGTACAACTTTGCTGTAGAAAAGGTCAAACTCGTACGCCAAATCGCTTGTCGCATCGCATCGCATCGCAAAAGTTGAGCCAAGCTCAACTTCTGCGATGGCCTGCGATGGCCTGCGATGGCCTGCGATGGCCTGCGATGGCCTGCGATGGCCTGCGATGTCCTGCGATGGCCCAGTTGCGGCAGTTGCGTGGGGTGCGACATGGCTGCGATTTGGGGTTTTCCCGGTTTCGCGTCTGTCGCATCGCGTGTCGCATTGCAAAAAAGCTTCTGTGAATCCCGCTTAAGAATGAATGTCTCCCGAGCTACAGTGCGAAGATACCAGTATTTTTCAATACAATATTCGCTGATTTCTCGCAACCTTCTAGCGCTAGTTCCGCGTAGCCTTGCCGCAGAAGCTGTTACTGTATGCCAAGTATTCATGGGGTTGGATTTTACTTGCTACCGCTCTATGCTAAGGTGATCTACTATGCATTTGTACAGTGCAAGCACTTTTCTAGAGACAGATAAATAAGCCCATTGCGCAATGGCGTAATTTGTACCCCGAACACCCCACACAGCCACCTGGGCATGGTCGTCTGGGGTGTTGAACAGTACATTCCTGATCCCAGCGTACTCACATAACACCCCACACAGCCACCTGGGCATGGTCGTCTGGGGTGTTGAACAGTGCATTGCTGATCTATGGTCGTCTGGGGTGTTTAACAGTGCATTCCTGATCCCAGTGTACTCACATGCATTACTCATGTAAGTCATATTTGGCAATGTGTAATGGGCTTATTGTGCGCTAACAAAGACGAACAGCGCCCGACCAACCAGAAAATCTTTCTAAAAACTGTGTGGGTTCGCAGGAAGCGTGAGTTTCGAAATCTGAAGAAAATGTTGAAAGGTCTCTGCTGGGATGACGGCTACACCATAGCTCAGTGGTTAGAGCATCGCTGGCTATAAGCAAGGATCCCTGGTTCGAGTCCTGGTGGTGACAGTCAAGTTTTTCCTTCAGTCTCTCCAAAGAGTATTCTTTATGTGGTGAAAGAAGAGTAAGAACGAACCAGGTCTCTCTCCCTCCGTGAAGTTGTTGCGGCAGCTGCTGGCCAGCTGTCTGCGACGGAGTGTGCATGCATTGTAATTTGAAATAAGTGAAAGTGAAGTTTTACCACATAAAATTGGTGCCGAAACCCGACCCTGTCATCATGACACCTGCTATGGCGTCAGTTAATTAAGGCCCTCGGTAGGGCGCTTGCAGTGCACATCGGTGCGTTCGAGGAGAAAACACGCCAGTGCGACGGTTGGCTGGCAAGTGCCCATGCAAGTAATGACGACGGTGATGGCAGTGACAGTGAGTCGTACCCTACAGCATCAGATTCACCAACATACCGTAAGCTCAGAGCATTCCTCACTGAATTCAAAGAGCATGTCGATAACTTGCGTAGCCTCACTGAACGGTATGGTGTATCGGTATATGAAGGGAATCCAGTTGACAAAGACGGCAAAAAGCAGAAATTCTCTGTCGTCGGTTGAGTACCGGTATGTCGACACATCCGAAAACCCCGTGGACACTCCATCTCGCGGGGCCACTGAAGAATAATTCGAACTGGTGGCACGGGTCTCAGTGGATTGGCAATGAGGAAGTTAGCCATCGGTATCAGTGATTCCAGCAAACACCGTGGAATTGGAGAAATCTGACAACACATTCCTGGCGGTAGAGGGTCCTACGGAGTACCCAATTGTTGTCCCTGCCCTTTTGGCACGTGTGTGCCCCTTTTGGCACGTTGGTGTGGACCGCGCGCGGTCTGCGCTGGTTTCATGATTATCGTACATGTTCTTGTTGTTGTGCGCATGCTTATCGTGCGCATTCTGGTTGTTTTGGGTGCCTTCTTCCTGAGACTCTCCTTGGAGTAAGACGAAAATAATCTGTCCTCTGAGTGTGGCGTGCGTGTGATGTATGACTAAGAGAGTAATCGGAAGGGCTATCGCCGAGGATTAAAACCCCCCGACGACAATTGGCGCCCAGCTAGTGGCATCGTTTCCCACGACCCTGAGATCGTCCTGTCGTCCGCGGCCTTTCCTGTCTATTTATTTTTGTCTTCACCTGCCTCCGGCTTTCTTTGGCGATCCCCATGTCTCGGCAAGTCTCCTTCGGACGTCCAAACTGGCGGCCAGCGAGACAATTCAGGTAAGCAGCTGCCTTTAGTTTACTACTAGACATTGTTGTGCCATTAGTTCGTAACGCCTGTCGTGTGGCATTTGTTTAGTGTTGGCCTGCTTGTGTCTGCCGTCCGTAGTCCTACTCTGGATCCCTGTTCCCCCGGGCGTAATTTTGTTCATCCGTATTCTTTCGTTACCTGGAGTAGCCTCGTTCAATTGTTGTGGCCTCATGGCTAAAGTCACAGTAGAAGCGCCTGAAAGACCGGCGGTTTCCTCCATGGGTGGGCCCGCTCTGTTTCTACCGGCCCCATTTGCGAGGTCAGTCCCAGGGTTGGTTCAGCCCCCGGGTTACCTCCCCACACCTCCCCCATCTCCGGTGGTTGTGCCCCTGCTGGTGACCAGGGTTCCCCTCCCTTGGTGGGTAGTCCCCCGGATACCCCGGCCCCGAATCCTCCTGATTCTTCATTGCCGGGTAGTCCGTTGTTGACCCCGACGCAGAGTCCTCCGGTTTCTCCCACCCATCCGCCCGGGACACCACGTCATCGGCGGAGGTGTGCCCTGCCCCGGGGGGCTATGCGGCCCTTGACGAGGGTCAGTTAGACCTCTCGTGGAGGGGTTGGTGATGTAGCTATTGTATACCATGGATATTCCCAGTTGGTTGTTTTTTTCTCCTCTTTTTCTTTTTTCTTCTTCTTTCTTGCTCAGTGTTGCCCTCGCCGACCCGGCCATGGTGTTGGACCTCATCGAGGAGTGGAAGTCGTTTTTCGAGTCGCTTCCCGAAGACATGCGTCCGGCTTCCCTTCTGTCCGCTTCCTCGCCGGTGGTGGCTGCAGCGCCAGCGCCAGTGGTGCCTCGTCGCCGACGGTCCCGCCGCTCTCGCAAGAGGCGCCGGGCCCGCCGAGCGGCGCAGCGTCGCGCCGCCCTCGCTGCTCCGTCGCCAGCTGGTAGTGTGCCGGACAGTGCGCCTTCCCCTCCCAATGTGGGGTCGGAACTGGTCTCCCTCGTTGAGGTCCATTGTGTCAACGACTTTGCTGAATTTTTTCCTCATTATGTATTTTTTGTTCGTCGTTTCCTTTGGGTGAGTGGTGTCCTAGGTTGGTGCTGTTCTGTAAAAGATCCCTACAAGGATAGGGCATAAAGAGGTGGAGCAGCTTGCCAGCCGGGGTCCTCTTTGAAACTGTAGCTTGCAGGTTCCTCCATTGGTGCAGAGTTTCGCGGGGCTCCCGGCTGGTGTCAACCCTCCTGGCCTACTCGTCACTTGCCCAACGGTCTCGTCTGTGTTTTTTTGTTTATATATTCGCCTATCTATGTTGTACATATTTCATTTCTTTCTTCTTCCTGTCTTCTTCTCCTGTCTGTCTCCTCGTTTTGTTTTTCTTCTCTCCCATCCTCAGGAGAGGATGCATTTTTTTCATGTGGAAGTATGTTGTCCCTGCCCTTTTGGCACGTGTGTGCCCCCTTTGGCACGTTGGTGCGGACCGCGCGCGGTCTGCGCCGGTTTCATGATTATCGTACATGTTCTTGTTGTTGTGCGCATGCTTATCGTGCGCATTCTGGTTGTTTTGGGTGCCTTCTTCCTGAGACTCTCCTTGGAGTAAGACGAAAATAATCTGTCCTCTGAGTGTGGCGTGCGTGTGATGTATGACTAAGAGAGTAATCGGAAGGGCTATCGCCGAGGATTAAAATCCCCCGACGACACAATGATGATGAATTTGGAACGGTATTCTTCGTGGGGAAAACTAATACGAGTCTCAGCGTATGTCTTGAGAGCCATCGAATGTATGCGTGGTAAGAAATGTAATGGGTTTCTTACATCACAAGAGCTCAAGAATGCGACAATGGTTTGGCTACGAGATGTGCAATGGACTGAATTTCCCGACACGCTAAAGCTAATCCAGAAAGGAAAACGGAATGATCTAGCTAACAAACTCGGCCTGTTTCTAGATGAAAACGGAATAATGCGGTGCAAAGGACGGTTGGAAAATGCAAACATACTGCTACTGTCGAAGTTCCCAGTCCCAATGCCCAAACATTGAAAATCGGAAAAATAGAAGGAAAAAAACACCGGAGTAATGATGGCATTGACAATGTACGGTCAACAACAGTGAGATTGCCAAGCTCAAAGACACTTCGGCGACCACTGATTTTGCTGTACCCAATGGAACTCCATATCAATAATGGAAAAACCAATGACGAAAACAGAGATTCGGCAAACAACGGTTCGGCAGACGACAGCCCGGTAAGCAACGACACGGCAAACGACAACGGCGCTGCAAATGATGAGCAGCAGCTAATCAACAATGACGGCGGTACAGTGCACGCCGGCACAGAAGCTAAACAAGCAAGAAGTAAGCGGCAAGCTGCTCAAAGCAGTATGGAAAGTTAGTGTCTGAATCGGGTCAATTATTTGAGTATGCATGTTTGTTCTAGCCTTACTATTCTCGGCGGGAGTGTCGCAATATGTGCGAATGCCGGACTGTCAATATTTGAAAACATGTTACAAGTGCAATTTGAATTTACGATACACATTTGTGTTTACGTCGCACTCTTACCTAAGGCCACCCCGTTTTTTTCTATGTTTCGCGTCACCTTGTTCGATGAAATCAAAGAGGGAGGGCGAAAAAATAAAAAAGGCCATCTAAAAAAAAAACATTGTACGTTCATGGTATTGTACAGTGTAGACCCGGTACTGTTCATGTACATTGAACATTATTTTAAACTCACACATGCATGAATACATGAGTGTATCCCCTCTGCCATGCTAGCATGCTTGTGGTCCAAACACAGGCGGCATGATGAGTGTGTGACTTGTGGCCCAGCTTATTACACACACATGTACATGTACATGACATTGTATGTGAGCTGAGTACAATCATGCCGCGGATAAATAGAATGATGCCGCGGGCCAACATAAGAGTTACCATATAACAATCATGTTCCGTTTTTTCTCTTTTGGGTTACATTTTTTCCTTTTCTGGTTTTCTGGGTTTGCATTAATAAATTTGTATTGCATTTTCCAAAACAAAAAAATTATGTTCCGTTTTTTTGTTTTTGTTTTTTTGAACGGCTGTGAAATACATGCGCGCGGGGGACGCGAAACATAGATAAAAAACGGTGTGGCCTGAGGTATATCCCAGGAGCGATAGGGTCCAGGTCCGCTGCCCATAGCTAAGTTATAGGTACAGTAAATATTTGTAGTAAGGTAGCTTGACACATGAGTAGCTTCGCTCTATATTCTTGTTCTGAAATGAATTTTATGTCTGCAATTATTTGATCTCTTCGATCGAACGGTTGATTTATTTGAACTGCATTTTCATGAAGTAGTGGTTGCGACTTCGGTTCGTGTGCTCTGGATGGCAGTCGTGAGTCAGTCAAGTGTCAAGTAAAGTCGGCGGAATAGCGCGAGCTCCGGTGTGGGGAGCAAACCCTTTCTTGCATTTTCATGACTTATTCATTTCCCTTTTTTGCATGCACGCACTGGCCGCGCTCCAGTACAGACGCCATCTTAGCGTCGATACGCGATCGCGCGATCACTACAATGCACTTCCCAAACTGGCTGGCTTTTGCACGCAGGACAATCTATTTTGGGTTTCTCATTTGTGTACACAGTACGCTGGCACGACATGTGTACGCTGCCGTGCGAGCGAAGCCTTTTTTCGAGCGCTCTGTTGTAGTGCTTTGTGTCCTTCTCTCGGTTGTTTTCTCTCCAAACAATACTCTCTTTAAGTGGTGAAAGAAGAGTAAGAACGAACCAGGTTTCTCTCCCTTCGTGAAGTTGTCGCGGCAGCTCCTGGCCAGCTGTCCGCAATGGAGTGTGCATGCATGTAATAAGTGAAAGTGAAGTTTTACCACAACAGCACCAGTTTCTCCATCTTTCCCACGACAGCAGACTTACAAAGACGTAAGGTTCGTGGTACTCAATGATGGCAACCGTCTCAATGGCATGTCTTCTAGTTCACTGCAGACAAACCAAGAAAAACACACAATGTTCACACATGTACGCACATACATTCACATGTGCGCACGTGCACGCGCATGCTCAAGTGCATAATTATGCACACACATACACATACACAAACACACGAACACACACACACACACACACACACACACACACACACATACAATACCCACACAGTCAACTTTGTGGATCTGTATCGATGTCACTGAAGGGAAATTTCCGATTTTGCTACTGTCCTCAACTCAAATTTCACTTTTTTTCTCTCTGCCGACACATACTCATGCCCACGAGCGTACATGGACACACACACACACACACACGCACACACACACACACACACACAAACACACACACACACACACATGCACACACACAAAACACACACTCACAACACAACACACACACACACACACACACACACGCACGCACGCACGCACGCACGCACGCACGCACACACATGCACGCACACATGCACAGTGACAGAGTGTCATGCAGTTCCTTACAGAGAGCTGAGATCTGCTGGAAATGCTCCTGGCATTTTCCCCGTGTACTTGTAATGCTTAGTACTGCTGCTGACATGAGCCTGCATGACCAGCATGCAGACACCAAGAGACAGTGCTTGGCTGATGTGTCGGTACGCAGCAGACCCGTGTGACGGACCCATCTTGGCCATCTTGGATGTAGCTACGACTAGTTCTGGTGCCAATGTCACTGCTATTGCTACTCTGTACAACCAAACACACCAAAAAATAAATAATAACAGAACAACAACAACAAAAACATGTACTGCTCTATTTACCACTTTTTTGCTTGCAAGAACCTTTGGGTCATCCTTCATATTAATAATAATACCGTAAAATCCCGCCACAGCACCCTGTCTCTCCCATGCGCCCCTCCCTGACTTCTTGTCAGGGAAGCGATTGATTGTATCCTCGTATGACCCTGTGATGCCGTACTGTACTGCAGTCGAGTGCTTGACCCGGTTGGAAATGTACGCAACAATGCCCACCCTTTTGACCAGGGATCGCACAAATCCTGAGTTTTTGATGGGTCTGTACGACTCCTGGCTCTTGTTTGACCTTTGGTTGGTGTACGAGATGCACGAACAGTTTTCGTAGGGTGAGTACTTTTTCATGCAGTACTGAATGCGGTAAGTAGGACTCGCCCATCCGCCCCTCCCCAACTGGACCTACTCGAAGGGTGGCGGAGGTAGGGACACTCTGGCGGGATGTTACGGTAATAATAATAAAAGAACCGTCCTGAATGTGTACAACACGTACACCTTACCACGAGATGTGGCCTTTGCCAACAAAACTATGCGCAATGGGCGAAATATAGATTGCTCTTTGTTTTTGTTTTCAATCTGGTGTGAGGTTCCTGAGGTTACCATGGTAACCATATCCTACTGATATCCACTCCACAGACGTCCATACTTCCATATCTCGCTTCTCTAGCGCTAATAATGTAATGATCTGCTTTTCCCCATTGTCCATTTTGGAGAATCCTTAAAATAAATACATGTACACGACAACAACCATCCGTTTTGGGGGCAATGACTTCACACATCATGCCCTGTGTTGCTTCTTTCTTTTCTTTTTTCCTGTACGGGCCTTTGCACCATACAAGGTAAATATGTAGCCAATCAAAGTAAACAAACTATCTAAGTAGGAATTCCTTTACCGGAAATCCAGAAGACGGAAGCTACTACCAGGGAGTAGTACAATACTACTCCCTGGCTACTACTCTGACCAAAAGGAGATCGGTGCTCTTTCTGGCTCACGCTGGAATCCATAAATGGAGCACGTACATGTATATGCAGTTTCCACCGAAAATCGGTTTTGCAAACAAGGACAGCTGCACTGCAAATAGAACACACCCCTGCAACCTGCTTGCAACTTATCCTCAAGACGAGCAAATTTGGCGTGGAACTCCAAATTTCGACGTGAGCTGCATGCAGGTCACTCGCCTTGTTTTTCGACTCGCGAGCCGAAGTTCTGCATTTTGAAATTCGGAATATTTTTTTCCGTCTGCTAGTGTTCAGAGTCGGCAGCTACCAAACTTCCGGGAAAGTTGAAAGGAAAGAAGCAGTCAAGCCGGCAGTCTCTTCTCGGCTGCCTACTTCAACCTCAAATATTTATTTGCGGGCACCGTTTTCCATGTACCATTTTCCATATAGTTGCCCATAGTAACCATGCAATGAGTAGCTAACACGGCTTGGTAAACGGTGGGACGAAATTTTCGGTTTGCAGAGCAGCAAGGTCGCGAACTGAAAATCAGAACCACCAAATTCGACTCGAGCCAGTTGGAAAACACTTCTACAGTAAAACCTGTAGCTAAAGGCCGATTCACAATACAAATTATTTTCTGCGACGCGACATGCGACTTGCGACACATGCGACGAGCTGCGACAGCGACACACGGTTCACAATATTCTTCATGTTTGCGACATCCTCATGCACAAGTAGTACTATGCACGTGCAGTGCACGTGCACCCAGGGTCGAAACTGTACTCCATTTGTGTATGTCGCGTGTCGCATGTCGCAAAAGTTGAACTTTCTTCAACTTCTGCGACAGGTGCATTGCGACAGCTCGCGACAGGCAGTTTCTTGTCGCAACTGTCGCAAATCGCGTGTCGCGTCGCAGAAAGTTGTATTGTGAATCGGCCTTTAAGACCACCGTGACTAGCAACCAGCCTGGTACTACAGACCACTTCGCCAGGCACGGCCGGTCTCACATTCACATAAGGCTGTGCGGTGCAAACCTGTAACTAAGGACCACCTGCCACTAAAGACCGCTTTCTCTAGCCCGAAGGGGTGGTTGCTGGTCACAGGTTTTACTATACAGGTAGACTCCCTCTAATTCGAATACGGTATAATTCGAACATTCCGTGTAATTCGAACTTTTTCGTCGTACCGATCTTCTGCAAGTCACTTCAAGTCAAAATCGAATGCATAATTCGAAGTACGAAAAGTGCGCCGGTTGGATAATTCGAACCCAGTCTTCGTACAGAAGAGCTGTTTACAGTACATTGGCTATGTCCTTTGAACGCTTATTTCGAAGTGAGATTGAGTTGCTATTCTTGTAATTCGAAGTTCATTCTTTTCTCCTTCTCTAGCCAAGAGCAGCTCAAAAATCGATCGATGGTCCCTGGCAGGATCGACTATAGCGTTCAAGAAACCCACCTTCTCTCGAAATTTGATTCAAGCCCGTGCGAGGCAAATTGCAAAGGTCTGATTGAAGACGACTTCTTCCAGGTGGCTGACTCTCTTCGCGGATCTCGATGGCCTTTCTAGCCGCGCCAGCTCGTGCGCGGAGATGTTGGCGCACAACAACGCTACTGTATTGTCGTAAATAATGTCTACGCCTATGCTCCACTTCCGTTCTTCAGAACGACGTGCTGCTGTCCGAATGCCTTTCATATTCATGACGCGGATTAGGCAGCGCAGTTCTTTTCCGTTGAAATCGTTTCAGGAAAGCTGCAGTGACTGACAACTAAATACTTCTTCACTAGAAGATGAAGATAATGATTTTGTGTCGATCCAGTGTTTTGATGATCCGTTGTAAAAATAAAAATATTCAAAAAATATTCAGCATGCGATTTCAAGCATTTTGACATACATATCAGTGCATGGGGCTGCATTTGGATAATTAGAAGTTCCGGGTAATTCGAAGTTAGGGCCTGGCAATTTGAGGTTCGAATTAAAGGGAGTCTACCTGTAATTATATTCAAAAGGCAGAACAACCCCTCTAAGTGCATTACCTCTCTTTCTCTCTTTCAAGTCTCATGTGTGATGTCCAATGACTATGTGCTGTACAGTGACATGGTCATTTTGGGAAAAAGATTTGCAAAGACGGATCCGGGGATACAATTCTGCGAGGTGGAAGTTGGCAGGAGGCGCCGAGCAAGGCGTAGCCGAGAAAACATAGTTCTCATGGATAGTGGACTGGTGAGGATAGCGCTTACCTTCCCCTCTTTGGTCTCTCCCTAACCTTGAACCTTCCGAGTTGGAAGGCTGTTGGTTAGCGCTACGGAGATGTGTTGAAGCTAGGTGTCAGGTTGTCGAATGTCTCAGTACTCTGTCACTTTCTGCCTATACATAGTATCTAGTTACAGTGGTAGACGTTACTCGACTCGTATCCATAATGTTCTTTTCCTTTCCACATTTATCATTGGCTCAACATCCGAGCCACATCCGAGTTTCAAATAAGAGCATTAATTTTGCATGTCATAACATTAATTTTATGAAACGGAATTTCGAAGGAATTGGAGCGTCGCATAGCTCCTGTTTAGTGTGCGGACTTTAGGTCTCAACGCTTCCAGTTGTTCTGCCACTTCCGACTAAGCTAAGGGCTCTGCTCCTTGTCTATTCGTCGAGCGAGTCTATCAGTGCGAAGGCAACATCAAATTCTCGCCCACGCTCGTCATTTCAGGAGGAAATCCTGCAGAAGGGGAGACGAAGATACGGTGTCCGTCCGTACGGAAATGTCTGCACCGCGAACGCACGGGTCAATCTTCTGAGCCAGGAGCACGAGCAATGGAGAATAGCTTTGATGGTCGCTGCCGTCTCATGCTCAGGCGAGTAGCGGGATTTGTGCAGGAGTTTCAGAGTGTAGTTGCCAATTTCTTACCTTCGAACCACGAGCACGACTGCACCGTGAAATCTTCTGTTCGGAACGGCAGACTTCCGCTCGACCACGGAGCTGTAGAATCCAGAAGCAGGCAGAACGATACCCAAAAGGAAGCCTTACTTCTACACGAGAATGCCCGCAGCAACTAGCACTTCAGGGAGTCCGTCTTCCTTTCCTTCCCTCAATCAGGTAAATGAGGCTATTTATTTTACAAAAGGATTTCGTTGCGTCTTTATCTTTGTCACCGACGCCCCGGCGACGGGAGCTCGAGATCCGATGAGTGCCACTGTGCAGTGTGCAGTGTGCACACGACCTCGTCTTTCCGCGGATCCTGCAGGGCCCCCATACAAGGCTGGTGCCCAGGCCAGCCAGATCAGTAGGCCAACACCGTTTTTGTAGACACCGAGGCGAGGATCGATACTACTTTTTTTGTAGGAAGAGAAGAAAGGCATATCCGGCTGGTGCAAAGGTCATGCGTCGCACCGTCACCTACTACTTTTAGACTACTGCCAGTACTGATCGTCATGGTGATTGCTATGCCAAAGGCGCGCATACCAAAGCAGCATGCACCGCGCGTGCACGTGCACATGCATGCATGCATGCAGCGCATGCAGGGCATTGCAGGTTAGCCGGCTGCGCTGCATGCATGCTTTGAATAAAAGACTTTTCATAAAACATTATTTTTAGAAACAACAGAATACTGTACTGATTTGTATTTTCGAAACTACTTTTCATCCATATCTTCTCCCCAGTAGCTCAGCAATCTCTGTCAGCCATGTCGTCGACACAAGAATGTCCTACTCGCAACCGTCGTGTCTACTTGGATAACAACGCCACGACCCCATACGCTCCTGAGGTGCGCGAGGTGATTTCATCTGCCCTAGCAGAACACTGGGAGAATCCCAGCTGTGGCTACGAGGAGGGCTGTCGTGCAAAGGCCCTGCTGATAGAGTCCAGAGCCAAGGTACACAAGCACAGGAGATGTTCTCGTATCAATCGAGTTACTCAATTGCACATAGCATACTGTGTAATTGTTATGTTTGTTGTGCACACCAAGTCAGGATGGGACATTGTCCGAGAGGTGCAGACATGGTGAAGATGGCTGCGGAATTTGTACAATACTGTACATGTAGAGAGGTTAAGATGCACGTTATTTCCGACGCGACGCGCAATTTCACGTCAAATTTGACGTACAACTCCAAATTTCGACGTGAGCTGCAGGTCACTCGCGTTGTTTTTCGACGTCGAGCCAAATAACGCGAGCTGAACTTTCGCGTCGCGTCGGAAATAACGTGCATCTTCACCTCTCTATTCATCGCAGCTGCTATCACCTGGAGTATTCTAATGGCAGGTGTAATGGCCAAACGGGGGGGGGGGGGGGGGAGAGAAGTAACTAAGAACTCAAGTGCGGAAGGCGCCCTTAGGTTACGTTTGGTTGGTCACATTCCCAAATGGGAATCACTTGGAATCGTTCTCGCCCGTTTGGTTGGTCAAAAAAGTGCGTTACAGTGCATTTCAAAACTATAGACGCGTAGGGTTTTTGAAATATTTCAAATTTGGCTGGAACCTTTTGAGAATAGTTTTCGGAATATTGCTCAGAATCGCTCCACATTTACTCTCATATAGTTTCTAAAGGATTAGATAACAGACGCCCAATTTGGAAAAAAATTATGCACAAAGTGATCACAGATTTTATGTGGTATAGATGCTGGCATAACGGTTTTTGCCTAGGTACGCGTCTATAGTTTTGAAATGGACTGTAGGTTGGTCACATTCCACATGATTCCAGAATGGGAATCGCTGAGAATGATTCTTTTTGGAGAATGATCATTCTCATTCCGGAATCAAAAATGATAATGGCTGCGACGAGCCAAACAATGTAGCAACAGGTTCAAGTGCCTCAAATCATGCACTCAGAAGTACCTTGACTCTCTCAAGGAAACTAGAGTCGAGTAAAAGAAAAGACAGCCGCCGTTCCACAACGACATCATGGAATTGCTATGTCAAGTGATTCCTAATTGATTCTGGCGCGTTAGTTTGGTCAGGTGATTCTTGCCGATTCCCATTCCAGAATGGTTCTCATTTAAATGCCCAACCAAATGCAACCTTAGTCACATGCATGTATAGGCGTAGGTCGCGTATAGTCAGCGTAGTCCGTTCATCACACCAGCAAATGGCTGTCATAGGGTCTACAAGCAGTCAAAAATAGGCAAAATGACAGCTATGAGGTTGCTGGTGGTACATGGTCACCACCAGGGAGTCGTAAGATACCTGGTATTTTACGACTCCCTGGTCACCACGCTACAGATGTGCTCGGGTACAAGGTCACCACACCAGAGGTGTGCGCGCTACGCTCCTGCTGCCAGCTAAGAGGCGGTGCCTGCGTGCGCTGTGCCTCGTTTTATGAATTCAGAAAACTCTAGTATGAAAGCCTCTTGAAAAAACTCCTGTGTGGAATATGTTTGTGCATACATGTGCGTGTGTGCATGTTGTGTGTGTGTGTGTATGTTTGCTGTGTGTGTGTGTACGTGCATGCTTGCTGTGTGTCCTTGCCGTAGCAAGGTCGCCGCGGCAATCGGCTGTCGCAATGCGGACGAGGTCATCTTTACCTCCGGCGGCACAGAAGCCAACAACTGGCTAGTGCGATGCGTTGAACTGCAGCAGGCCTCTAGCAAGCAGCCAGTGCATATAGTGACGAGCAACATTGAACATCCGTCTGTCTCTCTGCCAATCGGGGATCTGTGCTCGCGCAATCCGTCTGTCACATGCACACACGTGCCAGCGGACGCGAGCAGCGGTGCCGTGCGTGTCGAGGACGTCGTAGCGGCGCTGACGCCGCTCACCGTCCTCGTCAGTGTGATGCTCGCGAACAACGAGACGGGCGTGGTGCAGCCCATCTCCGCCATGTCCAGCGCCGTCCGTGCCTGGGCCGCGACCGCCGGCGTTCGACCCCCGCCGGCCGTTCACACCGACGCCGCGCAGGCCCTGGGGAAAATCCCCGTCGACGTGGCGCGCCTCGGCGTCGACTTTCTGACCCTGGCCGGCCACAAGTTCTATGGCCCGCGGATCGGGGCGCTGTATGCGCGCACGGGTGCTCCGCTGCGACTCCGTCCCATGCTGCTCGGCGGCGGGCAGGAGGGCGGCTTGCGCTCCGGCACCGAGAACCTGGCCATGGTGGCGGGCTTGGCGCGAGCGTGCCAGCTGGTGTCCGACGACCGGGAGCTCACCACTGCCAAGTGTATGGCGGAGACCTGCTCTCAACTGCGCCGTGGATTGTCGTCGGCGCTAGGCGAACGTGGCGTGCAGTTTAACTGCCGCAGTGCTGGTGCCGGTGCCGGTGCTGGTGGTGCTGGTGGTGCTGGTGGTGCTGGTGCTGGTGCTGGTGCTGGTGGTGCTGGTGCTGGTGCTGGTGGTGCTGGTGCTGGTGGTGGCGATGGACTCGACGATGACCCTACTGCTGCTGCTGCTGTTGGTGCCAACGTACTGCCGAACACGTGCAGCGTGGCCTTGCTGTGCATTCCGGCGGCGTGCACTGGGCGCGACGTGCTCAGCCGGTGTCACCATGTCGTGGCCGGCGTCGGCAGTGCCTGCCACACACACGCCAGCCAAGATAGCGGTAGCATCACTGGCAGCAGCAATGCGGGAACGGGCAGCAGCAACACAGGAACGGGCACGAGCAATACGGGAACGGGCAGCACGCTGACACGCAGCGGGGTGTCGGCAAACGCGGCTCGCTGCACGCTGCGACTCAGCACGGGTCGCTACACCAGCAGTGATGACATTGCCGTTGCAGTGGCGGATATTGTGCAAGCGGTGCAACAGCTACAGAGCGAATACGAATCTGCATAGCGATGCCATAGTCTGCTGAATCGTTTACTGTCAGCACGGGCCGCTATACCAGCAGCGATGACATCGCCATGGCAGTGGCGGATATTGTGCGAGCAGTGCAACAGCTACAGGGCGAATACGGATCTGCATAGCGACACGATATTCTGCTGAATCATTTCCCCCTGTCAGCAGGCTGAGTTATTATAGTTTTTAGTGCAAAGCAGTGTCCGTTGACGTGCAGAAGTGCTCTAGCAAGTTTAGTGTCTGCATTTCCTGTTTTTCTGTACTGGAAACGTTTAGTCCTTTCACATGTGGCAAACCATGGCAGTATGTTTGGTTCGAGTGGCCACCATCGCGCAAACTGTATCCTCGGGATGATGATATCTGTGGCCTCGCTTCAGTTAATTTTGCAGATATATTCCCAGTAAGCCATGAACGGAGATCCCCTCGACTAACTTATGCCTCGGCATTTGGGGAATCCATAAATAAATAAATAGAAAATTTTAAAAAAAGTTGCAGTTTCTATCGCCACCGGTGCTACGTGTACATCAGGGAGTCGTAAAATATTTACGACTCCCTGGTGTAGATCTGTAGCTGTTTGCAAGTCAGACCATATTGCCTGGGTCGGTGCAGGGCTGGAATATCTGACATCATGCAGGGCCTTGCAAAATGAAGATTGCAATCATGGATAGCGGCTGGCCTCGCTTATCAAAGAGATAGAAACGAAAGACTAACACATCGAATTCCGCTTTTCAGATCTCCTTTTTAAAACCAATCTGTCAATCCACGCTCAGTTGTTTTGCTGCTTTTCAGAGACTCTCCGTCGGACCCAGCGGTTTCTTCACCCCATTCAATGTTCAGTGGGCCGGTGATAATACGTACCCCATATTGCGCAGGAAAGTGTACCTTCAAGCTCGCAGTAACTGACATACTCCTCATCCAAACCTACTTCATCATGGAGCAATACATCCGTGCCCATTTCTGATTTTCAGAAAGCACAGTACTGTATCAAAATTGACACCATTTTAAGTTCATATCAGAAAACGCATATAATCAGCATTATAATACCATTCGATGGCAATGCATACATTCAACGATTTCAGCATTTGTGCAAAAACATTCTCAGCAGAATTCAATGGCCGGCTTACACGTGTGAGCTGTGCGCCATGCATGCCCAGCCAAATAGCAGCACCAGCAGGTCACGATAAAAGCTATGCAAAGGATCATGTGTGCGCGGCATGGACTGATACCCAAAGCCTGGTCACGGTACGGCTTTCACTACCAGTTCTAGCCGAAAACATACACAATAGATAGACACAATATACATGTAAGATAGATATACACGTATTTCAACTCAAATTTAAAAAAAAGAGAAATGGGACCGACATGGCAAGGAAGCACAGCAAACCTGAAAGTGAGTGTGTGCGTTGCCACGTACACGGCTGAATTCACGAGCCTCGTTCCAGCACGTTTCTAGACATTTTCGCCAGCGAGTGCCATGTGCTTGCATGCATGTACGTCAGAGCGGACAGTTAGGTCAGAGCAGAAATTCTACGTACATCTGTGTGAATATGTACTCATGCACATAGCCTCCTGCTCCACACACCCACATTGCAGCCACACCTGCACAGGTCAGAATCGCTTCAAACAGTACTCCGTGCGCGCACACATCCTGCACACGAGCGCAGTTGGAGATCATTGGAAACAGCACTCCGTGCACGCAAAAATCCGAGGCGGCTCACTCCCACAGCTCAGGATCATTGCAAACAGCACTCCATGCACACACACACACATCCTGCACGCTCGCACAGTTGGAGCCGGATCATTGCAAACAGCACTCCGAGGCTGCTCACTCACACCGCTCAGGGTCATTGCAAACAGCAATCCGTGCACACACAAATCCTGCACACTTACACAGTTGGAGTAGGATTATTGCAAACAAGCACTCGGTGCATGCACGAATCCGAGGCAGCACACTCGCACAGCTCAGGATCATTGCATACAGCACTTCATGCACGCAGACATCCTGCACACTCGGAGATCATTGGAACAAGCAGCCGGCATCACAGTTGGAGCCGGATCATTGCAAACAGCACTCCGTGCGTGCACAAATCCGATGCTGCAAAATCACCCAGCTCAAGACCATTGCAAACAGCACTCCGTGCACACGCACATCCTGCACACTCGGAGGTCATTGTAACACGCAGCCGGCATCGCCAGCCAGCGCTTCCACCGTCTCACCCGAGGCGGCAGAGTGCTGCGTGCCGTCCGGGTACGTCACCACACCGCTACCACAGCGCCGACCATTCTCAAAGTCTCCCTCGTACTTCTCGCCGCTCGGGTAGGTGAGAACGCCGTGCCCGTGCTGCCTGTCGTCTTTCCAGCTGCCCACATACTTGCGCCGGTCGTGATAGATGCACGTGCCGATGCCGTTGCGCTGATCGCTGGCGTACTCTCCATCGTAGTTGCCGCCATTGGGCCACTCCTCAAAGCCGTGCCCGCTCTTGACGCCGTCGTCCCACTGGCCCGTGTAGCGCTGGCCGTTGGGCAGCGTCAGCGCGCCGCGCCCGTGACGCTTGTTCTGCCGAAACGAGCCCGAGTACAAGGTGCCGTCCGGCCAGGTCTTGCGCCCCTCGCCGTCCGGCTTGCCACGCCGCCAGTGCCCCGTGTACTCGACGCCGTTGCTGAAGCAGCATGTACCCTCGCCCGACTCCTGGCCGTCCTCCCAGGCGCCGGTGTACTTGCGCCCGGTCTTGCCGGTCAGCGTTCCGTTTCCGTGGTAGCGGCCGCTCAGGAACTCTCCGACGTACTCGCTGCCGTCCTCGCACTTGTACTCGCCGCGCCCGGACTTCTTGCCGTCCGCCCAGCCGCCGACGTACACACTGCCGTCGCCGTAGATACGGGTGCCGTTGCCGTGGCGTTTACCGGCCGCCCACTCGCCCGAGTAGCGGCTGCCGTCTGGGTACGAGCAGGACCCCTCGCCGCAGCGCACGTCCTCCGTGTAATCCCCGACGTAGTCGCTTCCGTCTTCCAGGATCTCTCGTCCCTGTCCGTGCCGCTTACCTCGCGCCCAGTCGCCCGTGTAGACGCTGCCCTGAGCCGAGGTGAACGTTCCTTGACCGTGCCACAGGTCGTTGGCGTACTCGCCCTCGTAGCTATCACTGTTGGCCATGATCTCGATGCCGTGCCCGTGGCGCAGACCCTGCTCCCAGTCGCCCGTGTACTGCGCGTGATCGGCCGCCGTGTGCGTGCCGTGCCCGTGGTACTGGCCGTCGCGGAACTCGCCCTGGTACGCGTCGCCGCTCGCCGCGTAGTGAACCTCGTGGAAGCCGTCCGCCTGCACCCGTCCATCCTCCTGCTCACCGCGCTCAGAGATCGTGTTGAGCACTGCTGTCGCCGAGCTCTCTACGTCCATCATCTTGCTGAACTTTTAGGTACCAAAACTGCTACAACCTAGTGCCTGGCCGCTAGCCTGCGTGATGTGGTGGCCCCCGGCCGCAGGAGTCTTTGTGACCTAGCGGCGATAGGCTACCAACCCAGATCACATGCAGGTACAATCTGGTCGTCAGCCTGCGTAATGTGGCAGCAAATAACTGGCTATAGGCGGCCAGTTCAACGACTCAATGATCGGTGATTGTGCTACACGCTCAGAACAAACGTGACCATGGCACTAAGGCTAAGGCTAAGGCTCTTGTTTCCGACTCTGCGCGAGTTCCCCCAGGAAGAACTCGACCTTCAGCTCTAGCTCTGCATCAATCGCTCACGTTTCGGTAAGCGTCTGCGGAGGTGGGATGTCCCCGTTGTCCCCCACTGCCAGTGACCGCCTTGAGCCGGAATCCTTGTACGTGCTTACGATGTTTCTGTCTCCCTTCGAAACGATCGACGTAGCAGCACTACCACTACGCTTGCTGTCGATGCAAGACCCTCGAAAGGATCCCTCCCTGCACCACCAACCAAACTTTCACCGGTGCAGCTAGCGAGTGGTCTTTTGCCAGAACGTTAGTTGCCACAGTCCATCACAGCAGTGCACTTCACTGTCTTCAGCAGCAGCAGCAGCGACGGCCCAGCTGTCCAGTTCTTCGAACAGTAGACACCAGAAGGGGATGAAGTTGGTTCTTCCCAGAAGGGCAGTTCACTTTGGAGAAAGAGGAGCCGCAATGTTCTTTCTCGTTTCCACCCAACTAGTTTGCGTCCTTGCAAGCGATTCATTCAGCGGTGGGAATCAAAGTCGGCGCCGTTGGCGTGTGGCCTTCCAAAGTTCTGCTGCCGTGCTGGCTGCTTTCAATGATGTCTGGATCTATATCTATGCGTGTGGTACCTGGCTTTGAAGGGGCATTGCAGTATCTTCATCAGCTAGTGCTAGAGGGGAATGCTGTGTCGAAACTGAACTTCAACATTGGATGAAATGAGACCAGAATGCAGCCTTCACACTGGTATTATCCTATTCTACAATGGCATGTACATGTGCATAATAATAGAGCCACGGATGGTGTGAGCAATGCCAATGCGGCAATGCCAATGCCCAATGGTGAAGGTTAGGACCTAAGTCCTTTTTTGCAAGGTAATCATGCCCGTGCAGAATTTTCGGAGGCATGGCACGCACATGCTGTTCAAGTGTCAGCGCGAAGCCTGCGGAGTCGAAGACTGCTACTACTAGTACTACTGCCCTAGGAGTTGTAGATCTACACTACACACAGACCGCAGGCTAGTGCCTTAGTCTCTTAGACCTTAGTGGTGCTAAACTGAAGCCTTAGTAGTTAGTTAGAAGTGAAGCCTGAAGGCAGTACTGCCAGTAGGGACGGCCGCGATATGAAAATATCATGACACCCAGTCCATGCTGGCTTTGTGGCGTAGATCTTTAAAAGGAACAAAAGCCTCTTTCATTTCCTCAGCTGCTATGCTACTGTTATCTTGTTAGTTGGAAATTGTAAAGTTAGTTAGAATGGGGTTTGCTAGCGCTTTGCATCTATCAAGTATCACACTGTGTCTTTATTTATTTCGTGGAGTCTAGCACCATCGGACTCGCGCAAACACGCACTAGTATCTAGCTCTGTAGATCTACAGACTACACTGAATGGCAATGCTTTTTTATTCCTTCTCAAGACAAGAGTGAGTGTGTCATACATGTATCTGTGCCAGTATGCACTACATGTATGTACTACAATAAATTAAAATAATGAGTCGACCTACCCTTATATTGTTATAACGATATTTGCGTCACACCAAGAAATATTGTTATAACTATAACGTATAAGGGTAATATTGTTATACATGTACATGTAGGGGTAACTGGTTCATTTCATACACATAATTATGTCATAATGCATGGATTTTGTTAATTTTTTTACACTCTTCATAGCATAAAAACTGACATACATGCACATTATGCACACAGCAAGGTGCCCCCATTGCATTTCGTCATGTCCCAGCGACTTATCAAGCGAAGCTTGCCCTACCTGGATAGTGGACACTACATATTCCCTGCTACATATTGTTATAAAATGGAAAATGTTGATTGGTCAGCCCATTTTATATCGTTATAGGGGTAATAAGGGTTTATCGGGTGTTAGCGGCCGTCGTGAGTTCCCTTCGGGAACGGACACGATAATTTACTTTTTTTTTACTTTAGGGGTAATATCTAGGCCTTGACGGATTATGCTAGCATAATGTTTCGAATAATTCCTACCAAAATCGAATAATCGCATAAGTCGAGGCAAATTGCATACGAATCGCATAAAATTGGAATAATCCGCCTGTTCGCATCAAATTCCATACAGTTGTACATGTGAGCGGACAAGGTAGAAATGGAACGTTAGCTGCATGACATCATTTTGAGATACAGGCGTTTGAAGTTTGGCAAACTGTGGCATATTTTTTACCTGGGTTAGAGGGCTCTATTTGCATCAAGCGCTTGTGCCTCGCTCAGCGCAGGGCTTCAAGGTCCAGCACTGAAAATTTGAAGTGAATCCGTTATGGCTGAAGGAAGATATGGCAGCTAGTTGTGCGACGGGTGGCGTATTGACGGGCGAATTTGGAGGTGACGGCGATCAGCTGATAGCCTGCTGTCAGGTGCTGAGAGCTTCTCTGATTCTGAGAGCGTTTCTGAGTCAGGTAGTAGTCGAGAGCGTCTTCCACTACGCCGAAAACGACGTGCCGATCAGCGTTTTGTTTGCTGCTGGCTTCAGCACGGTACAAAAAGACATAGGGAACAAATGAGATGGATCTTTCGGATGCAGGCGAACGTGGTGACAGCAGTGATGATGGTAACACCAATGAAGGGGAACGTTCCTGTGGATGCTGAGTTGTACTGAATGTATACGCCGAACCAACTTCAGAGCTCTGAAGCACACAGCGCAGGAGCTGAAGAAACAATAGCGTCGTGCACCACAGGGGAACGTATGCAGGGACTTAATAGCCCAGAACTGGGCAACTAGCTAGCTGTTGCCCAATGCATTGGATGCAAGTGGCAGACCTGCATCGTGCACTGTCTGGAAATGAGTGTTTTAAGAATTGAGATACACAGAATGGTCAAGGCTGGTGAACATGAGCTGAGTGGAAAGAAGTCAAATCGGGCCTCGGATTGCGGACTGATGTGTAACGTTACGTTAAGTACAGTTTCTCAAGTCTGTGGACTCGTCCTGCTTCGCCAATGGGCACCGTATTGGTGGTGCGTCTCCGGAATATTATTTCGATGCTGTGTGTTCAAGAGCTGTCTGTCTCCTGCCAAAATGTTACAAACTATATTACCAAGGTGCGCCGCTCAGTCGTCGGGAGCCTCAATGCATCAGAGCAGAGTCCGAGGTCGCCAACAGTATACGATGAGAGTGTGCACACATGGATGAAGCAAGAACGCACTGGAATTGCCATTTGTCCGCCAAATTCTTCTATTTTTGACATGTGTGTAGTGGTATTTGATGTGTGGATTGAGTACCAGCTTCAACAGTCCTATTTTGCCTTGCATCACGAGTTTTTCTGGAGCTGATTTTTCGGCTCCGGCTGTTTCTAGTTATGTGGTTTTGTTGCTTGGTTCCACCTCAAACGAGTCCATGTGTGTGATCAGCTCATCTTTCACACTGATATACACTTGTGGAGAAATACAGGCCAAGATAATGGGTTTTTTTTCAGTGTTTTGGTTGTACTGAAGGGTGGACTGTTTAAGTCATCCCGAAACAGACGTTAAAATACTGACCGGCATCTAGAAAATAGTGAATGTAAGGCACTTCCCACCATAGTATCAGCCTGAAACTTTGGGATCTGAAAAACAGATAGTTGTAGGTGACCTTCATGCAAAAAAACAGTTTTTGCCAGACTGCAGTTAAAGGGGAAGTTAAGGCAAAAATTAAAATTTCACCAGTTGTAGTCTTCGGGGTGCTGAGTCGAATGGTCTTGGTCCGAGGAAGCTGAGACGCTCCCTTCCTACTTGAATCCCAATCGAACTCGCGCACTTCCACCGAAACTGGGTGACTGCGCCCTACGAGATGGGTATTTGTATGCAAAATGTCACTAAAAGCGCCATTTCGTTCTTATAAAAGCACGGATGACCGCGATTGGCCCATATGTTGTAGTCTTTGGGACGCTGAGTCGACTGGTTTTGGTCCGAAAAGGCTGCGATGCGGCGTTTTTCCTTAATTCCCAATCGAACATGGTTGAAGAAGCGGTCACGTGCTCCTGCGTACACCAGTCAACTGGTCACCGTGCCTGCACGGTACAACTTACTAGCCTGTTTGACCTTTTTTGGGTGCAGTCCTGTCACTCGAGTTGAACCCGAGTTGAACCTTGGTGTGAAAGTTGTCACCTGCTGGCGTGGTGACCAGGTGATTTGGGCACCCAGGAGCACGTGACCGCTTCTTCAACCATGTTCGATTGGGAATAAAGGAGGAACGCTGCATCGCAGCCTTTTCGGACCAAAACCAGTCGACTCAGCGTCCAAAAGACTACAACATATGGGCCAATCGCGGTCATCCGTGCTTTTATAAGAACGAAATGGCGCTTTTAGTGACATTTTGCATACAAATCCCCATCTCGTAGGGCGCAGTCACCCAGTTTCGGTGGAAGTGCGCGAGTTCGATTGGGATTCAAGTAGGAAGGGAGCGTCTCAGCTTCCTCGGACCAAGACCATTCGACTCAGCACCCCGAAGACTACAACTGGTGAAATTTTAATTTTTGCCTTAACTTCCCCTTAAGGGCCCGGTCCCACATGCAGTGGCGGATCCGCTGGTGCGACAAGGTTTTGCGGGAGTGGTGTCGCACCTCTCCTGCGACAAAATGCTCGCGTGGTCTCACATGCTCACGCGTGCACGGCGAACGAAGCGAGCGCGCCTCTCTGACTTCCAAAAAATTCAGTGCAGCTCTCCTGCAACTCAAGCATGCTTTCACTTCGAAGTACGCGTGCACGTACTGATGGTGTACAGTCTAGTCAGTACTGTGTCTGTGGACAGAACTGTTTCGTCCTTTGTGGACACATCAACGCAGCACTGATGTACTGTTGATGTAGATACTAGGTGTTGGACAGGTCGTTGTTTTTGTTGAGTATCAAGCATTAGCTACATGTCGTGGGTTCGGTATTGTTGACTTTGAGTCTTTGTTCTGTATACTATACTAGTAATCTGAAAGAATGGATTTTCCGTTGGGTAGAGGTCGATTGGCGAGACGTTGTCGACAGGCAATGGAGGCCGCAGCGACATTTTGTTGCTGAATTCTAGTACGAACTTGTTGAGCAGCACGTCGACGATAACCAATGGCAATGATAACTGCTACAGATACTGGTAATAGTGGTACATGTATCGCTCTTGCTTGACCTACATCACAGTGGTCCCCCTGCGTGGTTTTACATGATGGCCATGCTTGGCTGCTCACAGGTCCGGGATTTGGTCTTTGGCCGACGCCGCAGCCGTCGGTTTCAGCTTCTCGGCTATCCACCTATCGCTCCGTATCTCTCTTCACCTTGGCCAAACGAGTCTTGACTTCAACATACATGTACAATTGTAGCCGTAGCTGCTCTGACTAAAGTCAAACTGTCCACTTCATGATCGAAAATAAAATCGAACAACACAAATCGCTCACTATGTCAGAGTGTCGCAGGAGCGGAACTTCCGCAGGAGAGTATACGCTCCAAAAATATTTTGGAGTAGCGGATTTGAACTTTCCGCCACGGCGGAAGTTCCGCTACTCGCAGTTTCCATGGTGATACACGCTGTTGCGACACCGCTGCAGCGGATCCGCAACTCTCAAGTGCATGTGGGACCGGGCCCTTTTTCTACCTTGTCCGCTCACACATGTTCTACAAGACAGTAGATGCACCAGGAAGTCGTAGGTTTACGACTCCCTTGATAACATGTCCAGTCCACTACAATCAGTAGCCAGTGCAGGCTGTCGTAATAAAACGACTCCTCCGTGTTCCATTCCCGTGCATGGTACATGCATGGTGCGGCGGCACAATGACAGCTGTCGCAAATCACACTGAGTATTACACGTGTTTTTTGGTGATTCCTGGTTAGCTGCTAGCTTTTCCCTACTCGAAGATGTTGCCGCCGCGAAATCTGGGGGTTTGTGTTCGTCCTGGCGAAAACCGTGTTTTGATCCGTTGAGGGAGACGAGAGATACAGTGCGAAGACGTACGATCTGTCCGAGAATCGGCGAAGAAGAAAGCTTCGCAGACGACCCGTAGTGGTTGGGAACAGAATGGAACATATACCAGTCGATGCCTGTCATGGTAGGGATGACTGCTACGAAGTTTTAGCCCCATGCTCCCCAGCGCTTTTTAGCGCCCGACGATAATTACCAAATTTCATCGATTTTCCATGTGGATCAAAGCATAGTCTCCTCAATCTTCTCCAGTCGAGCTGAGTCTGGACGCTACAATGTCGAGACGCGAAAAGAGAACATGCATGAACACACAGGAGGCTGAGGAGCATCACATGCAGCTGCATTCTGCCTTGACGAAGCTGAGAACAACACCAGCACCACGCATTTGGAAGACATTTCGAAGAAGACGAAGAACTACAATATCTGCGTTCAAAAAAGCCTCTGTACTGTGCAGTATGCATGCGTGCATGCGCGAAGCACGGGGTCCCCGGATCAACTTCGTTCAAAAATCATTGTGCCACACGGGTTGTATGATTTGTGTGCGATCATGGTCTTTCTTCTTGACAAACAAAAGTGAAGTTTTTCGATCTTCAAATCGCCATAGCGTCCTTGTCATGACTCCAAATCAGCTGAAACTTTGCAGGAGGAATGAAAATGCCATGCTGAATCGATTGGTACCATTTTCGAAGGGTTTCCTTGAAAAATAAAAATTAGCCTGCACTGGCTACAATCAGTGACGGTCGTGGCTAGGTCGGATGGTGCGTTGACCCCGTTGAACTTCTGCTACTACAGTACAACGCCCTCTACAAAAAAATTCCGCTGCTATTTTGCACAGAACCATCATATACATAATACATTAGCAGCATAGGTGAGCATAATGCGGCATAATATGATAACTTTTAGCATATAAATAGCATAATTCTGCAATTTTTTCAGCAATGCGAAAAGCATATTTTCACGAAAATATTAGCATAATCCGTCAAAGCCTAGTAATATCGTTATAGCAATATTGTTATAGAGGTAAGGCATTGTATACACAAGTCAATGGAGTGATTTGGTTTGGCAGAAAAATATCGTTATAAGGCCATTAAGTTAAGGGTAATATCGTTATAGAGGTTATCGTTAGAGGTTATCGTTATAAGAGTAGGCATATACATGTACATGTACATGTAGGTCGACTGTACTACTACGTATCTAATATTGACTGAGTACGAGGTCAATATAGGAAATAAAAGCCGAGTAAAAGACCGAGGCGAAGCCGAGGTCTTTTACGAGGTTTTTATTTCCTATACTGACCAAGTACGAAGTCAATATTAGATTTATCACGACAAACAGTCCGTATTTCAAATTCCAGAACGATAACCTCATGAATCCCGGTTTTATGATTGCACAACCGTTGCACCACCACCTACTCATGCAGTGACAATGCTGCACTAGGCACCGTTCAACTGCGCAACCCCTAACTAAGCAGTCAGTCAAATATAAGCAGTCAATATAGCCCTAACGGCCTAAGGAGTGAAATATGCAGGAATATTTGACTGCTTAGGTATGGCAAAAATCTATGTGAGTCAATACTAAGGGAGTGATAATACTCAGTACTAGTGACTAGTGACAGTAGTGTATTCACACAAGCAGTCGAAAATCCGTGCTGTCAGCCTGTCAGCGGTACGAGCAGGTGAAACCGATTTTGGTACGATTTCAGCTGGACGTCGGATTTACTCACCTAAAGTCCTTGATTCGCTTCGCTGCATGCATGCATGCTTCCTTGATGAGTTGATGTCATCGATGCATGCATGCAACACCGGGTACCGCGGTACCTGTGCACCGACATTTTTGTACGAACAAAAGCGTTCGTCCTAGATCCTGTGCTCAAGAAATAAAAACGCATTTCGATTTCCCCGACTTGAGCCGAGTTGAGGCTGAGCTGAGCAAGAGCTAGCTACGTCTTCAGCTCAGTGCAGTGTGTTGTGCAGAGGTAGAGGCGGCTAGTTGACCTTCCTGACTGAAGTGTTTTACTTTTTAGAGCAGCAGTACTAGCCTTGTGGTGGATCAGATAGCAAACATGGCCGTGAAGGGAACATTCGCTAAAGCGTCCAAGGTGGTCTTGTTTGTCGTCAACGTTCTGTTCTGGGTAAGCTGCTGGATTATGAGCTAGCTAGTGCGTGACTGTGAGTGCAGACGCACACGTACACGTGCTGCTGCTTGCACGCTGGGCGATTAATTATGATGATTGGTTTCTACCCGCTATTTTTGTCAATACGACAATAGCGTACACGGACATGTTTTGTTCTCGTTGTCGTTGAAGGTTCCGTACTGTTGTGTTGCTGTAGTGCATGCTGGGGCTAGGCGGTAGAAACGTCTGCGTTAGGCCACCAGTCGTCAACAATTTATTCTGTTCCTTTCCGCTTGTATTATCAGGAGGGTAATTCTGGCTGCATTCGCAGTGACGGCCCTGTTTTGGCTTTGGGGGACATGCGTCCAACTTATCTTGTCCAGTGCTAACATTTGTGAAGTGGATGCTGTTGTCTATGCATTTCACGGAGCGATCAGATTTGTTTGGGTTTCAGGAAAGTGCCGCTCTTGCTCGTTCTGGAAAGTTTTGTTTTGTTTTGTTGGAGCCTTTGACAGCCGGAGTTCAAGTCAAGTGCGCAGTGCACGAGCAACCGCCTGTTCCCCCCAAAAGCTACCCCTGTTCTTCCTGTAGCGTATGCGGTCTGGCATGCAGGAACATTTAGGCAAGGATGTTTCGCTGGCATAGCGGAGGACTGCGACAGTGACTACTTACTTTTCTTTACTCGCCTCCCGATGCTGCGAATCCTCTCAGAGGCCGAGTCTACTCTGGCACTGGATTGATTTCGCTTGATCTCGGCAGACTACTCACTCTTTTCTTCCGTCATAACTCGTATCTCACTCTCTAGTCTAGCCCGCGCGCTTTTCTGTCACTGCACGCACTAGTACCTGCCATGCAGTGTCTTATCATGCGCGTTGACGTCAGGTCACGGGGGTGTATCGCTGAGCAGTGTCGTCCGTCGACAAGCACTTGATCGATGACAGCAGGGAGGTGTCAATCGTTTGCCTTTGAAAAGACGAAGAAAAAAGTATTCAAACGCCTGTTTGGATTTGAGCTACCTAGTCCTTGCATGCAGCGTGTTACTTCCAGAACGTAATTCCCGGCGACACAGGACAGTGCACGCTAGCCGCTAGGTCGTCGTTGAATCTCAGCAAACCACGCGCACGATAGATCGCCTCTCTGACACAGACGTCTGCGTAATTCTTGCGTCCAGTTCAGGTTCTGTCGATGTTAGATTTTTTTAGTTCTGTCAAGTGTCGATGAATGACCGTGCACGGTGGCTTTGCGTGGCGCAGCACGATAACCTTGATACCATGCCGTCTGCGAATGGACGTTCTGGCCATATGCTCCCAGCATGCAAAGGTCACACTCAGGTCTCCAGTGAGTCATGGCTTGCGTTCAGATTCGCCAGCGACTTCACAAGGTTATGCTGCAAGCCACAACTCACCTCTGCGCTGGACTGTAGCAGCCCGACTAGCGCGCTGTATGGCCATTCGCTTGTGGTGGAATGCGGAAACTGTGACGTTTAGGAGGCTCATTTAGAATAAGTTTTCAATGATCACACCTTGCCCAGTCCAGGAACTTGTGGTCCTGTGTTGTAGCGACACTAGGCGAAGGCATTTCCAGGACCAACTGGGCTGAATTTTTTTTAAACATGAAGCATGTCCATCCAGGCGCCTTGATCCTCGAGGGTGGTGACATTCCTACGGGATGCGGGACGCGAAAAACTCGGTCTCTAGCTGAGTCTCATGCCTGCAAACTGTAAAAACTAAATGTCCGTCCGGAGTGCACTGGCTGACCTTTCTTGCTGATCATCACCACGCGTGCCACGAAAATATGATTCTTGCAGCCTTTGTGTGGATACTGCTATGTGCAAAGCTGGCATTCACATTGGAGATCAGTGTTTTACTTATAAGACACTGCGCCTTGATCCTAGAGGGTGGTGGCGTTCTCACGGCGGATGCGGAAAACTCGGCTTCCAGCCGAGTCTCGCGTGAACCGTGAAATATTATATTATTATTTTATAAGACACTACGAATGTACTCACATCGATATGGCTCATGCACACGCATGACTTGCTATTCGTTAGCAGATTTGTTTGGGAGCGGGGAGGGAGGAGATACTCGCGTATTCACTCGCAATATTCACGAGATATGCGTGCCGGTGTATACTGTAAATATACAAAATTCCGGCGGTGCAAAATTTCGGCACTTCACGATTTTTGACATTTCGGCAGCGATTTATTTTCGGCGTGGGGTAGAGGGCATGGTATAGTGCGACAGATGCTGTGAAAAATTTCATCGGCGTTTTAATTTAGGCGTTTTTGGGTCGGTGCCGAATATGTGTGTGCCTGGAGAGCACTATATAAGTGGTGCTCTTCAGGCACAATCTTCCTCAGCCTACTCAAGCTCAACTGATGAGGGGTGAATTCCCCGAAACACTGTGTATTGAGCAGGGAGTGGTGCTTTCTTGCAGGTTTGCCGAGTCGAAGGTTCGATGGGCTTCTCGTGTGCTCTGGATGGCAGTCGTGAGTCAGTCAAGTGTCAAGTAAAGTCGGCGGAATAGCGCGAGCTCCGGTGTGGGGAGCAGACCTTTCTTACAAATCATCGCCGAAGTCGCAACCACTACTTCGTACTGTGGTGCCGAATATAGCCGAAATTAAATAGCTGCCGAAAATTTGTATATTTACAGTAGGTCACGCTGGACAACTGCTCGTTCGAGTTCGCTGTACAGTTGTGGTGGGCGAAGTCCGACCGTAGGATTTAGTAGCACTAGGTACAGTGCGATGTTGCATGGCGTGGCTGGGAGCGCGTTAGCCGGTAATGCCGGGTGGGACTTTGCAAGTCTTACTCCGCGACGTGCCAGCGTGGACGTGGAAATGATGTTCCTCTGTGGCCTTCATCGGTGAGCGCCATTCTTCACGGCACATGTCCGCCAGATGGGTATGCGTGGCTCATGCAACATAGGGACCCACAAATGCGAACCAGCGTAATTATGTTCTTGCGAACTTTACCCCTTTTTTTGAATGCCATGCCCCTTGTTATTTCTCACTGTCGGCATGCGTGTCTGTTGTTCATCTGTGTGTCTGGTGTTCTCCCGTGTGTCTGTAGCTGGTGGGTATCGGTATTCTTGCACTAGGAGCCTATTCTGAGGTAAGTCACGGTTCTACGTGGGTTTTTTTTTTTTTTTTTTACAATGATCACAGCTCACAGGCAAAGACAAAAAATTGCATAGTGGGAGCATAGTGATGGTGAGGCTTGCGTCGGTACTAGTACGTACAGTGGCCAGCTGGTCTGAGTGGTTTCGTATGAGATGTGTCTCGTTGTTCCATGCGTGTGACTGTGTGTGTGTGTGTGTGTGTGTGTGTGTGTGCGTGCGCGCGCGCGCGAGCACACATGCAGGTGTGTGCGCACGTGCGTGTGCATGAGTGTGTGCGCGTGGTGCTTTGCCAGTGATGTGCATGGGCCAGTTGCTTGGCTCAAGTCTACGCTGGAAAGGCCTGACTGAACGAGAGATGTCTTTGTCTCAATCATGTACATGTAGACACTCAAATACGCTTCGGTACCATTGTATTACGTGTTCTTGACAATGCCTGCATGTGTGTGTGTGTGTTTTTGTGCACACTCGCTCGCATGCCTATGTGTGCGTACATGCACGTTTGTCCACGTGTCCGCACGCATGCACAATGTACAGGTTCAGCGTAAGAACGATGAGAAGATCGCCATCATCAATACGTCCACGTCGTTTGGACCGGTGGCGTTGATGGTCGGTGGAGCCCTCGTTCTCGTTATCGGCTTCTCCGGCTGCTGTGGTGCGTGGAAAGAACACCGTGGCCTTCTCATCTTTGTAAGTGTCAGCTTGGCATTATGCCCCCCCCCCCCCCCGTCCACCTGGGCTGGTACAGCTAGGATCCTTGGCTGGGCTGGTCCCGCTAGTACCCGAGGCTGGGCTGGTCCGGTTAGGACCCTGGACTGGTCCAGCTAGTACCCAGGGCTGATCCAGCTAGGATCCAAAGCCCGAAAACTCAAAATCAAACTGGAGTTTGACGTGAAACCATGGGCTTCTCATCTTTGTAAGTGTCAACTTGGTATTGTGCAACAGGCATGCGATGCCCAGGCCTCAATCCCGGGCTGGTCTATCCAGTACTCTCCATAGGTATATCATTAGTAACTATTCTAGAGGTCTATCAAATCCGGCCAGGTTTTACTTGAACCAATGTATGGAGTGGTAGGTCCAAAACCCGAAAACTAATTCTAATTGGAAATTCAACGAAGGTAATGAGAGAGGTGTGCCTAATAAAAACTCGGATGTTGAGCCAATCGTAATATGAAAAGAGAAAAGGACCTATAAGTTACTAGTTATGACTAGCAGTTCACCAAATGCCAGGTGTCAGGTCGTCAAATGTCTCAATGTCCTTGTCACTTTTGTGCCTTGTTGTCGCACTATCTGACTGCATATTACCTCGTTACCTTGGTGGACTGTTAGTTATAACTAGTAACGTATAGGTCCTTTTCTCTTTACATAAAATGGGAGGATCAAGGGTTTACAAGCTATCCGTTGTTTGGCCAACACTAACAACTATAAGCAGGATACCGGTGGATCAGAACGTGCGACAGTTAGCACAACACTGACTGATGTCATACTGACATTCAACGACCTGAGGTCAACGCAAGCACCAGAATCCGACATCGATGTGGACGCGGAGACTGGAGCATCGACGGCAATCAGAAGAGACTGATGAAGTTGCAGCGTCGTTGCTACCCGCAGCACCTGGCGATTGGGTGGATTCTGCTGCGGAGACAGCCAACGACACTGATGACGGGGCAGGGACCGAAACCTGGGATGTTCCAGTCACAGCAAGGAGCCATGGACCCGGCACTCTCGCCCTTGGTCCTTTTCTAGGAACCCATCCACGTTGGGCATCCAGAGGAGCATCAGGAACACAACCCCAGTCTCCACAACTGTATTTTGAAGATCCACATTGCCGAAATTTGTGGAGCGGCCGTCTCGGCCAGAGTATCAGTTCTGGCAGCATCTTCCCTTGCTTGCACAAGAGCAAGACTTACAGGTGCCTGTGTTCCGACTGGATGCGCAGCAAGTGCGAGTACCCGCAGCCCTCGGCTGCGACGTGCCCACTCCAGACACAGCAAACTGCAAGCACGGCCGTGCAGAAACACCAGCCACAGGGCCAGGGATGCAGCACTAGGATGATGATAGTCATGTACTACCGTACACATGCCATGCACTGATGACCGCAGTGTGGCTGGAGGTGCGAAACGTCGACCGTTAGGTGATGAACTCCAGCACGCTACACAGGCAAACTACTAGCACTCCACGACTGCCCGCCGTCCAAAGCAGGCCAGCACGGCAAGCGCACGGCGCTCCCCAGCAAGCCAGCAACAAAAGCAGGAACACGCCAGAAACTACAATGGCCACCAGGCAAACAGGCAGACCAGCTGGCTAGAAGAATGGCCCAGGATATCCAGCCGTGGGATAGTAGATATCCAGCCATGGGATAGTAGATTGGAGGAGCCGACGCACCTGGTTCTAAGGAAGGTGACTAATCAAGTCTCTTCTTGGTTGAATTAGAATTTAGTCGGTAGACAATTGGAAAGTCCGTGGAGCAGTAGAACCTGCACCCGTACTGCATCGGTACACACACACACACACACACACACACACACACACACACACACACACACACACACACACACACACACACACACACATACACACACACACACACACACACACACACACACACACACGCACACACACAAACACACACATACACACACACACACACACACACACACACACACACACACACAGTCCTTTTCTCTTTACATATTGCTATTGGCTCAACATCCGAGTTCTTATTAAGTTCCTAATGTGTTTGTGCATGTTTGTGCGTGTGTGTTTGTCCATGTGTGTGTGTGTCTCTGTGCACAGTATGCAGTGCTGGTGCTGGTGATCTTCGCCATACAGATTGCCGGTGGCATTTTTGGTTTTGTGCGCCGTAACGATGTAAGTATTGTGCAGTATAGGGCTTGAAAGTGCTACGTCACTCCATAGCAATGGCATAGCAACAATTTGAAAAATTCGAAAACTGGATCCACCTGGATCCAGTTTTTGTATGGATCCAAGCACATTTCAAGCGGTCTCACTCACAGCAAGGTGATGTTGCCAGTGAAACTGACTGATTTGGCTAGTGGGGGCGGGGTTACAACTGGTGGCGAAGTAAAAGTTGCACCTGCATACGACATGAGTGGGTTGCTATGCACCCACATACTGAGGCAATAGCAAAGTCACACCTTAGTGGATCCAAAATAGAAATCTGATGTCAATTTACTACTCCCAGGCCGTTTTTGACGTCATCACTTTCAAGCCCTATTTTGCACCCACTTCCCTGCTTTAGGAATATTATAATATAAAACTATACGACAACTCTCACAACTCATTAGCAATTGTGACCCATTGCCAAGTCTACACTTCACACACACACACACACGCACGTGCACACACACACACACACACACACACACGCACACACACACACACACACACACACACACACACACACACTTGTACTTGTACTTGTACTTGCTCACTGCCAAAACTGGTCACGTGGGTCTCCCCGGGAGAGGGGAGAGAGACTCAAAAGGAATCTTGGAAAGATGACTCAATTGGCCATTGAACCACCCAACGGCCGACACCCCCTGAAATCCCCAAACTAGGGTGGACTTGAAATGATCCCACTTATGGGCTCACCACACACACACACACACGCACGCACACGCACACACACACACACACACACACTGCTCGTAGAGGATTCGGTAGCAAATGCTGCTGTCTGATGATCGCTGAATGCGCTGCGGGAAACTTAAAGTTACAGCCTGACAGCCTTTCACCTCTATTGTGTGTGTAGAACACTTCTACCTGTATGTGCACACAGTGAAACTTCTTCCATATAAAGTACCCTGGATAGCATACTATGGGATTTCTATATCCTGAAAATAGAAAGTACTATGTTGGGGAAGTCTTGCTCTTGTTTCTCAACACAATTGTATAGCAGATGGTGCTCATTGATGAACACTGCCCTGATTCAGCACGTTGGCACACGTACACACAAAGTCTGCTATGCCTGATGCACGGTGTTGTGTTTCGCGTTCCTCCTCCTCCTCCTCCTCCTCCTCCTCCTCTTCTTCTTCTTCTTCTTCTTCTTCTTCTTCTTCTTCTTCTTCTTCTTCTTCTTCTTCTTCTTCTTCTTCTTCTTCTTCTTCTTCTTCTTCTTCTTCTTCTTCTTCTTCTTCTTCTTCTTCTTCTTCCTTGTCTCGCTGTTAGCTGGAGAACATAGTGACGGATGGCATGAAGGAAACACAGCTGAACTATGACCCGCGAGATCCCGACCTCACCGACACCAAGGCATGGGACGAGGTTCAGCGCAAGGTAAGCCATCTGCAATGCAGAGCTGCTGCATTCGTGCAAATAGAGGTCCTCAATCAAGCCAACACCTAATCCATATCACCACACTCAGGATCGCTGACCACCTCACCATCCCTGCTGTTGGCATCCCTTCTCCCCTCGCCCCCTTCCCTTGTATGTATGCTTGCATCATCACCACTATCCACCATGGTATCGGATGATCCCAACCAGGACAAGCGACACCCTGTTTTCCTTTATACGTATGCTGGCATGATCACCACTGTCCACCATGTCTGATGATTACACTCAGGACCACTGACATCTCAACACCCCCGCTGTGCCCCCCCCCCTTCCTTTATACGTATGCTGGCAAGATCACCACTATCCACCATGTCTGATGATTTCACTCAGGAGCACACCTCAACAATAACATCTGTAACTTTGTATTTGCTGCTACCGCTGTATCCTGGTGCAGTGCTTTCCTATGGGACAAGCATTTTTGGAGTATTTGAAACCGATTTACGTGCGGAGTATTTTGTGTGAACTAACATTCTTTGTGTGTGTGTGTGTGTGTGTGTGTGTGTGTGTGTGTGTGTGTGTGTGTGTGCGTGCCTGCGTGCGTGTGTGTGTGTGTGTGTGTGTGTGTGTGTGTGTGTGTGTGTGTGTGTGTGTGTGTGTACGCATATACCCATGTGCACTGCTCGACACAGGTCAAATGCTGCGGCGTGGACAACTACACCAACTGGAACAACATCACTGGCTGGAGGGATGTGTTTGACGAGAGCTTCCCGCTTGTCTACCCTGGCTCGTGCTGCCCGTTCCCGAACTCTACGTACATTGGTACCAGCAATCAGACAGTTCAATTCTGCTACGTGGACGCTCCCGACTTCTACTCGCAGGTACAGTGACACAGAATGATTGTTGTCTGACTATTTTTAAGTATTTTTGACTGAAAGTGTCCTCCTGAGTTGTGTGTATGCGTGTGAGAGGGAGAGGATCGGGGAAGCCCATCATCAAGTTTTAAACGCCCGACGACAGACACACTTTGCAACAACACCAGCCCCCCCCCTCCTCCAGTCTCTCCGGAGGCATGGGTTCAAATTTCACCGCTGCCACTGATGTGGTAAACCGATTTCATTCTTACCGCTCCCAGCCCGTGCCATCCAGTCCACATTTAGACGATTGACGACGAGATAATGTGGTGGTTGATGTAAAGGCTTATCTTGGCTAAAAGTGCAATTTTTCATGGTCCTTGGAGGCATACAAACATTTCACTGTTTGTCGATTTTTCTGTTTTCAAGTTTTCAAGACTGAACGTAGAGTTTTCCCCACGAAGAATATGACGCAAAATAATTATCATGTTCTCTCTCTCTCTCTCTCTCTTTCTCTTTCTTGGTGTGTCATTGACAGGGCTGTTTTGATGAGATCCTAAGCGAGGTCAAGCAATACTGGAAGGCCATTGCTGGTGCTGGAGTTGGTGTTGCTGTCTTTGAGGTAAGACATCCCTTGGACCTGGTTGTGCTTGTCCTATGAGGCAGTTGGTCAGAGTGGTCCCCTTGACACATTTTACTGTACAGGCCCTGTGAAAGGGAATGATGGCCATTCCATGCCCTCGGACTGAGCAGGAACCGAGAATATCAATATCTCACTCACATTCTCTAGCACGTCACATGAGCCCAGGCAATATCTCACTTGCATTGTGGAGCATTGTGGAGCACGTCGCAACGCGATCGCATGATCATAGGAATATCTCACTCACATTCTCTAGCACGTCACATGAGCCCAGGCAATATCTCACTTGCATTGTGGAGCATTGTGGAGCACGTCGCAACGCGATCGCATGATCATAGGAATATCTCACTCACACTGTCCAGCAGTTCACACGATCCCAGGCAGTCACATGATCCCAGGCAGTATCTCACTCGCACTGTTCAGCAGGTCACATGATCACGGGCAATCTCTCACTCACATTGTCCAGCAGGTCACAGGCCTGGTCATTCAGCTAGTGATACTATTTCCAGAAGATCATGTGATCACATAGCTCAAGTGACCATTCATTATAGGGGTACCCAGGGTGTGCAATGGTATGTGTGTGGAAGATAATAATTATTGTAATAGTTGCACATGCCGTATCCAGTGGACTGGGTGTCATCTGAAACGTAGTCCTTATAGTGTGGTGCCACAGGCCCTTGAGCAGCATTCAGATGGTGATTGGTCATGGCATGTAATGCCATCTGTTCTGAAGTGTCTCTATTAGTGCTGGTGTTCACTGTGGATCATGACCTGCCACCCCCTCCCCAAGCTGAATGTGTCCTGGCACTAAAGACTACCAAAATAATTTTTCCGATGACTTATAGTAACAATGTACTGGACAATTTCAAGTACCTGTCCTTTGCATGCCCTGTGACACAAGTGACACAACACACTATTGCCTGGACACTTGGTGTGGGTTGTCCATCCTGTGATAGCCATATCAGAACTCTCTCAGTTGCCAAAGTAGTGGCATTGAGCTTTTCGAACTCTCTCATGACGGCATGGGGGGGGGGGGGGGCAGGTAAAGCCTGCATAAAGACCCAAGATGGAACCAGCTTATCCTGGTCTTTGACAATGGCCTCTGACCCGGGCGGTTTCACACATTCTCCTGGGCCAGAGAACACTTGCTAGCATGCAGATAAACTGGCTATTTGCTATCAACTATGCATGTTCAGTCCTGTGGAGTCATAATACTATTTTGAGCTGTGCATGTGTGTGTACTATGTGTGTATGTGTACGTACGTACGCGTGTGCTTGTCTGTTCTGTGTGCGTTGTGCGTACGTTGCTTGCCCTACGTGCACAGTTGCTGGTGATCACCATGGCCTGCTGCCTGCAGACGGCCATCAAGAAGGACGAGTACACTGCCGTCTAGGTGACTGGCCACTTGCCACTGCTCACACCCGGCGATGGCTGCACACGGCTCTGACCGTCTAGCTCTGCGATGGACACACTCACAGCTCGGCACACTGACGCATTGCACGCCGCTTGGCTGGCACACTCAGCTGTGCAGACAAGTTGGTCATCTTGCCGCGCCGGGTGCGTAAGCAGCCGGCTGTTTTATTCCCTATTCTTTATCCCCTCCTCCCCTAGATTCTTTCCCTTTTGCTGTTCCCGATCGCTATGCACGTTTACGTATTTACAAATTATAATTCAAATCACAAAACAACCTACATGCAGTAGCACCTTCAGTCATGCACTTGACCGAAGCGCGCTCACGTAGCCACAGTTGAGCGTGCTCACTTTGTGCTCAATTGCTTCATTTGCAGTCAATCTTTTGATCGTTGCGTGTATGCGCGCGCTCTCTCTCTCTCTCTCTCTCTCTCTCTCTCTCTCTCTCTCTCTCTCTCTCTCTCTCTCTCTCTCTATCTCTCTCTCTCTCTCTCTCTCTCTCTCTCTCTCTCTCTCTCTCTCTCTCTCTCTCTCTCCCTCTATCTATCTCTCTTTGCACTGACGCTATCTGACTACGGAAGGCACTCATTACATTTACAAAGACCTGTAAGGTCTCATCTTGGAGCTCCGCGGCTTGTTTGAAAGACGTATCTGCTTGGATTGCGTGCGTATTTGCGTATCACAGCGACCGTCATTGCGCTAGTTTTTTTGGCTGGTCGCATTTAGCGCATTCGCAGCTGTATACGGCAATGCTTGCTATCAGGCATGTTACACAAAAAAAAGTCATGATTGCCCCTGGTTTGTCTGTGTGTGTGTGCGCGCGCGCGCTCGCGCGTGCGTGTGTGTGTGTGTGTGTGTGTGGTGTGTTTGTTTTTAGACAGTTTTAGGCCCGCTCGCCAGCCGTTAGTGATTAAGCGTATAGCCTAGCAGTAATTAAAGCATGTCTCCAGTCCGCTGCGCCGCGTAGAGCCCCACAGTAGGCGTTCTGAGTAGTGTAATTGCTTTTGCTTGCTGCCATTCTGACTCTTCAGTCTCTGATTTTTGCGTTCTTTTTCTCTTTTCTCGATCTCACGGATCACAGTCATCTGATAATCCTGTGAAAGAAACGTTAAAAAAATGTATATGTTATGGTTGTGCGACACTCTGCCGTGCAAGTGGCATGGTACATGTACCTGGCTTTGCGGCTCAACGGCGCCGCACCGGCCTCAGTTTTTTGTGTGGACCTGATCTTGTCAGGCCGTTACACCGACATTGGACTGTGGTTGGACGGCCGATGTTTCCGAGGGCGTCGCCGTGGGGATGTCCTCAGAAAAAGTGTAGTCACAGTGGCCGCAGCCACCGCGGCTCAGTGTGATAGCAGCTCTCAACCGTGCTGCTGTCCGCATACAAAACAGCTGTGTACTTAGTGCAAGTTGACGTACAGTCATGGCCAAAGAACTTGAATCCGACCCGCCCACGTGCCGAAAGCAGCACCAATGCTCACATGATGCGGGCCCATACATACATTGTGCGATCATTGGGGGGGGGGGGGGGGGGGGGGCAGCTCCCCAGTATCTACCCCGTAGATCATCGTGATCATGGTACTTGGTAGATTCTACTGCAGAAACCAACGCCCCCGAGCCCTTTTGCAAGTATTAGTTTGGACAAGCACACCTACACGTATACAGTGTAGACTACAGAGTACAGTCATACAACACCATGACTTTTGTGCAGTTTTCGGATGCTGTCACGTGAGCGATCATAATACCGTGTACCGGTTAGGGCTGACCCGAATTTGCCAGCTGAATCTCGATATTTTGCGGCATAATTTTGCTCGTGCATCGTCGAAATTTTGCTTTCATTTTGCTAGGCCACTCGATATTTTGCTCCCTTTTTGCTCCAAAATTTGTGTCACGTGTGAGAAAACTGACCGAAAGTGGGTTACGTGTTGGCAAAAATGAGAAAAAGTGAGTCACGTGTTGGTAAAACTGTGCCGAAATGAGTCATGTGCACCGTATATGTGTAAAATCTCCCAATTCCCAGCCAACACACCGATATTTTGCTCCATTTTGCCAGCAAATTCCCTTTCAAAATTCTTCGATATTTTGCTAGAAGAATTGCTAGCAAATTCGGGTCTGCCCTTGTACCGGTACATATTATGTATCATTATTTTGCTCATTTTGCTGACACATGCCAGTCGAGTTGGTATTTTATGACTCCCTGGTCGAGTTTGTGACGTGCCTCGACACTGCACTAGCTGGTCCTTTTCCAGTTTTTGTTTGTTTTCTTCCGCGAAACAAACTTTTCCAGTTTGGAAATTTTTAGCTGATTGGAAGGAGAAATGTTTGCGGTCTATGTGCTTGAAAGCTTCTAAAATTATTTCGTTCGACCTGCTGCTCTCCATACAAGAGCTCGGTGGTAGGCCTCACAAATTGGGCACCGCTCTCCGGGGTTTGGAGGAATTTGCGGTCAGCCATCCGTCATGACTACCTTGCAGGATTTGATTCCCATCGTCAACAAACTGCAAGATGCCTTCGCCTCGATGGCCAATGCGCCGTCGATCGACCTGCCGCAGATCGCCGTGGTGGGAGGACAGTCAGCTGGTAAATCGTCCGTACTGGAAAACTGCGTGGGAAAGTAAGCTGTTGTTCGTGTACACGGTGCAGTATTATAGTCGTAGATACGCATGCCATGATTTGGATAGTAGCAGTGAAATTGGGAGAGTGCACGCACAAAAAATTTAAAAGCAGCAGCAAGGCAGGCTCAAACGCCAGTATGGCAAATTCCCCATGTCTCACCCTCCACGACGAAGTGAGTACAGTAGTTGTAGTCAAACTGAAGATAAAAGTAGAAAAAAGCAGCAGGGAAATTGGAAGATAGTGTGCACAAGATTTGAATACTGTAAAACAGAGAATTTTCGGTGTAACTTTAATTTCGGTGATTTCGGTAGAAAATCCAGTCACCTAAATTAAGATTACACCTAAGTGACACAAGAGTGTGTACTCTATGTCACGTGAGGTGAATGTTTGTCACCTAATTCTAAGTTACACCTGAAACCTGGCAGGTCCCTGGCACCGAAATTTTGATGCACCTAATATTACATGTTTTACCCTAGTCGCACATCTGACTGCAAAATCCCCACAACGCAGCTCACCAGGTCAATGTATGGGTTCTCTTCACTCAGTAGAGTCGAGTCGAGCGAGCTGCAACTCCTGGCGCCGAAAGGCGGGCTCACGCCTCTACATGGCTACTTCCCCTTGTCTAACCCCCCCCCCCCCCAGATGAAAATTAATGATTGTAGCCGACTGGCCGAAATTAAAAAATATAATAGTAGCAGGGGAATTGGGACAGTGCATAGTAGGGGTCAAACGGGTGTACCGGGTACCCGGGTACCCGCCCGTTAATCTCAGGTACCGTTAGTAAAAGGGTACCCGTTTGTAAAAAAAAAAAAAAAAAAAAAAAAAAAAAGGTCATCCTATCGTATTTCAAGACTCAAAATAGGAGTGCGGATACTCTTTTCCTTTTTCCTGTGCATTCCTGCTTTCGACTTTATCAGGCAGGAGCAGGCTGAAAGACAGACTTGACAGTTGTTCTCTCCACTCTAGTGCAAGTAAAAATCCTCGTACTGGAGGTTTTTGATTGTGATGTGAGAAAATGCAAGACTTGAAACTCGTTCGAGGTGGCAGCTGAGTAACTAGAAAGTTACGATGGTTCTCCGACATCGAACCTGCCACAGTACTTGATGAACTAGTGTCACCAGGCTGAGTGACCAGTCGGAGTGTCACAAACGGTGATGTCCGTAGGTGGTAGCTACATGTATGATACTCATGGTTGTAGTTTGTTCCTTCAATCGACGAGCTGAAAAGTAGTTCGAAATATTGCATACAAGATTACGGATTTGTGAAGATTCATTTCACGAGTTCAACAAGCTAGCACTAGCACCTAGCTGGCCAGCAGCACATCAGCTGTGTCAGGCACCCCAGCTAGCTATGGGCGCGAACATCTTCTGAATGCAACGAGTACCAGTTCTCTGCGAACATAGCAAATAGGATTGCGCGAGATCACGGAAGTTTTGCTAAACCACTCTGTCCTTGCATGGCTTGAATCACATCGATCTGCAGTTAATTTGCGTACATGTATCAAAATACATGTAGCTTGTAGGACCATCTACATGTACGATTGTAAGTTACTGCCTGTGAAGTTATGTACATGGGCAAAATGCACGGATGACATTCATTTGGAACCTTCTTTGCCATAATAATATTATGATACACGAATCAATTGCGAATCATAATGTAGCATGTCTCTTTGTAGGGCTGTGTTCCCAATAAAAAAAAAATAATAATAAATAAAAAAAAAACCCATCAAAATACAACCTGAGAATATACAAATTAAAATCATGATTTATGTGAGAAACGCGCAAAAAAATAATATGGCTGCTAAAGGGTACCCGTTAACCCGCCCGTTAAGAAAATTACCCGTTCGTTAGTTAAAGGTACACCCGTTTGACCCCTAGTGCATAGGCACATAAGCACGCTTTTGTGCTGCAATAGAGAGGTTCCGCATAACGTAATTACGTTAGTAGAAACCGTTATCGACCTACGGAAAGTTTTACGTACACTGCATGCCGGTCTGTGTTCCGCCATACGTAGTTTTCGGACTACGTGCCTGCCCATGGCAACCCCGTGCGCGACGCGCACCCCAAGCACAAGCGACTAGTTCTTGTTGTAGTTCAGTTTAGTTTAGTTTAGTTCTCTAGTTTAGTGTAGTTTTTTTTTATACCGTTATGGCTTTGGCGGAAGACTGGGATGCTGTTCTGCTACTGCTTGAAGCCATGCTGCTAGACGGAGCTGATGGTGATCTGGAGCTGGCAGATCGGCTAATCGATTTGTTGCAGCAGCTGGATGGAGAGGAGGAGGAGGACAACGATCGTGTGCAGGAACCAGAGGAGGCGGCCGGATATGTTCGGTTCGACCGAACCGATCCAAAGTGGACAGACTCGAAGTGGAGGGAGTGTTTCCGCTTCCAGAAATGTGACATAGACCGACTCATGGCTGCCCTTCAGCTCCCTGACTCCTGCCTCCTGACCTCAAGCTCCTCCCTTGTCATATCCATCTCCTCTTGCTTCATCTTCTTGAGATCAGACAAATGCTGACGCATGTCGGCGAGAACGGCTTGTCTCTTCTCTATGGCGTGTTCTGTAAGAGAGGAAAATAAGGCAACGTTTGAGGAAAGGCTTAGCCCAGTTGATTATCTTGCTGTGTTTTAGCCACAGATGCAGCAACCTTGTGCCATGCACAGATCTGAAGTCACAAGAGATAGTTGATCCTCACCTTTCCCGGTGGCGTTGTCTTTTGCCCGTGGTTCATCAACCTTCGGGCGCTTTGCCGCGGGTTCTGCGTAAAAATAAAGAAACATGGAAATACAACCAGGTGTGGAAGACCTCCTTTGTGTTTTTCCACAGAGCAGATTATAGATGAGCGTGCGATACCATTCATACATTTCAAAAGAAAATAATCCTTCTTTTTCATTTGCATACCAACTTATAACAAGAGAAAACGTGCACTAGTAGAAGTCTTCTCACCTGCGCCTTGCGCTGCAGTAGCGGCCTTCTCACGCAAGGGCTTCAGGGAGTCCTCACGGATCTGCATCCCGAGACGCCTATCGGCGTCCGCCTTCTTGGCCGTTGACTCTTTGTCCGCCTTTCGATCGAGCTCTTCATTATACAGATCGGCGACATCTGTGAGGAGCTGGTCCTTTTCGTTGTAACTCTCCGCTGTGCCCGATCTACAGGTAAATAATTATTGTTTGTGCAGCTGTCAAAAACAATCCATTTCTATAGGAGTCCCTGGATTACCCACTCTATCCACTCTATCCACAAAGCACAGACCATAATTATGCACGCACACACACACACACACGCACACGCACGCACCATACTCGTGCGTTATTCAAATTTCATAGCATGAACTTCACAAGATTCTGATAGCTACATGCATGAACTAACTTCACAAAAAAAATTGTCCTGCCTCTGATTTTCGTCAAGCAACTACTGTACAGTGCTTGTACTGTTTTGCTGAAGTCCTCTCTCCCTTCATGTGGAGCTCCATGAGGTGTATCACCCTCTCCCTTCATGTGGAGCTCCACGCGGTGTATCACCCTCTCCCTTCATGTGGAGCTCCACGAGGTGTATCACCCTCTCCCTTCATGTGGAGCTCCACGAGGTGTATCACCCTCTCCCTTCATGTGGAGCTCCACGAGGTGTGTCACCCTCTCCCTTCATGTGGAGCTCCACGAGGCGTATCACCCTCTCCCTTCATGTGGAGCTCCACGAGGTGTATCACCCCCTCCCTTCATGTGGAGCTCCACGAGGTGTATCACCCTCTCCCTTCATGTGGAGCTCCACGGGGTGTATCACCCTCTCCCTTCATGTGGAGCTCCACGAGGTGTATCACCCTCTCCCTTCATGTGGAGCTCCACGAGGTGTATCACCCTCTCCCTTCATGTGGAGCTCCACGAGGTGTATCACCCTCTCCCTTCATGTGGAGCTCCACGAGGTGTATTACCCTCTCCCTTCATGTGGAGCTCCACGAGGTGTATCACCCTCTCCCTGATAGTGCGAGGCTTGACGCCTGGCAGCTGGTGTGCAAGGGCTACTGAAATGTCGGTCCAAGCTTTCGACCCAAACGAAAACGGTTTGGAGAGTATCCACTGATGATCTCTGCCTGAGGACAGCGCAATCGTCCGCAACCCCAAAGTGAAATCGAGCGGACTTACCACTCGATGCGACAGGCGAAGATGAAACAGGTAAATCACAAGAGGATGAAGACATGGCTAAAAAAATAGCACAAAGCTTGGAGGAAGTGAAAGTAAACTGTCGTCTAGTGTTGATGCACTTTTTCCATTTCAGCTTTCAAAACCGAGAGAGATACGGCAGAGAGTCATAAACTTATCCCCCGATCCATTTACGGAGTACCTCCGTTATCAGAGCCCTATCTACGTATTCTACGTTATCAACTTTCCGTAAGTGGAATGCAAACTCGCGAATTCACGGGTTTTTCCCGCCTACTAACGTAAAGTTGCTCTACTTTACGTAGTGCGGAACCTTTCTGATGAGAGATTTTGAGCACGCATCCTCTTTCCCGCAGCACTGCAACTGCACAACTCAGTATCACTCTGCAGTCTGAAGAAAATCAGCTTCTGAAGGAGATGTTGAACGGTCTCTGCTGGGATGACAGTGGATCTTGACTATGGACTTGACCTTTGGAGCAATGATTTTGCTGGTGTTGTATAGTACACCGTTAACTTTGTTGTACAGGTTCCCAAGAAGACTTCCACCGATAACCTTTTGTTTGACAAGCTGGTTTCGTTTCAAGAACATGATGGTATCTACCTAAGTCTTATTTCCTTTCCCGGAGATGAAGACTGAACGTGGTTCTTTCACTGTTCAAGTTCAGTTCCTTTCCATCTTGGTCAGTTATCCTCATTATTACGTCTGATATTCTCTCAGTTTTCATTAATGGTAAAAAGGTCTTCTCATTCGGTTGGATGTTGAGTCGGATTTTTTCGATCAGTGATAGCATTACCGTGGAGATTGGATATAACGACACTCCTCCGGGAGAGAACAAAATGTCACTATATTCGATCTGTCACTAAACCCGATCTTCACAAAGGACTTACTAAACGACTTGGGCAGCAGAATTGTGTCGTTAAACTCAATCTGTCGTTATATGCAAGGTCGTTATATCTGATCTCCACTGTACTGTATACCACTGCCCTCCAATATACATTAATCATGTATAGGATATAATCTGACCCCCCCCCCCCCCCCACACACACACACACGAAAGTAAGATACATTCATCATGTATATATGACTGCCACCACATAGAGATGAATCAAACACGGATAGATAGCGTTCAAGCCAGGCTAGTATGCGAGTCCAAAGATAATATGACTGCGGGGTTTGCAGCTCTTTATAAAAAAAATGCTTTGCTTCACGGAAACGTATTTCATTGCGAAGAGCTGCGCTTCGGTCCTCTGAGCTGTGCTGAGGAGCTCTAACAGAGCGAAACAGTTGCTGTCCACAGATTTGACTGCCACCACATAGAGATGAATACATGGATAACGTTCAAGCTGACCAGTGCTGCAGTGGAAGTATTCATACATCAGAGCATGATCAAGCCTGTATAAACAGGATTCTCCACGGATATCACGACTAGCGAAGATCAGGCTCAGCTTCTTCGTCCTTTATCTGGGATAGATCTAGCAGCAGCCTTCTCGTTTTGGAGTGCCTTCATTTCCAACTCGAGTGCGTTCACATCTTCCATAGCGCGTAACAGTCTCTCGTGAGCTGTCATGTATAAACAGGATTCTCCACGGATATCACGTCTAGCGAAGATCAGGCTCATCTTCGTCGTCCTCTACCTGGGATAAAGCTATCTTGTAATTAGATCTAGCATCAGCCATTTCTTTTTGGAGCGCCTTCACTTCTAGCTTGAGTGCGTTCACATCTTCCGTAGCGCGTAACTGTCTCTCAAGAGCTGCCTCTAATTTCTTCTTTACTATCGCATTCTTTTTCTTACACGATCTGTGTAATCTTCGCGTATGTAACAGACCACCGACAACATCGGGAATTTCATCGGGAACATTGGGAAAATCTAACCACTTGATATACCTCCTTTTCCTTCTTCTCATCCCCATTACTGCTGCTGTATTTCATAGACAAATAAAAATATAATATCACAGAAAGAAGGATAAAGACCTTCACACTTTCGAAATCAACCCCCTCCCGTAAAGATGATCAGGTGAAAAACACAACTTTCATTCCCACAAAAGAAGTACTTGCTGAGGTGAGAGCAGTACTGAAGTCAAGTTGGAGGCCACTGATTATAAAAAAAGATGAAGAAAAAACAAGAAAATATATAATTATGAGGAAATGAGCAATCCCTTAGCAAAACTAAAACAGGAGTTGAGTATGCTGAAAAGATATCACGAGAGCAAGAAGATGGGAGATATATTGTTGATGATGAGATGGAAAATGGGTATGAGTTGCCGATTTAATGATGGTGAAATGTCTTTTCAGAAAGTTGATCCAAAGTTAGCTTACCATTATCCAGATCCTCATCCAAAGCTGAACCACCCGAAGTTGACTCAGGAACCGATCCCAATCAGTCCTCGAAGTGAGTCAAGATCAGGTTTGAGAGCTCTCAGATCCTCTAATATAGATTAAGTCGGGATACTGTAGAACGGGTAATTTTAGCGACGTAAAAACCCTAGCGAATTTAGCGATCGACTCATTTTCGCTAAAGTTTCAAGTCGCTAATCCGTTGAGACATTAGTAGTGCACTGGTGATTAGTGTAATAGTGAGTAAAATCACTGCAAATCACTAAAAAACGTCGCTAACCGGTTGACAATGGGAAAACGCTAAAATTAATAGTCGCTAAAATTACCCGTTCTACAGTAAGTGAAAAAAGCTCAAGTTGGCTCACTTCCGATTTCAGTCTGATTTCTCGGAGGGAGCAAGTTGACTCACTTTTCTGAAATTGGGTTTAGCCAACTTTAGATTTTGGGAAAATCAGTGGTTGGAGGGTCTATCCTTTAATACAGTAGTATGGGGAGGGGGAGACTTGAGAGATTGACCCGATAGGGCCGATCGAAAAAGTCGATTTTGGTTCAACTTTAGGTGAGCCAGAACCCCCTCACCCTATACTACTGTTGTTTTCTTCTTGACTTTGATGAATTGCAGGGACTTTCTGCCGCGTGGATCAGGCATTGTAACCCGTCGACCCCTTGTCCTGCAGTTGAATCATGTCCCCAAAGGAGGTAAGTGCAGCGTACCAGGAGTACAGAAGTTACATTATCTCCCCCCCCCCCCCCCCCCCCCAACTCCAGCGCGTGCAATTCAGCCCTTGGCAAATAATGCTGGCAGAAAAATTGGTAGAATTTGCTACTTTTTCTGGTATGTTTCATGCATGTTTGGTATGTGGATAGAGAAATGGAGCAGAATTCAACGACGTGCTTGCAATAAGGTTGGTACGGTTCTGCCAATTCTCAACTTTTCAAGCAGAATCTGCCAATTTTCCGAGCATTTTCCGCCAAGGATTAATGCAATTCGAGCCTGCACGTTCCCTGTCCAGAGCTACAGCGGCAGAGCTTTCTCTCGTGTGACACGCTCCGATAGGGTACAGGATCCTGAGAACCTGTAGCGTGCCCAATTCCTGTGGTGCTTGACTGTAATGCTGAAGAGAATGAGGAGTGATGAAAGCCTGAGGCGGGAATGTGCATGTTTTAGATGGGTGTGTGTGTGCCCGCTCCTTTATCCAAACACACTCCCGACAAGGAGACTGCTGCTTGCCCAGAGGGGTGCGTATGTGGATAATCACCACTCCGCTGTAATGATATGATAACCTTACAAGTGCTTCGAAGTAACACCGTATCTCTTTTGTGTGCGTGCGTTTCGTAACGCCTCAGAATGGGGCGAGTTCTTGCACGCCAAGGGACGCAAGTTCACCAACTTTGAGGAGATTCGCAAGGAGATTGAGGACGAGACGGATCGCATGACAGGCAGCAACAAAGGCATATCCAACATCCCGATCAACTTGAGAGTATTCTCGCCGAATGGTAAGGCACTTTGTCACTCTGTTCATACAGTCTACTCTCGATAAGCCGCTCACCCGATCTTGGAGATAAACATCTTATTTTTTATATTTATTCATTTATTGGAACACCTCAAGGCACAGTGGGAACACCGGCTACTGTGAAGAGAGTGGGTGTTAGCCAACCACAACAGATAAATAGGGGTTGTGAGGGGAATCAGAAAAGTAACAATGGGGACATTGGACCGTTTACATGTATGATGCCGCAAGAATGTGCCCGGCTTTGCTCAGACCTGAACATGTTGCAATAGAAAGCGAACCAGTGTTTACTTTTTCCAAACCGGCAGAACTGCTCACTCAAGACAGCCATGTTACTGCTCCTGGTGCTGGTGCTGCTGCTGCTGCTGCTGCTGCTGCTGCTGCTGCTGCTGCTGCTACAGTTACTTCTGTCTTGCTTGATGCCCTCGTTGCTGTGCAGAATCAAATGGGGGTAGCAAACCCAATATACATGAGAGCGAATATGTACTATAGTGCGTCCATATGAAATTCTAAACATTGTCAGTTTTCTTTCCTACTTCTCTGCCCGTTCACAGTGCTCAATCTCACTCTCATCGACTTGCCCGGCCTGACCAAGGTTGCCGTGGGAGATCAGCCGGTGGATATTGAGCAGCAGATTCGCGACATGATCATGCACTTCATCGCCAAGCCGAACTGCCTCATCCTTGCCGTGTCTCCGGCCAACAGTGACTTGGCCAACAGCGACGCGCTGAAAATGGCCAAGGAAGTCGACCCGCAAGGTGAGAGCGGTTCTCATGGCTACTGATGCCATGACAACATACTCAGGCTTCGAGCCAGGTACCAATAGTAGGCCGGGGAGGGAGGGGGCGGGGGGTAGGGGAAATAGTTACCCAGTAACCCATTTCTTCCATTTTCCCCAATGTCTTACCATGCAAGATGCGACGCACGGGGCTCTCTCCAGGCAATTGTGCCTTTATGAACCTGCTGTTTAAGTAGCAGGGTTCTAGCCAGGTCAATATAGTAGGGGGGCGGGCATGCGAAAAAGATACCCCATGACCCATTTTTTCCATCTTCCAAAATTGTCTTGCCATGCAAAATGTAACATACAGGGTGAACCCCGACTTCACCCCTCACAAATGTGCCTTTATGAACCCTCTAGTAGTGACTATCGACTGTATTTTCGTTGAATGGCGTGAAAAAACACAAAAATCGGAAAATGAGTAGGGGGCTGCACTTTTTCACAGGGGGGGGCGCAAACGGAGTAGGGGGGCGCTGCGCCCCCTACCCGCCTTTGGCTAGAACCCTGAGTAGGACTATAGACTGCATTTTTCGTTGAATGGCCTGAGAAACACAAAATCGACGAATGAGTAGGGCACTACAGGGGGGGGGGGGGGGAGAGGCATGTCCTCCCCCCCCCCCCCCCCTCCTACCCTCCTTGGCTAGAACCCTGATATTTGTATGCAGCTTTCAAGCATTACACATGTACTCAGCGGAGTTGTAAGGAAGAAATGGACAAATTGGAGACGAAGCAACCAACATCTGAACCCCAAGTGGTTGAATGTCAGAATGATGCAAACTGTCTTTTTTTGTTTTGTTGGGAGCACACCAGCATGGTAGAATGAGCATTCGTAGCTTTCTTGCAGCGAATAGCAAAGAGCAGGTATCGGTTGTGGATGTTTCTGTGAAAACCGGACGGATGTCATCTCTGTCTAGCTTTTGGATTGTAGCGATGGTCATGGAATCTTGTGTACATGCATATGCATGCATGTGTGTGTGTGTGTGTGTGTGTGTGTGTGTGTTTGTGTGTGTGTGTGTGTGTGTATGTGTGTGTGTATGTGTGTGTGTGTATGTGTATGTGTGTGTATGTGTGTGTGTGTGTGTGTATGTGTGTGTGGAGCGGTGGAGGTCTGTTCTCAGGGAGCGCGGCATCGAGTCTGGTGTGGATTTCAGCTTCTTGATTAATGGACAGTTGTTTCCCCGTGCAGCTGGGCGACGTCGACAGTCTCAGACTGGTCATGCTGATGATTTTGAGTTTGCCGATGACGCCGTCCTACTCGCAACAACTCGTGCTGCAGCCGACCTGTCCCTGTCCGCCTTCTGCGATGTGGCATCCAGCTTTGGCCTCACGGTCAGCATGACGAAAACTAAGCTACTGGTCGCGGGCTATGGAGTCGCTGCCGCTGATTGTTCCGATCTGGCAGTTGGCAATGAAAGGGTTGAAGCTGTTACCTCCTTCCCCTATCTTGGATCTGTTATAACTCCGGATTCGCGAGCTCATGCCGATGTCCAGAGCCGCCTTGCGAAGGGTGCCAGGGCCTTTGGCTGTCTTCGGCGGACTTTACATGATCAGAGCCTGAACCTGCCTACTCGAAGGCATTTGTATGTGGTATGTGTTCTCACCACGGTTTTGTTTGGCTCGGAGTGTTGGACCCCATTGAAGTCGGACTTGGACAAGCTGGACAGGTTCCATCACGCCAATCTATGGTCAATCCTTGGCATTTCGCGCGGCCGCCAGTGGGAGCAGCACATTACATCGGAGCAACTACGCACACAGTGGGGTGACTACGCACACAGTGGGGTGACCCTACTCCACTGTCGTGCATGGTACAGCGAAGACGCTTGGAGTGGCTTGGGCACCTAGCTCGGCTTGATAACAATCGGTTACCCAAGCAGTTGCTCTTCGCTCATCTTCCACGAACCTGCCCGTTTTGCGGCCCCCGACATCGCTGGAAGGACGTTGTCCAGGCTGATCTGACTGTGGCCGGTGTGCACAATTGGTTCCAATCAGCCAACGATCGCGGAGAGTGGCGTGACATAGTGTCGGCAGCAGCGGGGGTGAAGGAGCCTGCCCCGAAGACGATTGTGTGCCACGTTTGCGGCCGCCTGTTTCGTCGGCGCGCCGACATGGCCCGGCACAAGTGCACAGCAGTCCGACAGCTCCCCGTATCACAGCAGCCTGGGTCGGTGCAGTGTCCTGCCTGCAGTAGATGGCTCCGGAGCAGGGGTAGGCTTGCAGTGCATAAGTGCCTAGGGAGTGACAACTGTGACGACCGACCGCCTTTTGATGCTCCTCCTGTTGCCGAGGTCCCGGTGTGTACTGCCTGCCAGCGTACTTTCAAGTCTACTGCTGGCCTCAAGCGCCATCGCTGTGGACCCCGCCCGAAGCGCCCTACAGTGACTGATCGCCAGCACTTTGAACATCATTGCCGAGTCTGTAGTCAACGCCAGTTTCGGAGGCGACAGGACCTGGAGCGCCATTTGAAGCACTGCCTACCTCTCCCCTAACCTCTCTGACAGTACCTCCCTTTGGGGAGCGGCGTGGCCATTTCTGGCAGCTGTCAATAGTAGTAGTAGTAGTAGTGTGTGTGTATGTGTGTGTGTGTGTGTGTGTGTACACACGCGTGCGCGCGCGTGTGTGTGTTCCTTTGTGTGCATGTGTTTGTGCACGCTCTTTTCATCCACTATCCGCTTGCTACTCTCTCTCTCTCTCTCTCTCTCTCTCTCTCTCTCTCTCTCTCAGGTCTACGGACAATCGGTGTGGTGACAAAGCTGGATTTGATGGACGAGGGTACTGATGCCAAGGATATCCTGGAGAACAAACATATTCCACTTAGAAGAGGTAGGCAGCTTAACACTGTATGTGTACTGTCACTTCACAAATACTCAGTACCTTGTTGCATCTCTTTTCGCATTTTCACCATGTACTGATTTGAGAAGACATTAATTTCCGTTAGTAATGGTACGAAAGGCCTCATCAGATTTACAACTAGCTTCGTCTCTTCGTGTGCTAATACGTTTCCGTCCGACTAAGTCTCTATCTCTTTTATACGTACATTTTCTATTGCTGAACACACACACTGCCTCACACACATCATCCAGTGGTGAACTTCTTTTCTGTACCTAAGTTTTCTGCTCACCTAACCTGGCCCTTTGCCCCATGCCTAAGGGTTTGAGCGCCTAGAACTTCAGAAATTAGAGTACACTGTTGTTGTTCTTCCAGCCGAGTCTCACTCGAACCGTGAAATCTATTTTTATTGTTGCTTTGGCCTGCAGGGTATATTGGTGTTGTGAATCGCTCACAGAAGGACATCATGGGTAACAAGGACATCAAAGCAGCGCAAGAGGCTGAACGGCGTTACTTCCTTAGCCATCCGTCTTACCGGTAAGCTCCAGGGCTTCGTACACGTACATGCTCCGTACCATTGTTTTTCATTATTCCTTTCGAGCTGGGTATGTGAACATAGTAAAAAAATGCTGTACGTTTGATGTGCAAAGAGCCACATTACTCGCTATCAATACTCTCATGAAACAGTCCCCGTGCTATGAAAATCCTTGTCTCCTCCTTCTTGTTCACTTTCTATGTGTGTACGTGTGTCAATGCACACCTGCATGGGTGTGTGTTTTTGTCGCTTTATTTTGTCTTGAGTCTGTTTCTGCTTGTGGGTCTGTCTCGTGTGTCTACGCTTGCCTGCGTGTGCGGTAAATGACTGTGTGCGTGCAATTGTATTTGTGTGTGTGAACACGTGCGCACATGTGTATGTGTGTGTATGTGTGCGTGTGTGTGTGTGTGTGTGTGTGTGTGTGTGTGTGTGTGTGTGTGTATGCGTGCGTGTGTTTGTGTGTGTGTGTGTGCGTGCGCGTGTGTGTGTTTGCATTCTGTAGGCATCTAGCTGATCGCTGTGGTACTTCCTACCTGCAGAAGACACTCAATCAGGTACAATACCATACAGTACTATGATGCTGTCCAGCACAGGACAGTAGTGTATGTAATGCAGTCAGACCTCGCTTATTTGGTCCTCTTTTATCCGGACCCCTCGCCATCCGGAAGAAAACCATTGGTTACCGATTTACAGCATATGCCATGCATACATACAGTATGTGTGTGGGATTATCCGGTTCCCTCGCCTATCCGGATATGTTTGTGGAAAATGGATGTGTGCGGTTAAGCGAGGTCTGACTGCGCAGGTAAAGCTAGGCACTACTGACCTCTCATGTAACCAGCCAATCACGCTCTCAGAACGGTCTCTCAAGAAAGGTTTTTTTAATTTCGGCCAGTCGGCTACTATCATAATCGTCTTGGGGGTTAGACAAGGGGAAGTAGCCATGTAGGGGCGTGAGCCCGCCTTTCGGCACCGGGAGTTGCAGCTTGCTCGACTTGACCAAGAAATGTTACTCTTCGAACGAAGGTGCAAACCAGACTTCCCCTGTGTGTGTGCGTGTGTGTGCGTGCGTGCGTGCGTGTGTGTGTGTGTATGTGTGTGTGTGTGTGTGTGTGTGTGTGTGTGTGTGTGTGTGTGTGTGTGTGTGTGTGTGTGTGACGCTATACAAGACAGACTTACTAGCTCATTCCTCTGCTACTTCTGATGTTCTTCTTGGCTTGGATGTGTTGCTACTGTTGTTGCAAATGTTTGCCGGCTTCTGTTTGTTTATAACGCGCAATCATTCAATTTTACACGTTCTCGATAGTTCGTCGTGTGTGTTTGTGTGTGTGTGTGTGTGTGTGTGTGTGTGTGTGTGTGTGTGTGTGTGCATGTGTGTGTGTGTGTGTGCATGTGTGTGTGCATGTGCGTGCATGTGTGCTTCTGTGCATGTGGATGGGAATGTGTGTTTCTGCACGTGGTTTTTGGACAATTTTCTTGCCGCTGTCTTTAGCAATTGACTAATCATATTCGTGAGACGCTGCCGTCGATTCGTCAGAATCTCCAAGACCAGCTCAACAGACTGGAGCCAGAGGTCGCTGACATGAAGAAGTTCAACCCGGACGACCCGAATATGAAAACCAAGGTCATGATGTCGTAAGTTTGTACTCATGTTACAGTGCACGAACGAGCAGTTGCTTTTTTTGTGTCATGCAGTGGACAGGGTGCAATCCACCACATTCCGTGTTGACATCCTCGTGCTGCCACACTTAAAATAGCCGCGCATGCATATTGGAGGTGAAGTTGAGTGAAATGGGCTTCCTTCCGCACTGCAACAACATTATAGCCTTTCGTTTTTGACTGGGTTCCGGAAATGGGCCATTGGCGCGGTGGGTGTGGCACGGCGTCATCAGTACCAGACTGCATTACATGCTCCGCTGGGACTATGTGTTGGAATGTGCGTCTGGTCTGACGGAGTTCACTCAACTCAGCTCCCAGAAGAAGACTGCACATTCTGTCGGTTTCTTTTCGTTCTCTGTTTTCCAAGCAAAGTTAGTTTTACTATGGCTGTGTCAAGTCTCACCATGCTCAGAGCAGGCAAGCCTGTTGTCATGCTGCACCGCAGGACCCTAGAAATTCCAGTTCATTTATCGCCATTCTAGTATCACCGCTCTTCCTATTTCCACATTATAGCAAGGTCTCGTTTTATTTTCCTTATACATGTAGCAAAGTGACCGATTCTCCTGGATGCTTCAGCTCAATACATGTAAGCCCATTGCACAATGACATCAGGGTTCTAGCCAAAGGGGGGGGGGGCGCAGCACCCCCCCCTACTCCGTTTGCGCGCCCCCCTACTCATTTTCCGATTTTTGTGTTTTTTCACGCCATTCAACGAAAATACAGTCGATAGTCACTACTGCTACTAGAGGGTTCATAAAGGTACATTTGTGAGGGGTGAAGTCGGGGTTCACCCTGTATGTTACATTTTGCATGGCGAGACAATTTTGGACAATGGAAAAAATGGGTCATGGGGTAACTTTTTCCCATGCCCCCCCCCCCCGCCCCCCCCCCCTACTATGTGGACCTGGCTAGAACACTGGACATAGTTTGTACCATCAGCACCCTACACAGAAAACTGGGCATGGTCGTGTGGGTTGTTGAACAGTACATTGCTGATAGCAGCATACTCACATGCATTACTCATGCCTTCCACGTTTGGCGATGCACAATGGGCTGATTGGGTATATGTAGCTTAAGCAAGTACATTTTACATCAGCATACACTCATACCTTGTTTATCCCGGCGGTCCAGGACCGGGCACTGCCCGTAACTTTGAAATGTCCGTAACTCCGAATCACATACATGTTTATGGGGAAAGGCCATAGATATGACATGGTGTCACTATTTTCACAAAAAGTGTTAAAAAAGTAGTGATTTTCCACTGAAACTCGCCCGAAATGTGCTCGGTAGACTGAAGTGCCCGTAACTTCGGGGTCCGGACAAACGAGGTAAAAGTGTATTATGTTTTCCATTGTCTTTTCCAGGACGCTGTACAAGTTTTCGGACGACTTCAAGTCGATCGTGGAAGGAGTGGGTACCAACATTGATCTTGCCGAGCTCTCCGGTGGCTGCAGAATCAACGCAATATTCCACGAGAAACTTCCTCTCAAGCTGGCCAAGGTGAGCTTGTGCTCTCAGGGCTTAGCTTGATGTGTAGCCAATAGTGCAAGATCAGAATGAAATGCAGTAAAATAATATTTATTTCAAAGGGATCACTCAGAAAGCGTGACACTACAATTCCAAAGTTCGATACCGTAAGTCTACCAATTCTCGGCATGTTTTTAAAGATGTCGGCCTCCCAGAGCTAAAACACATTTCGGCTGCATTCTAATTTCGGCCAGTACTGCTGCTGCCTGTATACCCTGTCACACTAAAAAAAAAGAGAGTAAATTATCGTGTCCGTTCCCGAAGGGAACTCACGACGGCCGCTAACACCCGGTAAACCCTCCCTGTCACACTGAACGTTGGAAAACACAATTTCGGCCACAACAAATTTACGCCCAAAAATTCCCAGGTCGAAAATAGCTGAAAGTAAATATGCGCCGAATATTAGTTGACTTACAGTTCACAGTTCTAGTCTCAATGCAGTGCCTAGCATATCCTGCTTACTCAGTTATAGTATATACACAGAAGCCTTGCTTGGTAGTTTAACATGTTTTTTTTCGATTTTGACAGCATGTTACAAGGCGAGGACGCGTAGTGCTCCTGACTACAACCATAACCCGGTTGGCAGAGTCCCGGTCTTGCGACCATTTGAACCGTATTGGGAAAACCCAGGTTCGGACCCTCGTTACTCTAGGGGTCGGTAGCTTGTAACATGCTGTCAAAATCGAAAAAAACATGTTACTTAGTTATGGTACAGGTCCTCCCTCGTTAGTAGATAATCTCTGGGCCATCGAAAAAGTTATCTTATAACGAGACTTATCTTGTAGCAGGACTTGCAGCTAAAGGTGAAATATACACTACTTCGTACCTACCGGGGCTACCCTCGATACAACATAAATATTATCGATGCTTCAACTCGTTATAAGATAATTGAAAATCTCCAACCTAACTCTTCCTTGGATGCAAAGGATCGTCCATATTCACGAATACATAGATATATTACGTTTCGTCTTTCTGCTTTATCCTACGTGTTTTGGCCTTGGTCCTGCATGGTCAGTATTATCTTGTACTGAGGGTTTGGCACTCCAGGGACCTGGGCAAAGGGTCGTTATAACGAATTTTATGTACTAACGGATTATGTTGTAACCGGACCTGTAAACAGTTGTATAGACCACGTTTCGCCAGGGGATTTCAGATTTCTATTTACTAACGCGGTTTATGTACTATTAAACCGGACTCGTTATAATGAGGGAGGACCTGTACTGTCAACCTCATGAATGCCGAGCTCGGGTCTAACAACAACTCATGAATAAAGACCTCCTGTATAACAACAACTCATGAATAAAGACCTCCTGTATAACTACAACTCATGAATAAAGACCTCCTGTATAACAACAACTTGTGAGTACTTCAAAGTAGCGACACAATCTTCTGACCTAGTGACCATTTGACTTCGTACTTTGGAAATTTGAACCTCACAAATATCGACAACTCTCGAATAACGACGCTTTCCTCATGCGCAGTCGATGGTCGTCTTCCGCAAGGTTGACGGTACATAAGATTCCATTTCTCCGTGGAAACTCATCTCACTGTCTATTACTGCATGTAAGACTCAGCTAGTACGTGTGCCTTCTGTTCCCCTGTCCGTGCAAGTAGTCATTAGGCATTGCCATGGCGAAGTCCAAGTATTAGGCTATGCACGCTGATCTCCATCCGTAATTTACGGACTCGTGTTGAGCGTGCTTAGCTTGTGCAGAGGGATTGCCATAGTGTGCATAACATGTTTGAACTGCAGTGCAACCCAGCTCCAATGCATTTGACGATTTGGTATTGGTATTACCGGTACATGCGAAGCGTAAGTGTGTGTATGTGTGTGTGTGGGGGGGGGGGGGCTGTCTTGGCTCTACTGGTGTCTCATCATGCCAAGCTGTTGAATGGTGCAATCCCAGCACAAGTTGCTATGGCTTCTGCTGTGGCATCGCTATCATCGCCTCTGTTGATGGGCGTCAAAGGTCAAAGGTGTATGTGTGTGTGTACGTACCTGCGTGCGTGCGTGCTGTGCTGTGCTGTGGTTTGGCAGGTGGAGTTTGACGAGAACGAGATTCGGCGTGAAATCAGCATTGCTATCCGCAACGTGTCTGGTGTTCGGTAAGACAGCGGTGACGTTCTGAAAATGATCCCAATCTCTTGTAACTGATGGATATGTGTACCCATCACAGCTAATGTGTTTTGTGCGAAAAGGCTTATCGTCGCCCTATGCTATTATGATACTTGGCATCATACTTTGGCAGCCTTCATTACACTCTTGAGCTTGTCGCAAACGTTTTTTGTCGTCCCTGAAACAAACATCATTCGTTTCGGGGAGGGGGTGCGCGCCGAAATCGCAAGTCGACCGACACTGTACATATGGCATATACTTCGAAGTACATGCAGGTGATTTTCGTCGTCCAGCATAGCAAGCTGCGTTCGTTTCAGAGGGAGGGGAGGGGGTCCGAGTACGAAATGAACGATGTTCGTTTCAGAGACCACAGAACACTTTGCGACGACCCCTTATTGACTCTTGTTGTTTTACAGGGCGTGATGTAGGCAACACACAGTGTATTGACGCATGTTCACAGTTATACACTCCTGGTTATCAAGTCTTGCCGTCATCCTCACCATCTTCCTGTATCATTCATGAGTAGTGTGTCCTGTGCCCATTTCTCCACTGTAGAGGCTCCATTTTCACACCTAACATGGCGTTCGACATCATTTGCAAGAAGCAGATTAGGATTTTCCATAACCCGGCGAATGAAGTCATTGACCTGGTGTGTGATGAGCTAAGGTCAATAGTGTCTAAACTATGTAGCAAGGTGAGGCCTTTCTCTGTCTCTCTGTCTCTGTCTCTGTCTCTCTCTCACTCTCACTCTCTCTCACTCTCTCTCTCTCTCTCACTCTCTCTCTCGCTCTCTCGAACCTCGAACTGGACATGTCCGGTTAATTAGAAGTCCCACAGATTCCACTTACATAGAAAATGTGTGGGATTTGTGCTGATAATTCGAAGTTACTTCGAAGTAGCAAAGTGTAATTCGAAGTTCACTGTACACTGTACTGGTCAGTTCAGTTTGCATGAGCAGGCTGTGCTGGTCAGTTCAGTGTCCGTAAAGTGTCTAAGGTCCATAGCGCAACTCTGCGTGACCATGAGAGCATTTTGACATACATATTGTGTTGTGGGTTCATGTTTGGATAATTAGAATGTCCGGATAATTAGAAGTTTTTTCCTGGCATTTCGAGGTTCGAATTATCAGGATTTCACCTGTACTACAATCTTGGTCAGCACATCCGTTCCCATCCAACACCCTCTTCAATTCGTTCTGCTCTGTGTGTGTGTGTGTTTGCCCTGTGCAGATCAACAAATACCCAAGCTTGAGCGATGAGATTGACCGCGCGTGTCGTTCCACCATTGTTGAAAGCGCCGAGCGATGCAAGAGATTTGTAAGTCCTGGGTACCATCCTCCACCACTTCATTACATACTATTATGTTATACAGCACTGGCCAGAGAAATCCAACCTCATGAATAAAATAGCACAAGGGGCTACATGGCCCTAGCACTATACACACTGTTCTGTGCACTCGAACGCGGCGTGAAACCTGTCTAAGACGACCGCTCAAGGGACCATCAAGACGTCGTCTTTGTGTAACCAGGTGGTCTCCTTGTGCAGGGTCATTTGACTGGAAAGTTGTGGAAATAGCATACCTTGGTCCTTGTTGTAGTGGTCTTCTGGGACAGGTGGTCACCTTATCCGAGTGATCGCCTTGCCAGGTTTTACTGTATATTCATGAGGCTGGATTTCTCTGGCCAGAACTGCATATGCATGCGTGCCGGTAATCGGAGATGCACGGTGACCTATAACTGAATACTATTCCGTCATGATTCCGACTTTCTTTAGTTGTCCGGCACTTTCCATACTAGCAGGTGTAGGCGTGTGTCTGCTCGATCATGCAGAAGCGATTCCAGCAAACAGGTCCCTGGCCTCCTCCTGTTGTTGTCATACTGCTTTGGCGGCTGGCCTATTTCTTTGTACTTGCGTGCACTAGTACCGACATTTTCGGTGCGTTTTATTTAACTGAAAATTGTCGGCACCGAAGTTACCGAAAATTAAACACCACCAAAAAGTTCTGCTTTTACAGTAGTACGAACAGCATATGATGTAGATTGTTGTTTGATGCTGAGTGATCATTGCTGCTGTGGCTCTGTGTACAGGTTGATGTGATTATTGATGGTGAGCTAGCATACATCAACACTAGGCATCCGGACTTTGAGAGCGCGTAAGCAACACTGCATATAACCATGGGCTTTAGCCTTTTAGGGGCCGTCCATAAATATCCAAGTTTTTTTCACCGAACGAATTATTTTAGTTTAGACCCAACCCCCCCCCCTCTCCCCCTCAGAACGTAAAACTGAAATCTGATTGAAAAGTACTGTTCTGCGTGTAGACATGAATGTTCATGAATGTTCAGCTGTGTTCAGCGGTGTCTGCTGAGAGATCAGTACTGTAGAACCTGCTAAGGCGACCACTCGGATAAGGTGACCACCTGTCCAGTCCTAGAGGACCACTACAACCAGGACCAAGGGATGCTACCTCCAGTCAAATGACCCTGGATAGCGCAAGAAGACCACGTTTCAATGTCTCTTGAGCGGTCGCCTTAGACAGGGTTCACTGTATTGTAGAAGCGGCTCAACTGTGGCGTCAAAGACTGAGTACTAGTGCTGCTGCTGGTGGGGTTTCTGACTTGCATCGGCCTCTCTTAACACGTGCCGTTTAAGCAGAACTATGGCAACACAATGTATGGTGTGCTCCTTGTGTTGTCTCGCTTTCACAGGAGTACGAAGAAGAAAGGCAAGAAAGACGGACAAGGCATCCAGGTCAGTTTCAGAATGCACGCAATTACGGCAGCATCGGGTGCCGAAGAACGGCGTACCACTTAAAGTTAGCGATGTTCCTCTTTTCGTGATCCTCCGCCTTCGTTCTTTGTGGTACATGTACTGTATTTTGTCGTGGTACTTTGTGGCAACGGCATGTGTGCGTGAGAGAGAGACAGAGGGAGAGAGAGAGAGAGAGAGAGAGAGAGGGGGGGGGGGGGGAGAGAAAGACCAGACTGATGGCAAACTTCGACGAAAATTCATAAGATTTGGACGATACGTCCTGGAGTAACGGAAGTCGCACGAGCTTTCGTCAACTTTCGACGGAAAAGAGCTGAACAACGAATATAACTTTTCGTTGCAATCACTGTACTGCCACACTGTAATGTACGGCACATGCGTACTGTTGTACACTTCGCGCATGCACGCTTGAGCATCGAGACCTACTTCCCGCACTCTGAAAAAATTGAATACCACTTTTCCGCAAGCTTCAAATCAAACAATTTTCATAGCCTTTTTTGTGGTTGCCTGAGCTGTGGAACCCTACGCAACTTTATTATGCGCCACCTCTAGTGGTGAAACGAATATCAAAACCCAGTAGCCGAATATTCTTTGGCTTAACGAACGAACGAACGAATATTCTTTCGTTAACACGGATGACATCACACACCCTCCTCTCAGTCGTTTTATTGGATATTGTCACTATTATTAGGCATGACAAACGAAGGCACATACATGTATTTCTCCACCATATCTAGGTCAATTTTCACAAAATCCCCAGCTGAAGTGCTCAAAAAACAGCCCAAGACGTGATTTTTCGTTCGACCGCCATAACTCCATTCCAGGACCTCGGATCGCGTCCGGGTTGCTTCGAGACGACAGCTGAGAGTTTTCTAATGCCGATGGAACTTTCGATGAGGCGGTTCGGTCAAGTATTTACGAAGTTACGGAAGTTTGAAGTCGCCCGGTAAACTCTGCATACCCGGTTAGCGAATATTCGCCATGAGAAATATTCGTTCGAATGTGACAAACCGAACGAACATTCGAATATTCGGTATATTCGTTTCACCACTAGCCACCTCCCTACTACTGGTATTGTAATTCCTTTCCTGTGCTGCTTGCTGCACTTGTTTTGTTCTTGTTGCCTTGGCATGATAGGTGGTACGCAAGGGCATGTTGACAACGACCAATGTGAGCATGCTCAAAGGAGGCTCAAAGGAGTACTGGTTCGTGTTGACAGGTGAGAACGTATTACATATATTGACGGGCAGACAGGCAGTGCAACTCAATCTTTTAGCAGGGCCTGTGCTGGTAGCTTGGCATAATATAATTATGATATTGTATTGCAATTTCAAATTTGGACTTCACGGAGAATTTCAAAGTTTTTAGGAAATTAGAGGCCACATGCCACGTACTGGGTGAGTTGCCAGTATGATGCAAGCCAGATATGAATTGATCGAAGAAGGATAGATTTACCATCACTGTGGATTAGAGTCATACTGTAGCTCAGTTGGTTAGAGCATTGCTCGCGAATAGCAAGGTCCCTGGTTCGAGTCCCGGTGGTGTGACTGATAATTTTTTCTTTCTTTCATATCTGGCTTGCAAGTGTTGAGTTTCGGAGAGAAAAGAGCAGTACGTGGCATGACGCATGTGGCCTCTAATTTCCTAAAAACTGTGATATTGTATCATGTGGAAAATCAAGAAAAACTCACAAGGCCATGATCAAATACTTGCATAATCCAAATGTATTACATTAGGGACTTTTGCAGCACACTGACAATTTACTGTGGATATGGATATGGCTGCGTGTGAGTATGTGCGCGTGTGTGTGTGTGTGTGTGTGTGTGTGTGTGTGCGCGCGTGCGTGTGTGTGTTCTGTGCGTTTCATGCTACAGCTGACACTCTGGCTTGGTACAAGGATGAAAAGGTAAAATGCCGTGGTGATGTATTGGTCATTATTGGCAGCAAGGTGGCACAGCCGGAATAGGCATTTTGTTTTTGAACTTTGCATATTTGTACTGCACTGGATAAATAATGCAATTGCCTTATGTAAGTGATTCTCTGTGTTTGGATAGTATTACGGTATGGTTTCCAGGGGAAATCAAATTGTCCCCACGTCCAGGGCAGAGGGGTGGATTTTTGGCAATTTTTGGGAGGATTTTCTCTTCGCCGAAAGTTCATGATGGCTTGTGTAATCTGTTTTGATATTGTGTGTGTGTGTGTGTGTGTGTGTGTGTGTGTGTGTGTGTGTGTGTGTGCGTGTGCGTGTGCGTGCGTGTGTGTCCTGTGTTCGTGTGGGTGCGTGTTCATACATCCGTGTGTGCATATGTATAGGAGGAGGATCAAAAATACCTGCTGCAGCTGGAGCACGTCAAGCTGAGGGAGACCGACACTGGTAAACCGATGTTTGGCAGGAAATGTGGCTTTGCCCTGTTCAACCCATCAGCAAAGTAAGCCGCAGCGTGAAGTATTAACTGTCTAGAGAGTGGTTTCACATCAATCCCATGACCATACAAGGGAGGCATGTTGGTTCCAACTCCAGTCCCCCCCCCCCCCCCCCCACTGCATATATGGGTCACATGATGTCGGCCACGTTGGTTCCAACTCCAGCCCCCCCCCCTCCCCCCCCCCCCGCATACTGTAAATATACAAATTTTCGGCAGCTATTTAATTTCGGCTATATTCGGCACCGACCCAAAACGCCTAAATTAAAACGCCGATGAAATTTTTCACAGCATCTGTCGCACTATACTAGCGCCTCTACCCCGCGCCGAAAATAAATCGCCGCCGAAATGTCAAAATTCGTGAAGTGCCGAAATTTTGCAGCGCCGAAATTTTGTATATTTACAGTATAAGGGATATATGGGTCACATGATGTCGGCCATGTTGGTTCCAACTCCAGCCCCCACCCCACCCCCCGCATATATGGGATATATGGGTCACATGATGTCGGCCATGTTGGTTCCAACTCCAGGGCCCTACCAGGGCCACCCCCCCCCCCCCCCCCCACATATATGGGTCACATGATGTCAGCCACGTTGGTTCCAACTCCAGCCCCCCCCCCCCCCCTGCATATATGGGATATGTGGGTCACAGGATGTCAGCCATGTTGGTTCCAACTCCAGCCCCCACCCCTTCCCTGCATATATGGGATATATGGATCACATGATGTCAGCCACGTTGGTTCCAACTCCAGCCCCCCCCCCTGCATATATGGGATATATGGGTCACATAATGTCAGCCATGTTGGGTCCAACTCCAGCCCCCCCCCCCCCCTGCATATATGGGATATATGGGTCACATGATGTCGGCCATGTTGGTTCCACTGTCCACATGACAAGGTGGTCACTTTCGGCACCAATTTGGTCACATGACCAACTGATGTGAACACCACTCTACTCTCCCTGTTCTGCCACTGGCCTCTGCTTGCAGGAACTTGTTCAAGGACCAGAAACAGCTGGAGTTGTCAAACGATGATGAGGAGTACATCGAAGGATGGAAGTCGAGTTTCTTGCGTGCCGGTGTCTATCCGGACAAGGGTGGAGAAGAATCAGTGGTAAGAGTGGCGTTGATTGCTTTCTTGCTTAGACTTCTGCCGCGCCTTTGTTCTCGTACTCCCCTCTATGTACTAGTGTTGTGCAAACCCTCCTGCTAGTCTGTCTCATTTTGCCCCGAGGTGTTTTGATGCATAGTGATTATGACGCTCATCATTCGCTCCCTTGTCACTGGACAGGTCTGTCCGTCTGGTTTTAGCGAATTCAAATAAAGAAAACAGCAACAACAACAACAACAAGAGTTCAGAGAGAACACTACCAACTACAGTACGGTCAAGTAAAATCCACCCTCATTGACATAACAGCTACCGGGGGCTGCACAACCCAAGCACTGCCAGCTACAGGGCGGTGCAGTGAATGCCGCTCTCCTGTAATCAGGGGGTTGGGTTTCACTTGCCAGCACTGTAGGAAACCTGTATTCAACCAAGGGTGGTGAAGAGTCGGTGGTAAGAGCTCAGAGAGAACACTCCTAACTACAATGCTGGCAAGTGAAATCCAACCTCATTGATATAACAGCTACCGGGGGCTGCACAACCCAAGCACTACTAACTATGGTGCAGTGAGTGAATGCCGCTCTCCTGTAACCGTGGGGTTGGATTTCACTGCCAGCACTGTAGCAAACCTGTATTCAACCGTCCATTGCAACGTACACACAGTAACAGCAATCCCCTGGCCGCAATGTGAATCTGGAAGTGTGCTAACTGACCATGGAGTGGAACAACTCAATACACTAAACTGTGTACTCAACAGCAGAGTTTGAACCTTTTTTTTTGCTTTAAACTAAGCAAGCCTTGAAACCGCAGAACTGCCCGGCTGGTTTGTGTGTGTTTACTGTGCCACAATCACCACCATTACTATTGTTGCTGTACCTGCTGCAGGAAATGTACACGGGCAATGACCCGCACATGGAGCGCAACGTGGAGAAGATCCGCAGCATGGTCGACTCCTACGTGACCATCGTCATCAACCTGGTCAAGGACCGAGTGCCGAAGTCCATTGTGCACATCATCATTATGAGCGTAAGGAGGTGCCATAGCCAGTATTGTATTTCCCCGATTATAAGTCGCAGCCCATTCTCACGTCCAAACCGAATTGTTTCAATGCATTCACATAAGTAAGAAGTCACTCTCGATTGTAAGTCGCATCCCTTCTTTGCCCTTGAGGTTTAGTGTAAAAAATGTGCGACTTACAATCGGAGGAAATACGATACATTCTTTAACAGCAGCCTGGCCTGGGGTGCATTCAATGTTGTCCCCGACTATCAGGCTACACATGTCTGCCATCAGCTCTGCTCAGAAGTATAATACTGAGTGCATTCAAGGTGGTCCCCGGCTGTATGGGCTACATACCGTAGTGTCTTGTATTAAAGCCGTTCTCATATAGAAGCCTGTTTTGAATACAAGCCTGAAGATACACTGTCGGCACATAAGCCTGGTTTTAGCGTTGACACACATAGAAATACCTGGTTTGAATAGAAGCCTGAAGTGAATAGAAGCCTAGCCTTGACATCGGCTTCTACAGGAATACGCCCGGCTTTCATACCCGACATTACAGGTATATCTGCTATCAACCCTGCCAAGACGTAAGCACTGTATTTCCTGATTTCATGACATGGTATGAACCAGTCAGCCACCGACCGGTGGTATTCTAACGTCTCGTAGACTCCGACGCAAACTGTGATGTGTGTTCCCGTTTATTTGATTGTGTGTGTGTGTGTGTGTGTGTGTGCACGCGCGCATGTGCGTGTGTGTGTGCATGTGTACAGCTGCGGAATTTCGTGGACGAAGATATCTCCAGCTATATCTATGATCAAGTAAGTGTGGTGGACGTTGACTGAACATCCCTAAGCTAGCACCAATAGTTGATGAAACCCAGAGTGAGCAGTTTGTGACATTTTCTGCATGGGCGAAAATTCCGGGAATACCGGTACATCATTGTTGGTGCAGATAAGCGTCGGGAAGTGGTGCAGTTCGTACACCTGAGCTGCAGTTGTGCAGCAGGAGATCTGCTTGAAGCCTGCCTGTATGCACGTGTTGTAGTACGTTACTTTGTGTACGTCGTGTGTACGTGGTGTTGGTGCATGCGCGTGTTGCTGTGGTGTGAAAAGCAGTCTTCGTCTTGAGTTCGTCATGTCTAGTTGTGTTCCCGTAGTCGTCTCGTCACAAATATAGCATTCTAAATGTAGTTATCTCGTTGTCCATTGTATAAGTGTGGAGATGGCACGGGGCTGGGAGCAGGTGGAGCCAGTTAATCACAACACACATAGTCGCACTACGCCACAAAACGGTGCAATCTAGGAAATTCGCCGTGACGGCAACCCGTTCGACCTGCACTCTCCAGTATATGAGATGTCTGAACAGTATTTGTTCATGTGAGGTCCGCTGGCAATAGAGTCTGGCTATTGTAATATTATGATGCTGAAGTCTGCATTCGACACCAGGATTATATGGGCGAAGTGGTGGCCCGCCAATGCGAATGTCTTTGCTTGATGTGCTCCGCAACGCGTCAGGTGATGCGGCCGGAATTCGGCTAACTTTTTTCTTTCTTTTTGGCTGTTCAGAATGTATCAGATCTCATGTGTGAGAGTTTAGTCTGTCTTTTGTCCGTGCTTTGCCTGTCCAGAATGTATCAGATCTCATGTGTGAGAGTCCCGGTGAAGAAGAGCGTCGTCGTAACGTGCTGCAGTTGTACAAGGCAAGCCGTGAAGCACTGGACATCATCAACGATGTCAACACCAAAACAACAAGCACTCCTGTACCACCACCGGTGGAGAACAGCATTCAAGTGGAAGCCGTTGCGCGGTAAGCTAGCGCTTGTACTGCCACCAGCTGACTGCTGTGATGTGATGTGGCGCTGCGGTGTTTCTCAATGTGTTGGCTTGGTGAACGTGTGCTGCGTGCGTGGGGAGAGGGGGAGGGGGTGGGTGCATGTGTGCTTGTGCTTGTGCATGTGTGTGTGTGTGTGTGTGTGTGTGTGTGTGTGTGTGTGCTTGTGTGTGTGTGTGTGTGTGTGTGTGTGTATGTGTGCTTGTGCTTGTGCATGTGTGTGTGGTATGTGCAGTCGATTTCCAATCGAGAGGTTGCGGGTTCAATTCCCGACGATTATGGTCGCACACGTCTTTCTTCTCTTTCTCGGTCTCTTCCTGACTTTTCTTTCATTCTCCTGGGTGGTTACCAACAGCCAGTGTATGCCGGAGTATGTGGTGTGGTGTGTGTGTGTAGAAAAAAATGGGAAAATGGAAAAATGAAAAATAGGGATTCACTGGCCAGAAAAAGTCACTTCAAACAGCTGTGTGGTGGATACCAGGCTAAAAATAGTGGCGGTCAATTCATCAGCCTTGCAAGCTGTTGAATGGTGTAATCCCAGCACAAGTTGCTATGTCTAACATAGCTGTTCGCTATCATCGCTTCCGCGATGGGCAGGTCTGAGGTGTGTGTGTATGTGTGTGTGTGTGCATGTGTGTGACTGTGTGTGTGTGCGTGCGCCTGCGTGCGTGTGCTTGCTTACATGTGTGGTTATGTGCTGCGTGTGGTGCCGCGACGGGTTCGGCCGAATAATTATAGCTGGTTGCACACTTGTGCGCCTTGTGTGTGGTGCCGCAATGGGCAGCAGGTCTGACTATGCATTGGGGTATGGTATGGTATGGTGCTTGGGATGATCAGTCTCTTCTAAAAGATGCCTCGAGTTGCGGTAAACTGGGTAATGTACGCGATCTGGAAACTTTCGGGCGTTTCATGATGGCTGTGGAATAGCAAAAGGTACGAAACGACAAAAAAATTAATGCAACTGACTCCAGTCGCAAACACCTCCTGGTGTTAATTGGTCTTTGCTCACAAATTGCGAATTAAAACTGGCGCAAGCATTTCCCGTCTTACAATAGGTCATAACCATGTCTCGATACCCAATGAGTAGTAATTCACCCGTGTAAAAAACTAAAAATCACCTCTATCCGTTCCATAGAGATAATAATACTTGTTCGGGGAAAGCACAGGCAAAGTGAAAAAAGGAACTTCTAGAACTCGAAGCGTACATCCTCCCAACACTCTTCAACTGGTCTCTAGAGTCTGGACTACACCCATCAGTTGAAAAGATTAGAGTTATCCGGATTTCTAGGCAAGGCCCATCTTCAAGAACTACTGAGAGCTCTGGTCTGAAACACTCATGACCAACAACAAGAAGACGTGAGCAAATCCAGAAAGTCACTCCTGTGACAAAGCAGCTAAATTCGTATCTGGCCAATATCAGACATGGCTACCCTTTTACCGTTCCCGCTGAATCCAACGGTACTTGTACCCAGCACCCAAAACACCATCGGTTTGGTATCGTTTCGACGGTAGAAGGCTCCGTTTACCGGGAAAACCAAACGGTACGATTACAACTAGGGTGACGTCACAGGCCGGTCGTTGTGTCAGAAACCAAAATGCTAATCCTGTCTTGAAAACACACAAAAAACAGTACAGGCCGACGGTAGAAGTTAGGGTGAACAGTAAAATGCTAACCATGCCTATTGGGGCAATGAAGCGCTAAATGTAGAACCGCAGTCTAATCTGGGGAAAGTGGACAGTGTAAAAACGGATACAGAATCCCCAGACGAGATCAGATTCCATTCACCTCGATTTCCTGAGTGCCTTCATTTTCATCCTCAGGATATGTCGTCGGAAGTGGTCGAAAGTCGTCTAGTACGACACCAAGAGTACATAACCCCCCAGAGTGTGCAACTCCCACATACCCTGCTGTCCCGACAGAATTTCAAGCTGACGTCATTATTTATGACGTAATGCTCCTTGCACCAGTGATTTACAACATGTGTACGGGTGTCAACGCATCACACGTTTTTCTTTGCAATAATTTGTACAGGATCAGATCGGCTTCGGTCAACCCCAGGTTCCGGACTCGTCTGACAATCCGTGTACAGTGCGCATTGCATCATCAAAATGACGTCAACTTGAAATTCTGTCGGGACAGCACCCATAGTGGAGTTGCACACTCTGGGGGGGGGGGGGGGGGGGTATGTACTCTTGACGATACCAAGAGTCAAACTCATCGAGCAGCAATGCAGACTGTAGCCAGTGATACGTTACGACTTTTCTTGTGGGACGCAATCGACTGGGGAAAATGTCGCTTGACCACCATTGCTGTCATGTAGCACAAACTTTATCCTCAATAAATCCTCCACGACAACAGCTGTCACGCTGTGACTTTATTGCAAGCAGAGCCAACATGCTGGAAGCTGCCATCATTGAAACAAGGCAACACGCCCATCAAACTGTTTCTGGTGAAACACTGCCAATCATTTCCTTGGCATTTCGAGATCGAAAACTCATTTTCGAAATTTCCTGTGCCACATCAAAGGGGTGGAGTGGGGTGGGGTGGGGTGGGGTGGGGACGAAAACTGTCGTATCCCGTGTTCTTGTTGTGCTGCGTGAACGTGATAGTAGGCTGAAACGAGACGATGGAGAGCGGAAACGACAATCGACAAAACCGAGTCCGTTAAACACATGTTTTGCTGTGCTCGTCTCTGTCCGCTGCAGGCCAGCATCGCGTCCATCGGGATCACGTCCGAGTGCACCGACAACCAAGCGTCCACCACTGCCCAAGGGAAACAGCTTCGGTAGTGATCCAGCGCCGAGCAGACCGCCACCAGGCAGATCCCCGGCACCTACTAGGCCAGTGCCGGCGCAACCGCCTCGCCCTTCCGCCGCGTAAGTTTGTCGACGCAATGTGTGTGCGTGTGTGTGTGCGCACGCGTGCGTGCGTGTAGGGATTCACTGGCCAGAAAAAGCCACTTCATAGCTGTGTGGTGTAGACCAGGCTGAATAGTGGCGGTCAATTCTTCAGCCCTGCAAGCTGTTGAATGGTGCAATCCCAGCACAAGTTGCGATGGCTTCTGCTGTAGCATCGCTATCATCGCCTCCGGCGATGGGCGTCAAATGGTCTAAATGGTTTGTGTGTGTGTTATAACTGCAGCCGCTGTTGTTGACGGAATGTGCTCACGTGTGAGTGCATGTATACAAATACTTCCTACGTAACCAAAAACTTCGTGACTTTTTTTAGAAGGCTGCGCACAGCTCTGGAATTGTTCAGTTTGACTTGAAATAACACTCGTGGCATTGTCTAACCTACTTACAAGCTACATACAGGGTTCGTAGCATACACACAATTCAGGGGATTTCCAGGGTTATTTCAAGGGTTTTCACGGACGCCATACAGTCGCCAGGCACCACATATCCGTAGCCGCACGCAGAAGTTCACTGATTCAGAATGTCAATAATCGAAGCTTTGATCACCAAGATTTTTTTACATAGTCTAGAGATTAAGTTTTCATGGTGAAATGAATATACCGAATATTCGAATACTCGTTCGTTTGAAAGCCCTATTTGAATTTTTCCTTTTTTTGAAAAGGCCCAACCCTGCCCTGCCAGTTACGTGGACTCGAGGGGGTCGCCATGTCGAATATTAGGGAGGTTTCACTCTACGGAATTACGTATGAAAATAACGCATGAACTGCACGGTTTCGCTCTACGTGATTTCTCCACGACTGCTAAACATGCGTTGTTGCTTTGGAGACGCGTTGGCTGCATGCGCCCACCGCATGCACCATGAACCGAAACCGCGTTTTCCATTATATTTTGCACGTGGTGTACGGTGTGAATACCTTGTGTTTCGCGCGGCTTGAATGTTGCCATGGACAAATGCGGAAAATGCAAAAACATATTTCAAAAAGTCCTACAGAGAACCCAACGTAGGAAAGAGCTTTCCTACGGAAATCGGTTGAGAGATTTACGTATGAAAGTCGCCCTCGCTCCCCGGCGCGTACGACATACGGATTTCATACGTAATTACGTAGAGCGAAACCTCCCTATTAATAAGAACTAAAAAGACTACAAAAGAAGATCGTGTAATTCACAGAATGAAATAATAAATGCCATGATGAAGACAGAAGACACACTCAGGCAAGCTTTACTGCATTCTGCTGCTCCTCCAATATCTGTGCGAGGTCACCTAGCTCAGCCTCTTTCGACTTCGCGGTACGGCGCAGGCTGTTGGACTTGACAATCCAAGTCAAGTCGCTGGATGACTCAGCACGCTCTGAGAACTTGCCAGCAGAGGAAACCAGCTCTGTAACTTCTGCATGAAGTCGCTTCTGCTTCTTCTTCACATCGTCGATCTCCGGCAGTAAAGCCTTCCGCTTGTTCGACTGGCCCGCGGCTTGTGCCTTCCGCTTCTCCTCTTCCAGATGGTCTCGGTATTGCTGTTGAGCTGCTGTAGCAGGCCGTATCAACAGGCTGGAGAGATGTCAACACTCCCCAGGCCGCCAGCAGAGGAACACATGGTCACAGACCAACCGCTGAGAAACAACAGACCGTTCGGACGTGTTGTCGTCTTCTACTTGGCGGTTCACGGAAAAGCCTCGCTCAACAGAGGCTTGGCCATGAGACAGCGGAAGCAGCTCCTCGACAACAGCCCATGCCTTGGCATACTTAGGCTTCTTGAGGGGGGGTGTCCAAGCGATCCGTGTAGGGTGACAACTGCTGGCCTTCACTTCACTCTCGAGAAAGATGCGGAACTGTTGCACAATTTCGTCGCAAGACGACAAGCCACCTACAACACGGTCGGCTTCAACAAGAATAGGCAGCAGCGGCTTCATCTTTCTGATCGCTTTCTCTGGCTGGGTTGCCATGACAGACGGGCAAAGACACTGCAAATGCCGAACCAGCAGAAACCTGAGCGCAGCCTTTGCAACAAGCTTCTTCAGGAGGGTGACGAGGAAGAGGCGAAGCTAAATCTTTTAAAAGCTCTAAGACCTGGAGCTGACTGGCCTTCTCGGCAGCAAGCAGGGGTCTCCTGGCCAACCGAACCAAGATCGACTTTGGTGGCGTCACCCAATTTGTCTGGGTCATAAGGCTGCAATGCCATCAGGCGAACTTTCGTAATCCCTTCCAGGACAGCAGGCTTCATGAAGCGTTGCATGAGCGTCCGGATGAGGGAAAACAGATCATCCGCCATGAATGGTAGCAGGGGCCGGTCATCTTGGGAGAGCGTCAGGAATGGCGAAACCTGCTGGCAGACTGATGCGAAGATAGCTATCTTGACCGGCGTCAACGGGTCTCCCGAAAACGTCTTAGCAGTGTCATACGAAGTGACGGTGGGCTTCGTAACAGTCTTGGCCTCTGAGCTGCAACATACAGCTTGAAGTTGTTAAAAAGCTGCAGCGCTCTGTCTGCCACCGGGCCATTCTCCACCCAGCGGTGAGCACAGAATCGGAGAGGGAAGTTCTTCGAATTCGTCGCCGTCTCATAGTCCTCTCTCCTTGCTGGGCTCTCGTGGAAGAGGCAGTACATAGCTGAAAACAGCTTGTTCAGCACCCAGCCAGACTTCAGTGCACCCCCATCTGGAATGCACTGTAAACAATGTGGAGACCACAGCTCCCGACGTCAATAGCTTGTCGGCCAACGGTTGACTTCAAGTGCTCATCAAACATAAATTCAAATGATGCCCTTTGGCGAATCCTGGTGTTGAGGACATCTTTGAAGGAGGGAGCCAGGCCAAAGTTCGTGAGGTAAGAGCATTTACGCTCAGACACACCAAACTGTTGCACAATTAAAAGGGTTTTCAAGGGTGCTACGAACCCTGTATATACAAAGAAAAAAAGCAACACAGACGAGTGAGATTAAAGAGGTTCCGCACTACGTAAAGTTGAGCAACTTTATGTTAGTGGGCTGGAAAAAACAGTGAATTCGCGGGTTTGCCCTCCACTTACGGAAAGTTGTCTACGTAGAGTACGTAGATAGGGCTCTGATAAGTGGATTGGGGTACAAATTTATGACTCTTTTCCCAGCTCGATCTGGTCGTACACTGCCGCGTTCGGAGTTGCCAAGGGCAGCTACGTGATTTGAAAACTCCGTATGGCGGAACACAGATGCGCATGCAGTTTACGTAAAGACTTTCCGTAGATCGACTGCGTTTTTTACTAACGTGATAACGTTATGCGGAACCTCACTATTAAGTTAATTCAGAGTCCTCTTCGCTCGTGTCATTGTCACCTGATGACGCTGACTGCGCATCACCAGCAGTCGCTTCTTCTGTTCGCATTTCATTCAGCTTCTTGTCAGCTGCAGTGATGATCCGACGCGGGACTTCGGCTACGCCCTCTTCATCTCCAGAGCTGGGTGGGCCTCGGTGTCGACTATTCAGTCGTTTCCACCCGAGACCTCCATTATGCCGTGAAACAAGCCCATCCACAAGTTTCGCATTTTCTCGGCAGGATCTCCTCTCAGCATTCTACAACGGCTTCGAGGATGTCCCTGCGCCCTTGGCGACAAAGGAGACATCTGACTGGAGAGAGGCAAAGAAAGCCAGTTCGTCAACATTCCGATCCGGAGTCTGCCTGGTTGCACTGAAACGTTTCATCTTGTCGTGCGAGCGGAATAGCGTCATGTTCTCATGCTGCGTATGAGGCCGCGCACCGTCGTGCTGTAACTGTGTAAGCACAGTACATGACCTGGCCAACTTCAGGGCAGCGAGTGCCCGCGTGACTCCACGTTCCAGCCGTGAGCACCACTGCGTCGCTGTGTCAGTTTCGAGCAAGGACGTTTTGTTTACTTGACTCGTGAGTTCCTGTCGGCAATGTCCTCGCCTGCATGGTTCCGTGGAGAATCTATTCGGGATCAACCAAACGTACCTCGACATGAATGTGGGTTGTCAATGACAGCCTTTGGTGCGGTTCGTTGAGCGGGTTCTTGCTCAAAAACACTGTTGAAAAAGTCACGTAGTTTTTGTGTAGACGGAGGAAGTACATGCATAATGTTAGCCTTACTTGTGTCTCTCTCTCTTTCTTTCTCTCTCTCTCCCTCTCTGGCTCTCTCTCTCTCTCTCTCTTCTCTCTCTTCTCTCTCTCTCTCTCTCTCTCTCTCTCTCTCTCTCTCTCTCTCTCTCTCTCTCTCTCTCTCTCTCTCTCTCTCTCTCTCTCTCTCTCTCTCTCTCCTTGATAGTTAACCAGGTATGATGATGACAGAGGTCAAAGAGGCACGCCGGGAATTTTCTCGGTGGTGTGTTCTCTTCATGGGGGCCTTATATGGCCCCCAAGAAATGGGGAATCGCGAAAACTAGACCCAAAAAGTCGATATATGAAGCCAGGGAGGGCAAAGTTTGTCTCCTCTTTTGATGGTTTTGATGACGTCACGTGTGCTTAGTATTCAAATTCTCTGCATTTGAAGATCTTAGTTTTTTTGAATTTTTCTGATGATAAAGAATGATGTTTGGTCAACATTCCCAAGCTTCACAACTGCAACCGTACTCTAAGGAACCTGAAGGACCTCCTGAGATGCCCCTGGTAGAAGCGCAGCCTGATGAGGGCCAGGAAATTGGAGCGGACGACTTCACTGGTCGACAAGGAAATAACGATTGGTGTTCCTGCCAGAAATGTAGGGTGATGCAGAGGGCAGTCGATTACCTTTGCTGTCGAGAGAGCGCTGCAGCTGTTAGCATTGACAGCCCTTTGACATGCGTTACACATCACCCCGACTTCGCGTCAGCTTGTCTAAACAAAACTGTTCTGACCATTATGCCTCACGGCGTATAGAGAATTTCGGGATCCTTGTACTCGGACCAGTGAAGTCCTCCGCTCCAATCTCCTGGCCCTCATCAGGCTGCGCTTCTACCAGGGGCACCTCAGGAGGTCCTTCAGGTTCCTTAGAGTATGGCCGCAGTTGTGGAGCTGGGGAATGTCGACCAAACATCGTTCTTCCTCGTCAGAAAATACAAACAACTAAGATCTTCAAATGCAAAGAATTTGAATACTAAGCACACGTGACGTCATCAAAACCATCAAAAGAGGAGACAAACTTGGCCCTCCCTGGCTTCATAATTATATCGACCTTTTGGGTCTAGTTTTCGCGATTCCCCATTCCTTGGGGGCCATATAAGGCCCCCATGAAGAGAACACACCACCGAAAAATTCCCAGAGTGCCCCTTTAAGAGGGGAAGTTGTTTGTAGCGCCTAACATCTGAACGATTGAAACGTGGTGATTTTAAGAGGTTTTTTTGGACCAATCGCAGAGATTGAGAGAGGAGTTGTTTGATGTAGCTTTCGTTGTCATCTTTGTATCTTGATTCTACAGGGCTGTTCCCAAGCGACCCAGCAGACCTGCCAGGCCAACGTAGGGAAAAGGAAAAGCTTTACACACCTGCTGATCATTGCCTGCCTGGAGGTGTACGTGTGTGTGTATGCGTGTGTGCGTTTGTTTGTGTGTGTATGTGTGTGTGCATGTGTTTGTGTGTGTGTGCGCGTGTGTGTGCGTGCGTGCTCGTGCTTGTAACTTTGCTTGTATCTGTCCCTGTTTTTGAGCGTGCATAGTCGTTATATTTCTGCTTCTGCATCGCCCAGTTGTAATGTGTTCTTGCGCGTAGTCTGGAGGTGTGCTCAACGTCCGTAACCTACTTGCCTTGCCCTCCCCCCCCCTCCCCTCGCACCCACACACACATGCACTTTGCTATTCCTGCCCAGCCCTAACACATATTTCACCTACCTTGCTGTGTGTGCGTCTGTGTGTCTGTGCGTCTGTGTGTGTTTATGTGTGTACTACCTGTATGTAGAGGTGCGTATCCTTGAATGCTCCGTGCTCACTTGGCTTGCTGCAATCTTTAGTGTCATGGCTGTTTGCGATGTCGCCATCTTTTTTATTATTATATTTATTGAACTTTTTTTCTTTCTTTTTCTTGACCAACTCTTGAGTACGAAAGCAAAGTCTTGAATATTGCGAGACTTTGCACTTGCACCGCTCTGCTGTATACGCTGAGCTGCGAGTGCTGCTGAAATTCACATGATAAAATGCTATTGCTGTAGCTAGCGCATATCTTGGGGCCACTGTCCGTCCGTTGAAATCTTACTCCTTTTTTTGCTGCACATTGCTACTGGACCGCTGATTTGACTGCGCTGTCGTCTCCATACGTTTACTCCGCAACTTGATGTGAGCCACCTCCGCCACCATGCACGCGCGGTATTTATAGTCGTGCCCTGCGCACGCACATACCCATTCATGGACTTGCTGTGAGTGTGCAGGGATCGGCCATATTTGGCATGATTTGACAAGAGCAGTATCCCGGGTATCCAAGCGCTGAATAAGCAGAATATTTCATCGACGAATACCAGGTAATTTAAACTAATTTCGCCTGTTGGGGAGGAAATTGTATTTGCTACACCGGTCATTTACATGTACCGTAAAATCCCGCCAGAGCTAGGCTTCCGCGGAGTATGCCGGCATAATTTCGGGAATTATTGGTCTGATTTTTAAAACGGGAATTATTGGCAATTTTTGTGGAATAATCGGTAAAATTTGAGCAATGCGATGCCCTTTTTTTGGAGAGCGTCAAAAACTCCTCTTGTACGGGCAAAATAAACAAAATTACTAGTGCAACCTCAACAGCACCGGAAGAAAAACGAGCAAAAATGGCTGTGAAAACAGTCGGGAGAGCAAAAATGGCTGTGAAAACAGTCGAGAGAGCAAAATGGCTGTGAAAACAGTTAGTATGGAGCCTCGGGAGGGAGCTTTAACCGATGCTGGTCATGGCAACCGCAAATCGGGCCGAGTCGTTTGCATCTGAGGGCACTCGGTGCCGATGGCCTCGCAGACTGGCAACAGCAGCACGGATGAGGGCAAAGCTGAGCTTACATCGGATGTAGGAGATTGTGGCAGAGTACGGCTCCTGCTTCTTGTTGGCGAGCATCGATGCCAGCCGAGCATAGAGTGCTGTCGCAGCTTTGCCATACCCTCCAGTGCAGGACAAGACAACTGGTGAGAAGGAGGCGTGCTCGATGTTAGTGATCCGTTCCTCGCAGCGGCGACGCTTCTCCTGCTCATGTCGCTTGTACACAGCGGGCAAGGCAAACTTGGCGTTGGTAAGGGCGTGGAGGTTGAAAACCCGGACATCAAAATACGAACGCTCGTACCGACCTCCCCAGACTCCACTGGCACCGATGTCCAGGCGGGCGTTGTCTTCAGTTGAAGCCGACCGTAGCGTCATCCTCTCACCTGTCAGTGGCTCTAGCAGCGGTTCCACCACAACTTGGTGCGCAACTTCCTTCATGATGGATGCTGTGAGGTTGCGTACCTCGTTGTGGCGGAGGCTAGGGTAGCCGCCGGTTGAGCAGGAGAGAGCATGGGCCACGGTGAATGATTTACCACAGCTGCAAGCAGAGGGCAACCGCTTCAGAGGCCAGCCATATCGCAATGAAACCGCATCATGAAATGCGCCCTTGGATAGCATGAAGCCAAACATGTTCAGTGGTTTGCATGTCAGCCACGACGAGGCACCCTTCTCCGCCGCCAGCTCCCTGGACCACTTTAAGTCCGAAGTGATGCTCTCTTCCACAGCGACTAGGGTCTCCTTCTCCCTTACGGAGTGGATCCTGCGCACCTTCACCTTCTCTGCCTTCATGGTGTGGTGAACATCACCTAGGTCCGTGTTTTGCACGATGATCCGCTCCACCAATGGCTGCGTGCTGGTCCTGGAGTCATCAAACTGGCTGGCGAGATCGCGCGGGTTGATTAGACCCATGCCCCCTAGGCGACAAGGCAGAGCGAGGAGAGAGCGGGTGGTCTGATCAGGAGCGGGGTGTCCTGTGAGCGCCGGGATAAACTCGCCGTGGATAATCTCCTCCAGTGGCTGGAAATTCTCCGTCGCTTCTGGCATGGTGCGAGCGAGGAATGTCCACTTGCCCTTCAGCCCTTGCGTGAACGCCATGTACGCTGCTTGTGGTTGCGATTGGGCGTACCTGGTGAGGACTTGCAGTTCCTTCACCCATTCCGTGACCTTCGCTGCAACAAACTGCTTGCAGAAAGCAGCAGTGCCCAGTCCCGCACCCAGGTGACGGCAACCGTCTTGCATGATTGCGATGTTAGTCCCATGGAACATTTCCTCCGTGGTTTTGGCAAACTGTGGTTTCACCAGGAGCGTGGACTTGGAACCATTGATGAAGTAGTCGTACATGTGGCCCTCCTCCTCGAGCGTGTTCCACCATACACGCAGCGCACGCATACGGCCTGCTGCTGTGGAATCATCCGCAAACCAGATGTGCTGTGCCGCTGAGCTGCTCGCCGCCTTCTGCATGAGTGGGAGGAGCCCAATGGCATACATGGGCATTGCCATCGGGTCTCCCTGGGTGGTGCCCTCCTCAGAATGAAGACACTCCCCATCGACGAACAGCCGTGCGGGATGCCGGTAGGTGTTGGTGACGGCACCCACGATGGCCGGACAGAGGTGGCGGATGTTGTGCAAGCACACACTGCGGTTCAGCCTGTTGAACGCATTGCTCACGTCTGCTAGGAGGACTGCTTCGGTCTCTTCCTCGTTCCATAGGTGCCGCATTGCGTGGATTGCTGCTTCGACACCACATTCTTGGCCGCCACACAGCTGAAGCAACCCGACCGCCTGTTGGATCTGCTCTCCGATAATGGTGAGGAAAGCTTTGCCTACTATCCTTCTGAGGACTTCACATATGCCGATTGGGCGCATCCCGGGCTTCTTATCCAGAGGCACCAAGCGGCATGCCGTGAATGACTCAAGGGAATTTGGGTTGATGATTCCGGTGGCGATGCGCATGGCGCAGGCGGCGATGCTATCACATAACTGGTCGGACGCTCCGAACGAGGTGCACAAGCGTTTCCAGCTGGTAGAGTCCATGCCGGATGGGCCCGCTGCTCCATTTGTCCTTAGCACCGATTGCCGAATGATGTCTCTGTTCAGAGCTTCGAACAGCACCGGGTGCGGCAGTTCAGGGCAGGGGCCGATGATGAGGGCATCTGCATGCATGGGTTCCGCCAGCGAGTGCTTCTCTTTCAGCGTTTGCCTCACGGTTTTACCATCAGCGGAGGAGTCCAGATTTAGCAGCCCACCCGAGGGCGTTGCTTTCAGGAACTGGAGAGCTGCGCCCAGTTTACCATTTGTGATGAGGGTAGCGAAACGTCGCGCATCATCTGGACTTCGGGCCCGTTTCCCGCCGCGTTCCTTGGTTAGTTGGCGCTGGATGGTACGTGCCGCCCGGACGAGTTCATCGATGTTTCCCTCGTTCCATAGCTGCATTCGTCGGTTCAGACATTCCACATGCACCTTACGTGTCAAGCAGTTGACCGGTTGTTGCAGTAGGAGACTGTGGCAGACCATAAGTGCCTTCAAGGCTATGCCTTCTCCCGCCGCATTTGTTCAGAACGTGTTGAGGTAGCGAGCGCTCAAGTCCACCACTGACCTGCCATGTGCACCCGATGGGATGGAGAACAGGTTAGGCCGGAAGTGTACGATTTCCTCGCAATGCCATGCCCCCGTTTTTTCAATTTTTTCATTTATAACACCCTGATTTGTACCAAAAAGCTTGTGCCCATGTGGTCCTGCAGTTGTTCCTGTCTTTCAGAAAAAAAGGAAAAAGAGAGAGAGAGAGAGATGTGTTGAAGCTAGGTGTAACAGCAGGACGTCGAATGTCTTCGTACTCTGTCAGTTTTGTGGAGAGGTAGGTCTACTCTGAACTCGTTTCCATAATTATGTCCTTTTTCCTTTCTACATTTATTATTGGCCCAATACCCGAGTTTCAAATTGCACACCTGATGAGCCGTCACGAACCATACGACGAAACGCACGTCGTGTGAAACAACTTGTTTTGTAGTCAACCAGTCCATCATAATGTCACACATGAGGAGTTCTGTAGGAGTTTGGCGTTCGGCTTGTACAATTCGTTTTCGCAAAGCTTCCCCCTTGTGTACAGGTGGAATCCTGATAATTCGAATATGGCTTAATTCGAACATACCGCCTAATTAGAAGTTTTTCCAGGACCGATTTCCGTCAATACGATTCCCACATACTTTTTTCTGATAAATCGAACCTCGAACCGGACATGTCCGATTAATTCGAAGTTCCACGGACTCCACTTACAGAAAATGGGCGCTTTCGATTACACGTTTACACAATTCTGGAACTGTTTTTTTAAATTTTGGAATGACCAGAATGAGCGTATTCCGGCCTTGTAAACGAACGACTGGTTTTATTCATGTCATGTCACAAACGAAATTGATGAATCGCAAAAAGAGATCACGTGAACCCTCGCGATCGATCGCGCGCACGTGAACTTAGCATCGCGCACACGCCGGCCAGGGAGGCTCTTCGCGCGCTTGAGTCATGACCAAACCGGTAACACACCGACAGTGCAATTCTGGCGCCAGAATTAGAGAAATTCCGCCTTCTCTTCAGAATTGATGGATTCGACGGAATTGGATAAAATCAATTCTAACGACGGAATTTGTCACTTTTTGTGTAATCGAACTGTGCATCAACAATTACTAATTCTAGAATTGACCGAAATGCGTGTAATCGAAAGCGCCCATTGTGTGGGATTTTGCGTGCTCTGCACTTCGCATGCGAGAAGTCACGCACAGCTGAGGTGAGGTTGGTCGCGTGTGTGCAGCAGGATCCCACGCGACTGCGGAGTATATATGCCCAGACAGATCCTGCCGGCGATTCTTTCGGCAAAATATCGAAGAATTGAAAGAGCGGAAATTGCCGGCAACATCGGAGCAAAATATCGAGATGTTGGGCAAAATCGATGCCTGATACTTGGATTTCCGTGTTTCTTACCCGTTCGGCAGGGTACACACTGCTCAGGACGAGAACATGTCACCGAATTATCACTGGGATTCACTGTGGATCGACATGATTTTGGAAAAAAACTTAGGGACACGTGCGTGGAAACCGAGAGAAACCGACCCTGCGATTTTTATGAAACGTTGTACGGGATTGTACGGGAAGTGGATAAAATGCACGTTTTTCCGGAGCAAAATGGAGCAAAATATCGAGTTTCCTGCGCCAGGCTCGGCAAAATATCGAAGATTTCGCAGCAACATTTTGCGGCAAAATATCGAGGCGAGCGGAGCAGAATCTGTCTAGCTGGGCCTACTGCGGAGTTGCCCCCTTGCTCGAACCCAGACAATAATAAGGGGATCGGTCTATTGCAGTATTGGGCGACAGACTAAATTATTAGACGTCGGC